TACGCCGCCCTATATAATCTTTACAGCATATTTCAAAATTACGTTCTACTAAATCGAACCCTGCAACATTTTAATAACGATCTCTACAATATCAAATCATCACTTAGTCCGCCACTTGGAACATAAATATTTAAATCTGATATTTCTGTAGCTTAAAACAACCTTGAAAATATAGTCCCAACTCAGCTTTTAGAAAGGCCAGTGGCGGACCTAGCTTTAATTAAACTAAGGAAATCTGAAACTTATCCACTTATGTACCAACAACATAATAATAAATTAAGAGAAACATATGATACTTACAAATCCATCTTTACAGAGAGATCCAGCATGATGGCACAGTTACTAGTACCACTTTAAGGGTCAGAACAATTTCTTCAAGATTACTAATTTGATAGCTCGACTTTCACATCAAAAGTTCATGACAGTTCATAATATTTTCAGATTTTCACTCGTGTCTTCGGGCTATTAAAACAATGTCTTGTAAACATTCATTTTAACTGAAAATATTTATTACGTGATGTTCTTTCTGCTGGGCTATACGACATCGTTTTTGTTGGTTACCCAGCAATTTTGGAATTCTGGGTAACACGATGTGTAGTGCTGCGGTTAAAACAGTACTCTACAAATCTGACACCACTTCTCATTCCCTACACTGACTATATACCTGTAGTTCGATGTTACATCAGAGATCTTATGCAAAACAAACGGGACACCCAAGTGGGTATCAATAAGTTACATGAAAATAAAACGACTAAGGGTTACACCTTCCTGGGTTGTAAGTCTGGATTTCAAGAGGTCGTTATGCGACGATGTTGGCCATTCAATATTTACTCTTGATTATTTATTTACAGGTGAGTATCCTCCAATTTGTGTACCTTGGGATGAAAGAATCAAGGCCAAGCATGTTCTGCTTGACTGTGTTGATGTTTCCATCACAAGGGATAAATATTTCACTGTAAAACCAGTCAAGGACATTTCTAATAAAGTACATCTGCATTTAAATATTGATCTTTTGAAAGCTATAGAATTCTTTGAATTTTTGGTATAGATATGTGTTGTAGATGTATAAATTTTACTCAATAATTGGTAGATTAGATTATATTAGTAACTGAGATTGTGGATGTATCACCAAAGGGGGTTAAAAACGTGTACAACTTATATTGTTCGCTCGCTGTTTTTCCTTAAATGGTTTTGTCACTCGACTACGATCGTGTTTGGGCGTATACAGCCGAATTTATTCTTCTGCATTATACCGAGTTCCGCATAGTGGTGGTGCACGTATTCCCGAACAGCCGCTGGCAAATTCGCTAGTACCTCTTTTTGTTTGCATAGAAAATGCATTTGATTGCAATACGGATGTTATGCTACCAATACGCCATCAATATATTCTCATTCAACGCTTTTTAGTAACACAGATAGGAGGGCCTGAAGTCTAGCAGGTGCTGCGACAGGCCCGCCAGAGTGTAGGTGTAGATTTGACTCGTGACCGGAGTTGCCGCTGTAGTTCGTGATGATGACGCCACAACCTCGTAAACAACATGAGAAGATTTACCGCATCAAATTTGAAGGTTTTGAATTCAAACTTAGTTTGAATAATCATGGACATTATTTTTTGCCATTTAGACAGTAACAGCTTCAACGATAACCGTTGCTTTTTGCAGATACTGGATTAGGCGAAATACTGTAAGGTTAGTTGATAATGTAAACCTTTGCTAAATTAGATTAAGCTTAATAAAAAGTTACAGCTGAATATGTAGGTTGTGTAGATTGTGTTAACATTTAAATGCTTTCTGTTTGCACAATAACTGTGCACTGGAACCATATTCCTTCGCGGGGAACACACACAGCTCGACTTCTTTGATTGGCAGTTTAGAAGTTGAGGAGATTAAGAATGAGGACAATATTTTTATGGATATAACACTTCTTTATATTGTATCAACGACGCTTCGACATAGATTCTAATGTCGTCACCTGCTTGAAAATGACATTAGAATCTATGTCGAAACATCGCCTATGCAGAATAAAGAAGTGGTATATCCATAAAAGCATTGTCCTCACTCTACACACAATATGATTTATCAAATACACCACACAAAATGACTATATTAGCCAAATTTACTAACGTCAGGAAATACTCGTTTCATCCGGCGGCCATATGAACAACGTTTGAAATCTACGTATCACATGGCCGTCAGATTTACACACGTTTAAAGGGGTGTTAAAATAAACGAACATTCAACTCTGCATTTACATGTATTTCACAGGTGTGTAAATCTGGCCATTGTTGCCATGTGTTTCCTAACACGTGTAACATATGTAAATGCTGCGATTGTAGGACATGCATTTCAATACCCTGGAAATCTCGTATGACCAGGGTTAGGTTTGTCATATATTTAGTACATGCGTAAATGGTTGGAAATGGGTCAACATAGTGTTACAAGATTAGCACTACTTTAACATGTATTTCAATGTTTTTTTAATGTAACTGCCACATAGGGTTCGTTAGCGCGTCCGACCACGCCATAATGTACTGAGATAATTAGAAACACATGGTGAAGTGATACCCATGACTGAGCACCACTTATAACGTGCGTGTCTTTCTTGACATACACATGGTGTCTGTTTAGCAGGTTCAAATATAGGGTCTATGGGCCAGAGCGATATGTATGTTAGGGAGTGTGTGTGTGTGCGAGGGAGAGGGTGTGGCATGGGGTAGGCCTTGGGTGGGGTGGTGGCGGTGGGTCGGTGTTGGGGTACTGATAAGTCTTTCTGACCAGTAGGTAATATCGCTTATACTTTTTGTAATGGAAATTACATAACAGTTTAAATACCTGACCTTAGGTACACTTCTTATATATGCTATACAAGGAGACACTGCTGATTACAATAAAACACAGACAGATGTGTTCACACAGACATGAACCGGTAGGTCCCTAATTTTAGTGCTCACTTGTATGAGTTATCCGAGTGATCATAACTGAACAAATTTCATTATCTATACTTTCAGAAAAGATGATTACAAAGTATTAATGATTCCCGATTTAAATTACTGTTGTAAATGTGTGAACATGCACATACTTGGTATGACCTCTTTTTGATTCGGAATACAGGTATTATTCCATACGTTTTCTCAAATTTCAGTTACCCGACGGAATATACTGTAGACATATTTTGTTTCCACCTCTTGGGTAGACTAAAGAAAATTGTAGTGATTGTAATTAGCTCATAATTTTCATAATAGACCTATTTCGTTTCCATCTCTTGGGTAGACTATAGAAAATTGTAGTGATTGCAATTAGCTCATAACTTAGCAGTTTCGATAATTATTGAAAGCTTGAGAGGGAATCATGTAACCGGTGCCATCTGTGAAAATGAGACAATGCCTCTGTGTATTTATATCATTGATTTTTAACTAAGAGTAGAAAGTAGTTTTGATTTTCTAACTTGATGAAAACAAACTATAATCTCATTAATTCTAACAGACTTTACCATTTACGATTTTCAAAAATGGCGGCGCCCTGTCGGGAACATCCGCCAGTCTGAGGATAAATGCTATTTAGGTTTGTTTTCACCGAGTTACAAAATCAAAACTACTTTCTACTGGTAGTAAAATATGTATTTTATTGATGGCCAATGGGATTTTGCATGACATAGCGTATAACATAACAATTTCTCTCGTGGCAGCGAGGTGGGTGTCAATATAATACTACTTACAATATTATTGTTACTTCGACCACAACCTCACTTCCGAGGAAGAAATCGTTATGTTACAAGTTGTGTAATGGAAAATCTTTATGGTCATCAATCATATACATATTTTACTACAACTAGTAAGTAGTTTTGATTCTTTAACTTCCGTGAAACGATCTGAACACAAGTAAGATATCGTTTCAGGCTTCCACAACGCTCGCTTCGCACTCACAAACATAACCCATTTAGCACGAACTGCGGGGTCCTGTGGAAATCTGTGCATGGGGACACCATCGCCCGACCCCTAGGAGCAATTGACGACAAATCAACGATTCGGCATGTCGTCGTTGATGTCGAGAAATCATCAAAATGATGAGCGTGCTACACACTTTCTATACAACACTAACTCAAAAATCGTTCCTCATATGACGTCACTGCAGTGCTCTGGGGACAGAGTTACGTAACCTGTCTGTGGTTTCGTTGGCGGGCGAGAGGGAAGCAGGCGACTTTTTGGCCACTTTTAATCGCTCGGTATTAATTAACCACAAGTTTTTAAAGAATAAATTTGGTGTTCCGCAAAAGACTAACCACAAATCTTTCATATGTAATGGTTAAAAGAGTAACAAAAAACAAAGTTTATTGGTTCTTTAAGTGATAATATGTGAGTATAAAACTTGGTGTTAAGTTATTCACGTGCTGGCACTCTGGCATACCATATGAATAACTCAACACCAAGTTTTATCCTCACACAGGTTTACTCGACCCCTATCCTCATTGCAAGGTGGCGTGGACTGGGCAGGACATGGCAGGAGACGGCAAGCTCTTTACCAAACATGGAACTGCACGACCGCGATGTGAACGTTCTGCTGGCTCTGTCACCGAGCCTGCTCCGCCATTGTCACATGTCCAGATACAATGTTTCTGATGCGTTTAAAGTTACATCACTCCATGGACTCATGTGGTACGTCGTGACTGGAAATTACTGTCAACTACTCATTAATGATTCATCGTTACTTGACGTTTATGTTCTGTTACTGGCAGTTATTATGTTCTATATCCCTTGATGCATGGGCGGATCCAGAGGGGGGTGGACTCTCGTGAAAATGAAGTGTGCACCCCTCCTTTCTCAATAGTGTGCACCCCCCTTTCTCAAAAAGCTGTATCCGGCCCTGCCTTGATTTATTACCAAACAGTGACATTTTCGCGGTTACATATTCAATCACACCTTTTAGATTTATTTTCAAATCAATGAAGATATACATTTTCAACAGAATGATTAAGATGGATTTAATATATATCAAAATACTCACACACATAGTGACACATATCCATTTTAAGGACATTCTGCAGGAGTTCTTCTGATGTCCCCGACTTATTCCAATCTTTACTCTCTTTAACTGTCACAGGTTAAAAACATCACAGTTGACGAATCAAAGTACAGTGTGCAACAGGAAATATTTTACATGAATGTATTTGCTGATAATGAAGCGGAAACAGAATATGATGTGGCTTTGAATAGCTACATTCTGTTCACTAAACTCACTACCTCATGGAGGTGAAACAGAACTGTTTCATGCGTTAAAAGTAGGGCTTCCACGGGTACTCGAGTACTCGAGGACGAGTCGGGTCTAGCTGGACTCGAGTCCATTTTCAAGGACTCGAGGACTCGAAAAGAAGGGTAGATAACTTGGATTATTTGACGTTGACAGACTGTCTGCCATGTGCTTAGCATGAGCGGCCGTTAACGTCTAATATTAAGATAAGATATAACTTTATTATCCCGGAAGAAATTCTTATACATCCAAACTGTCTCAAAATGAATATATACACAGTTCACAAAAATATACACAATAATCACATGCTCAAAACGAATGCTATTTATAAATAAAACTGACATGATATAATTCAATTAACCACATAGGTAAAGAGGCTGAATAATTCTAGTTCTAATCACATGATGGTGATTCAAAATATTTGTTGCATTCACGAATACTTAATGGTATGAAAGACTGTCGAGCTCTGTTTGTTTTGAGGGAAGGTAATCGTCAGCAGCGTCCAGAAGGAAGTAGTTCAAAATGTTGAGATCAAATATATCAACTATCAAATCTAATTTTAGCTCCCTTTTTGACAATCTGGCGCTCATAGATAAATGGAGTACACTCGAAAGACACTCCAGAAATTTTGCAAGCAGTATTAACAATTTTGAAAAGTTTGTTTTTGTTGCGATGAGACAGATCCCCATACCAACATAGAAAATTGTAGGTCAACACACTTTGAATAAAGGTCATTACGGTTTAGTCAATGCCTTGACGATAATAATGTTCAGAATCAGAAATTAGGCCAGTAATAGTGGCGTCACCTGCGAATTTCACAGTGAACAAGTCATATATTGACAAGTAACAGTCATTGGTATACAAAACGAAGAGTACGGATGAAGGAACACAGCCATGTGGAGCTCCAGTAGAGGTTGAGAGAAAAGAAAATTGATAGCCATTGGCACTGACACACTGAGTTCTATGTACCCTGAATTCTTTAACCCGTCTGATGATGTTTTTATTAACACCTAGATTAAATAGTTTACTCCTCACACGGTGTGGCTGTATGGCATTAGTTGCTACAAGTCTGCAGATGAGAGTAAATATTATACATGGTTTGAGTTTTCACTTTTTAAAATGATTAGGTAACTATCTTGATAGACAATTGATAGACATGGAGAAAGATAAAAAAAATCAAATAAATGGGCGTATCTTGATCTGGATAGTGAAAAGAGCAAAATAACCAAATGCCGCCTGTGCGGTATCTCACTGCGTTTTGCAGGCAGTACAAGAAGTACGAAGAAAAAAAACGTTTGTCAAGTAAACATCCAAATACTGATTCTGACCAATGGGAAATGTTAGTAACATGATGATATGAAGTTGGAAAGAAGTAAGTGTTCACTTGTGTGATGGGAACACACGTCATGCCGGTTACGCTATCGTTTGTTTGAAAGGTATGAATTTCGAGTACTCGGGTCCGAGTCGAGTCTCACCCTTCGAGTACTCGAGTCCAAAAAAATGGACTCGTTGAAGCCCTAGTTAAAAGAGAAGACATAGTATGAGAACGTACTCACACGCACCGCGCACATAGTACGCACACACGGACATACTGACCTGAACGCCATCAGTAAACGTTTGCGAGATTTATATACATACCAAATTATAATGTTCTTGTGCTGTATTGGTATCCAATGTGTGGATGATTTAAATCTTTAATGTCACAAATTTATAGTTGTCAGAGACTGGAAACGCATGACACTGAAACGGCCTATTTCTAGTGGACAGCAAGCAATATTGAATAGTTATGTCCCTTTGTTCAAAGGTGGCGCTGTTTCGGAGCCAATCTGACAACAAACCCATGTTGTAGTGAGTCACAAGATCAGGTTTGCTACAAATAATCAAAACAAAATGGACAAACTGAAGAAAGCGTTGAGTGGAGACGATGAAGACGAAGAGAAAGGGATCGTCACACAGGTATATAAGTTCAAATATAACGAAACGATAACATATTTCCGGGATGTCGCTGTTGTCACACCTCCCAAATGACCAGACTTCCTTTGAAGTCAACAGCTTGCATACAAATTGCAAATATGAACACAGTCATACGGCAGAATGTCTGCTGTTCAGCTGAAATGAAACTTTGTCAGTTTCACTATTAACATGGCTTGTCTAGTCCAATAGATTACTTGTAATCTGAAAACCTGTTGAGTTTTTAGACTAAGGCCATTGAAAAAGACTACAGAGTCTATTACGATATGTAATAATATTACCTTTGGATCAAGCTTTTAGTTGAATGATTTACTTACAGAATTGACTGTTTTTAATATCAGTTCAGTCAAGTTAGTGTGTCTAAAACACAATTTAGTGATGAGATATATCCTATGCAGAGTATCAATGAACACAGCGTATCATCGACACACAACCCAGGCTCTTTGTTCATCTAATATGTAGCTCCATATATATATATATATGTGTGTGTCACTGGATCTTAGTCACTTCTGACTCAGGCTATAATGAGGGTAATTGCATCACACACACATTGTAAATGATAAATTCTTGAATGATGGCTTGTGCTGAGGATTGTTTTCTTTTATAAGTTAGTGACATGTTTTACAATTGTTTTTGAGATAATCAAGATAACAAAGCATGTGACACAAGGAAAATGATTAGTTAAAGATGTATTTTAAAACAGCATTCTTATATATTACATATTTTACTTCACATTTCAGAGGATAGGGGGTGGTAGCAGTTTCTATAACCTCGCAATTCAAATATTGCATCCCCTAGGAATACCAGGATCTGCTGATCAGGGTTCGAGTCCGACATTTGACCTCAGTATAATCTTAAGCTTTTGTCAGAAACATGAACTGCTTATCCCTAAGGCTGCCAAGGTTAAATCTTCTGGTGATGGTCAGAAATCTGTTGCAATGTGCAGGGATTGGGAAAGGCAGGGGCCATAATACATTAGAATACAAAATGGCCCATTAAAATTTTGAAGTTTACTATTGATACAAAGGTTTTGGCCCAATTCTATATTGAGAAAATGACTAATAATCCCGAAAATAGCACATTGCAACCAATCCAAATCCCTGAATTGGTATATGATAATTGCAATGATTTCAAACATTCCAATGTTGCCATCTTGTAAGATTTCCCCAATTTCAATTTCTGTCACTGACTCACTGTTTACATCATCATCAAACCACTGTGTGGCGCATGGGCTGTATCAAAGTCTCAGAATCTTCTAAATGTTAACCCAATGGAACTGTATGTGCTGGCATTTATGCTGTCCATTGGATTTGTTCATGATTTATATTATGAAATGTTGAAAGTATAACTTTTTAACTGTAATCTAATTGTAGGGAACATAGTGTCAATTGATGTCATTTTCAGTAGAGTAGTCTGTTATGTACATCATTACCTAAACTAATGTTAACATTTAAATGTTCAAGATTAATACAAATCCTTTTTAAACCATGTACAACATTTAATGTTTGAGTCTGAAATTAATGGCACAGGTCACCCACCCCTAAACATGGGCATTTCACATTGGCATGATGAGCTTGGGGTAATGAGAAAATGTATTGCCCAAATTGATGAAGACATGCTTTCTATATCAATGTTTTAATTTAAGAGTTATGCTATTTTTGAGGGAATTATCATATGCAGAAGCCCAAGGTCTTCCATTAACTGCCTGACAAAGGAGGGCAGTTGAAAAAGACCGAGGGCTTCTGCAAATGATAATGCCCTCAAAAATAGCATTATTATTGCTAAAAAACATGAAATTTGTGTTGAAAAGAAAAAGGAAACAATGAAGGAATTTGACTGTAAGTTTACTCAAAACCAACTTCTGACGGGGTTGACTGCCCGAATGCAATTACGTCATCGAACAATTCATGTGACGCCACAACAGAAAATGACGATATTCGACATAGCCTGCAACATGTCAAACTATGTCAGTGTTCAGTTTTGATCAAACAACAACGTTAATATATAAATAGTGCAGTTGTTAAGGTTAGCACGAGCAAGTAAGCCAATATTACCGCTATTCAAAGCGGGAATTCGGGTTGCTTTGACTTGTTTGACCCAGAATATCTGCCAGTCCAAAGCTAATGTCGAATGAACAGTAAGCCCATGCACCCTCTATGACGTCACTTGACAACATAACTGATAGTGACCCGTTGTTCAGGTTGAGCAGTCCAATATCATTTGCGGCGGCCCACAAAATTCTGATAATGGGAGGGCCGTTTCATGATAATTCCATGCATTTTAGCTATAATGGTCATTAGTAGTTGGGCTGGTATCAAAGATACCTAGATCAAGGTTCTAGGTTCCGGATTCTGCAGATATATGATATATTATTTAATCATCACAATGACAGAATATATCTAGAACTCATGATAACACCACAAATCACAAATGTTTGCATTTCTTTCTGACTATTTTGTGTGAAAATAAAGATAAGGTTTAATTATATTTCACATTATGCATGAACAAATCGTTCTAAACTTGTATCTAAATACTTTTTGCTAATAGTTTCCAATGGTTCCCTTTAGGAAATTTTCTCTTCAGACATACAGCAGATACCAAGATAGGGTCATGTAATGAGCATTGATAAGGGGTTAAGTAACTGGCCAGTGAAGGTGGATTTGTCCCAGATCAGCAGCTGTGTCAAATTGCCATGGGTGCATTGGTGATTGTTATTTGTTCTTTCTGCAGATATCTGATGCCTCTACCTTAAGTTGGTCAACCAGAATAAAAGGCTTCATAGTGTGCTTTGTCCTCGGCGTTGTGTTATCAACATTGGTAAGTTGATGGGATAAATCGTTTGAACTTGCAAAAGAATACTCCAGTCTAGTTGTCTGAGGCTCCTGAGTTCACTGAGTTAGTGAATAAGTTACCCATATTGTGAGTTCAGTCAGTGTTCACCCTGATTATGTTTCAATGTTTGTCAGCATCATTCCAATACTTGTGGGCTTCTCCAATGTGGTACAAATACGAGACTAGTATCACTTCCAGTTTTCCTCCAAGACGGTGGGGTAGCCTTGTGGTTAAATTGTTTGCTCATCATGCCGAAGATCTGGGTTCGATTCCCTACATGGGTACAATGTGTGAAGCCTCTTTCTGGTCTCGCCTGTCATGATATTGCTGGAATATTGCTAAAAGCGGCGTAAAACCACTCACTCACTCTATTTTTCCTCCCCAACCTAGCTGAGATGCCGTGATTTAGCTATAACACTGTTAAGTGTCTTTAAACCCACCTTACTCACTGACTCACTCATTTAATTCTGTGTACACATGGTATATGGGAAAGTGTTTCAAGAAAACATTATAATGAATATTGTGAACTGCTTCTGCCAGAAAGAAATCTTCAGATTGTTGCTTGTCACTGTGTTCTCCCTCCTGGTTTTATCAACATCAGTAATTTTATCTTTCAGGGAACTTGTTTATTATTTGCAAGAAATGGTCTGATCATGTTTGCTGTTTTGTACACTGTTGGCAACATTCTGTCATTATCAAGGTAAGTTCTACAAAATGATGATGTGTGATAATTATGATAGTGACACAAAGATTAAGTTAACATTTATTGACCATCTCAATTCTGAATTTTTAAAATTTATTGAACATTCCATGAGGATAGTTTCATTGACAGGGTAGACTTATCCTATATTATGTGTCGTGACAAAAATTAAGAGCTTCAAACTATATCATATAATTTTGATAATGTCATCAATGTCTCAAATTCTGCTATCAATGTGAAGCTTGATGCTCTTGTTAGTGATGATGTCAACAGGGTGGCAGCACTCAACAACATATAACGATAATCATGACTTTTATTAATCATTTGGACATGTGGACAAAACTATAGAAGTATGAAATCTCATTAACATATGCATAATTTCCGTTATCTGATGGAAATTCCTTGTAAATCTTGCAAATATAACTACACATGTTAAAGAGGAGAAAACCTGGTTCAGGTAAATCAGTAATGTGATTATCTCCATGCCATTGTTGGTTTGTCTGGTCCAGACCCAGTTATTTACTCCATACCATGATTAGGATGATTTAGCTCAAGTAATACTGCCTGTTGCATTTGTAAATTGTATGTAGATTTGAACAGTTTCTGATCCTGTTGCTAGTTCTATGGATTTAGAGTGGGTATGAGTCTCCTCTACTGTGCTTAAAGGGCAAGTTTAGTCGAAATTTACCTTTTTGTCTCGCACAGAAGTGTTTGTCAAGTAGTTAGATAGCCAAAACAGTACAGATATCAGAAGTAAGCAATTTATTTTTTGCGTTATATGGATTAATATTTTCCACATTAACCGAGGGTTCTATGTCCATAATAAATACACCATGGCTTATGTCCCTTGGAAATGACGTCATTGGTGCCCGACCGATAAACGAATGACGTTCTTTGAACTTATTAGATCCATTTCACGTGGTGCAGGTATAGGAGTGGTTCTTGTGTCTCGATGCACAGGCCACTGTTTTAATCCTGCTGTTGCCTGGCTGTCAGCTGGCTATGTGGTCAGATCCAATTGGAAAAACATATACATTGTACAAAACTTGTTACCACGTAACCAAATTGTACAACATTCAACCAGAGTCGGCTGCCGTATCTTCTTTCACCAAGACTAAACATATATGCACTACATCTATCGGTGAATGTGCCGGCATTCTAGGTTTGGTACTTAATTCCTACATAAATCGTACAGTATTGTCTTTTTCCTCTTCAACCTTCATTTTGATGCTGAAGCCATATCCAAATACATCACGAAGAAAAAGGCAATATTCACAGTTTTGTATTCTGTTAAAATTCTTTCTTCTATGATATCATCCGCTCATTGTAGGGCAAATTTACAAAAATTGCATGCATTGTAAATCTCGCCAGTTTTTACACATCACTGAATCACCATTCATTGTGTTTTGTGTTATTTATAGTATGTCTTACTTTAAATGTTGAATTTTACTGGGAGGAACTTTTTTTGATCACCGGTATCTGTTGTTGTTTGATGGAATCACAAATGCTCGTTTTGAAACATCGCCGATGAACCGAGAATCACTGAGAATGTTTTTTTGAAAACATGAACATTGAAATGAACTTTTATCAAATCACTTCACACGTATGTCAGTTATGCTTTGCCCATTACATCACAACTATATTTCAAAACCATCTTCCTTACGCGAATCCTTGAATTCCTTGTACAGTTCAAAATAATATCACAAATGGTCTTTGTCATCAATACCAAGTGTCTCGGTGAAATCTTGCTAAATATATCAGATGCCGTGCTGGGAAAGGACCACTTCTTTGAAATGTAAACAAAGCCAATCTCAGATTTTGCACTGTGTATCGTTTTCTCATAGTGTGAGAGATCCGTTCACCTACTCGTTGCATACACTTGCTCATAAGTTTTAGAACATGCATGGGAAGAGCATCGTAGCAAGAGATAATTATAAAAATAGGTGTATTCCATTTATTTCCAAGATTACACTTTCCGAAAACGTGACGCCATGAACGATGTCAACTCACACTCAACGATGACGGTACTTCTCCTCATCTCTGACTATTACCCATGGTCACAATGAAAACAAAAAGAAAATAACAACCAGCAGATTACCAGAATGTGTCAGATTACTTACATGACACATTTATGCACATGGGTTGCTTGAAACAACGAAAGTTTCCTTCCAAATACTCTGCGTACTCGTGTCGGTGAACACGCCATTTTGAGAAAGTCGCGTCCCGATAAGGATGTCATACTTACGGCAACATTATTATACACATTTGGTATTTTCATCGAGGTGAGGTTATGAATTTAAACTTCACACGATCATCTATCTTAATGTTTACATTTTCAGTTCCAATGCATCTTTCATACTTTTACATACTTTTTTTTTTTTACGTGATTAATGTCAGTATTTACATCCTTTGCTTTGGGACTAGACAAGAGACCTGTCTAATCAACTGGCACCAATTACGTCATAATCAAAGGGCAGTAACTCTGGCCTGTTTAGCACGGCAAACAGAGGCCTCATAATGGCATAACATTTCAGCACTTATAGTACGGGTTATACTTTCATTGTAAGAAAAATTAGTGTATATTTTCAAACATTGATAATAATTAATTACAAAATTCCATTTTGGTTCACATAAGAAATAAACGTGATGTTTTCGTGTACACTTGCCCTTTAAAGTGTGCTTGGAAGTTGGGAGTGGTGATGGGAGAGAAGGGGGCACGTAGTGAAAAGGTTGTGCAGAAGTCCCCTTCCTCCTGGTCTACTCAGCATTGGAGAAACTGGGGCAGTGGTGTAGCCTAGTGGTTAAATGTTCGCTCAACACGGCGAAGATTTGACTTTGATTCCCCACATGGCTACGATGCGTGAAGCTCATTTCTGTTCCCCATGGTGATATTGCTAAAGAGTAAATTCATACTCACTCACCCACTGGGGGTCCAAAAGTTATAAATGTTTTCACGAGTTCTCTAAAAGTATCTGCAGAGTTGCTCTCCAATTATATGTGGTTTAATACTCCTCAAAAACATTTCACTGCTCCTTCCAATATCTTATAAGGCTTATGTGAGCAGATGTGTTAAGTTTAAGCCCTAGAATATTTTGGATAAAGCTGTTAGAGCTGACAGTACTCTTAAGTGTTTTATACTTTGTCTAGTTGCTCCCTAGTGGTTTATAGTTTTATGATAATAATTATGACTGTCATAGAAACTGGGTTTTTGGTTTGTTCATTTTCATTTATTAGATATTGTGCATGATAACAATTAATGCATGCTTTGTCATTTTATCACATTTATACCACTGTATACATTCATGCCATAAAATTTTAGAATGTCCTTTTGTGTATGCACAAATGTGTTCAGTTACCAAATTCTTTTCTAGGCACATTTATTTGTATTCATTTTCCCATTTGTTTGCAGTACATGTTTTCTGATGGGTCCTTTGAATCAACTTAAAAAGATGTTTGCGAAAACAAGAATTATTGCAACTATTTTAGTTCTGGTATGTAGATATTTATGTTACCCTTTAGTAGTGTCAGATGACATTAAGTGTTCTGTATTCCTCTAATAAGCTCTCGAGTGCTTATTTTTTCAACAATGTTCCAGACCCAGCTCTTATTAGAGGAAATACAGTAGATCATGTCAGTCTGTTTGCAGCCTTGGAACAGTCACAATCGTAGTTTACACTTTCCTTGTATGTAACTTTCAAGCTAGTTACCATTTACTTCTTGTTTTGTGGATTTCTGTGAAAAGTATATAAGATGCAGGAAGTAAATGCAACATTTAAGAATGTGGTGAGTGATTACAAGTTTTAATGTCTATTTTCTTGAAAGATGTTACAGTATTAACATGAATACCATCAAAATTCAGGTTTTTTGTAGCAGTTTGTCGAAAGAGATCATAGTTCTCCCTACTGCTAAACAGAGATCTGAAGACATTCCATTACAGATCATGTCAGAACGACCTTTAGTGAATATTGACCAACCAATGTAGTTCCTAACATGAAGTCATTGTTAGCCGGGGCGGTGGGGTAGCCTGGTGGTTAAAGCGTCCGCTCGTCACGCCGAAGACCCGGTTCGATTCCCCACATTGGTACATTGTGTGAAGCCCATTTCTGGTGCCCCCCGCCTTGATATTGCTGGAATATTGCTAAAAGCTGCGTGAAACCCCACTCACTCACTCACTCACTCATTGTTAGCCAATCAGAAAGCAGCTTTCTCAAGCTTTATTGGTTCTGGTTTTAAACCAGTGACTTCCATTCCAGTCCATGACTTCAGAAAGTTTTTGATAGTTCAAAATTTATTTGAAAGCTGAACCAAAGAAAATCTGTAATATCTAATAGAAGGCTGTGATTGTATGGCAGTAATTAGCACAGACTATTGACAGTATCTACCTGTACGAATGGAAATCACATTGAGGCAAGACATGTGTGATGATTATGACACAATCAGTCATGGTTGTTGTTCAGAATACCCCATTTTAATGTATTCTGTGTTAACCTTTTTATTGTTGTAAGATTAGAAAACACCTTGTGACTGTCACCTTCCCAATCCATTAAGAGATGCTGTGATTGGTTGGATGGGAAGTTGCTCTGATGTGACCAGTAATTGTCTTAGACTTTTGTTCAGCAATAGCTCAAATTAAGGCTATTTCTTTCATCTAAATGTTTTTACAGGTTGGATTTTTTACATGTTGACTGAATTATTCATAGAAGAGCATATCTAGGAAGCGTTTGTGAAAAGGTTATCAAGCATGTATTGTACTTGCTGTAATTACCGCTGAAGGGGTCGTTGTCGGCACAGGTACTACAGATACGTACCCCAGGTACGCTTCTGTGTACAGATATGTACCCTAAACAAAGTCAAAATACAGAAACGTACCCGGTGCCCTAAAAGGTGGACGAGTCCATATTCCTCAATCCAAAACCGAAACCGCATGTAGTTGTTCCCGTTCAACTGATTGCGAGTGGTATTCATATGCATCGCGAAATATCTGTTACTGTGTATTCTCATTACTTACATAAAGCAATCAAATGTATCTAATACAAGAGCATGACAGTTCCGATCAAGAATATGACACAATGGAAATGGAATCGTCCTAGGGTACGTTTCTGTATTCTCATTATGGCCAGGGGTACATATCTGTAGTACCCGTGCTCGACAACGACCCCTTCAGCGTAATTACCACCAAAAAGTAGAACGGTTGTAGGACTTAGGTGTGACTATTGAATGAGCATACTTTGATAAACTGGTAAATTATTGTATGATTCAGCATAATACATTCCCGAAACCACTTTAGTATCTGTGTTATTCTATGTGTATAGATTAATTGCTTTGTTATTGATTTGTTAACTGTCATCAAGCATTGATTCTTGTTTCAGGTGATGTTTGTGTTGACAATAGTGTTTGCAACAGCTGTAAGTAAATGAGTCTATTTCCCATTAGAATAGAAAGCATTCTGTTTGAGTGTCAGTTTGTGAAACACTGACCAAATGAAAAGTCAGGTTATAACTATTCCTCGGCAACCAGTGTTGGTGGTGGCTCATGTTTTCTAGCTCGGTGACTCGGTTGTGTATCGTCACACCCCAACAGCATGGATAGTTGCTCACAGATTGTGTGCACCAGAATAAAATATTTAACAGGCCAGTTTCATGAAGCCTGATTTTTCTAAATGTGTCATTAAACCAGAAACAAGTCTTATTTTGCTTTTCTTAATGTACATTTTTCCTAAATTGCCCTCAACAAATACATATTGTATAAGTTCAGGGATGCGATTTCAAATCGCCAATTTGAATTGATTGTGTTACCTGGATGTGATGCTTTCTGTCTTGATAACAAATAATCAAAAACAATATGATTTCTTCATAAAGTTCATAATCTAAGCTAAATTAAATTAAACTTGTAACTGTTTAAATGATACCTTGAAAATATTTAAGGATACTGGTTCACAGTTTTTATTAACTACTAGTTGCTGTAAATGCTGTAATGATTACATGTATTTATTAAAAAAGAATAACAAATTCTCATGAAATTTAGAGGTAAGCAAGTCCTGTTTGATTTGCAGCTGAAGAACGGAGCAGCCCTGGCCATCCTGTGCTGCATCCTGCAGTTCCTTGCCTTAACCTGGTACTCGCTGTCTTACAGCTGGTAACCTGGTACTCTGTAAAATTCCCGCTGTCTTACATCCCATTTGCAAGGTGAGAGCATGTAGCTGTACTGCCTGTCTTACATCCCATTTGCAAGGTGAGAACATGTAGCTGTACTCCCTGTCATACATCCCATTTGTAAGGTGAGAACATGTAGCTGTACTGCCTGTCTTACATCCCATTACAAGGTGAGAACATGTAGCTGTACTCCCTGTCATACATCCCATTACAAGGTGAGAACATGTAGCTGTACTCCCTGTCATACATCCCATTTGTAAGGTGAGAACATGTAGCTGTACTGCCTGTCATACATCCCATTACAAGGTGAGAGCATGTAGCTGTACTGCCTGTCTTACATCCCATTACAAGGTGAGAGCATGTAGTTGTACTCCCTGTCATACATCCCATTACAAGGTGAGAACATGTAGCTGTACTCCCTGTCATACATCCCATTACAAGGTGAGAGCATGTAGTTGTACTCGCTGTCTTACATCCCATTACAAGGTGAGAGCATGTAGTTGTGTAGTTGTACTCCCTGTCATACATCCTATTACAAGGTGAGAACATGTAGCTGTACTCCCTGTCATACATCCCATTACAAGGTGAGAGCATGTAGTTGTACTCCCTGTCATACATCCCATTACAAGGTAAGAACATGTAGCTGTACTCCCTGTCATACATCCCATTACAAGGTGAGAGCATGTAGTTGTACTCCCTGTCATACATCCCATTACAAGGTAGAGAACATGTAGTTGTACTCCCTGTCATACATCCCATTACAAGGTGAGAACATGTAGCTGTACTGCCTGTCATACATCCCATTACAAGGTGAGAACATGTAGTTGTACTCCCTGTCATACATCCCATTACAAGGTGAGAACATGTAGCTGTACTGCCTGTCATACATCCCATTACAAGGTGAGAACATGTAGTAAAAACAATTTTACTCGTCCATACATGCGGACGAGTGGAAGTTTCGAGCCCGGACTATGTGGTTCCCATATATAGATCTCAAAAGTTTCAAGGATGTCAGACACTAGTCTGAAGCCCTGGCCTAGTACAGTTCTGATCTGTCAGTTCAGCTAATAACAGTCCAGGAAATGAAAATGGGTAAAGTTGTGCTGGTCGATTCAAGAGAATTTGATAAAATTATACTTATGAATATATGATCATGGGCTATGGAATACAGAATCATAAAAATCATGAACTACGTGAAGTTTATGACCACTCCACGTGATAAGATTATTTTTATCATTGGACATCATAATAATTTTGATCCCTCGGATCTGTTCTTCCTTCACAGAGATGCTGCCAAGAAATGTTTTGCTGGTTGCATTGGATGAACACTGCAATAGTCTTGGACACAAACTGACCCTTCTGCTTGAATGGAACATCCAGTGGTCCTTCCGTCATCCTGACTGGACTCTTCCAATGCTACATCGTACCTGACATTAAGAAGGGTTGCCATTTGTTTGAGTAATTGTTTGTCAGCCATGAGAGAAACTCATGAGGTTTTTATTGTTGCCTGTCATCTGAATCAATTATTAACAAAATCATCAAAAATCTATTACATTTCCCATATTTATGTACAATATGCATTGAATGCTTGAACACAGTGATTGCAAACTACAAGTATTCACTTGAATTCATCTTTGTCGCGTTGTTGGTCAGGTAATGTTAAAAATTAGTTACCACTGGGGATCTTGTTAGAAATATGATCAAATACTTTTTATCAAAACATATATGGAAAAAAAACTTCAGAAGTGAACAAAAAAGTGTTCAGTGGTAACTGTAGGTTCATAATATGCATGATAAGAAAATGGTTCTGTTTTGACTGTTTCAAGGTCGTTTTTTAGTGGTATGTTTTCTAATGGTACAGGTATGTACGTATTCAGATTGTTACAGTGACAGGTTGTTTCTGTGTCTCGGTGTCAATATCAGTTGGAACAAGAAGTGCATGCAACCTTTGTGCCATGTGTATCATAACATTATTATTGTACATATTGTTGCCATATTGTGTGGCTATGTTTCCTGAGCCACATTCTGTTTGGAGACTGCCATTCATGTCCCTTGATACACTCACATCAAACAAGATCTTTCACTATAGATAGTTCAGAAATGTTTGACGTGACACACTTTTCAGTATCACCGATTCTGATGTTAGGCTTTAAAAGTTGCAAATTAATCAGTAGCTCTGAATAGCTTAACAATTCTAAATAACCAAATGCCAAATATCTTTGCTTGTCATGAAATGTATATTATAACATCACATTGTGATGGAAGTAACAATGTGTGCATTTCTCAGCTCCATGTGCATGATAAACACAGTCAAGGGAAAATTAGCTGAAATCAGCGAGTTCAAATGTTCAGAGCATCTACACTAGCAGTGTACTTAGTGTTTCATTTACTGTTTACACTTCAGACAAAGGAATCACATATGTCATACTGGCAGACAAACAAGTTTGATTCATGTCATACCACTTTTCTTGTCAGGTAACTCAATGTTATGGTGTCCATCAATCTGTTATTTATTGCTACTCTAATTTCCTCAGTTACTCAGTTTCACTTGTAGATTAAGATATATCATGGAGTCCTATACTAAACTGTGCAGCAGTCTTTGGACCTGGCTTCTTCCTCTTGAACATAGACTGCTCAGCTGAAAATCTGCCATTTAACTTATATCTTTGAAAAATTATTCAGGTTCTTGCAAATTAAGAAAAAGAAATTTATCATAACCAACACTGAGGTCAGTGTTATTCAATAGAGCCTTTTCATCTTAATTGTTTAGTCAGTCTGGTTCGTCGTGTTCGAAATTCAAAATGTTTAGTCTTAAGTAGATTTTGGTGTATGCAACTAAAACCATTCATCAAAGTTCTCAAGGTGAAAACATATGGCTGTACTATTGTTATACATCCCATTTGCTGGGTGAGAACATGCAGCTGACCGCTCCTCATGTCAAGTACGCAGGTTCGATTCTCCTCATGGGCACAAAGTGTGAAGTCCATTTCTGTTTTTCCCTGTCATTATATTGCTGGAATCTTGCTTAAAATGGCTCAAACTCACTCAATTCCCCATGGTTGTTGTTTCCCTTAGGTGCAGCAGGATACTTGGTTTCCAGATTCAACCTCATTCCCCCCTTGTTACCTGGGGGTAATTAGTTTATCAGCACCATACACCTGTTTGTGTATTTTTTAGCAAGTGGTAAACATTTAAGACGGGAATCATGTTCTTTCATCAGTAAGCACATACACCTGATGTAATAACTGAGACTTTGAACAAGCAGTGTTAGGCCTCACTCATCTATTTACTTTGATTCGTCTGGTTAAACTGATATGAAGACACACTAAAAAACAATACCTACCAGTAGGCTTCTAGATTATAGTTGGTGGGGTAGCCTAGTGTTTAAAGTGTTCGCTCCTCACACTGAATACCCATGTTCGATTCCCCGCATGGGCACAATGTGTGAAGCCCATTTCTGGTGTCCTGTGATATCGCTAGAAATATGGCTAAAAAGCAGCCTAAAACCATGCTCACTCACTCACTCACACACTCTAGATTATATTTAAGAAGGCTTTGTGAAACTAGAGTACAAATCAAAGTTTGATACTGTACCCCTTTCTGAATGTTCTTGATATTCCTACATCTTGGTTTATCATCATAAATGTTGTCACGTCCAGGTATGGGGATATTTCCAGCTCTGTTGTAGCATGTGCTGTTGTTTTTTGTCAGGTCAAAGGGTTCTTGTAACAGTATATGTTTGGACTCTCTTCCACTTCGGCCAATAGCTGGTATGGCTGCCCAATACTAAGTCCTAAAGCAAACATTTCAAAGGAAGAGCTCAGAGGGGTATAATAATTGTTGAATGTAAAGAGATTGTATCCTGTCAACATGGTTGAAATTGAAAAATCTGGAACTGCTGTGAGAAGTCACAGTTAAACTTTATGAACAGTAAACACAATGACAGATATATGAAGTTGGTATATGACCAAGTCATGATTTATCAAGTCAGTCAGAATGCTCAACTCACATAATTAATGAGGTTTAATTATGTACATACTGCACAAAACATTGCCTTCATGTTCAGGTTTTTAAGTCACAATACATGTATTTTGAAACATAATTTTGCATCAGGGATGACAGTTTGTGGTGAATTCTTATTTTTATACAGTGGTGAATACAAATATTCTGTCCAACCTCTGTTGCCTTTTGTGCTCCCAATTCAGTGCTATAACTATTTTCAGATGGTATATTTTCAAATATTAAATGCTGAATCAATAACTCTATACTTGAGTTTTTATGTGAGATCTTCCAATACTGTTTATATGACATTGTTGCAAAGTATATTTTCAAAAAAGATTCTGTATTTGAAAAGTGGTTGATATAGTTTAAAATGCCATAAGTCTGTTACCTTTTAAATCGGATGGCAGCATAAGAAGTGAATATTTGAAATGATGTGAAGTATAATGTATAAACTTAAATAGTCTTTTTCTCTTAAAGTAGATTGTTATTATCTGATTAAGGTCTCTCCAAACATATTTTGTGTTTCCTAGCTACACTGGTCATTTCACCAAATTAACATGTTCAGGCATGAGTGAACTTTCTTGAAATCTTAAAACATTGGTAGATTATTCGTAATAAGGTCGGCTTAATGGTGGACATTACGGGAGTGATTCCACCAGATTCTGATTCGTTGTTAGCCAGTAGTTAGTGTGTAGTCACCACTTACACATTGTTGCATGTACTGTGCACATGGCTGCTGTCCCACGCTATCGTTGCATGTACCGTGCACATGGCTGCTGTCCCACGCTTTGATATTGCTGGAATATTGCTAAAAGCGGCGTAAAACCATACTCACTCACATCAAGCTCTCGTTGAATACCTGTAATATTCATAATGCAAATAATAAATGCAAGAATGATTTTTTCATTTGTTTGTATGGTAATGAGTTTCTTGGAGGACCAGCTCTTTTAAACAGTTAATAGCCCAGTTGGTAGATAGTTTGTGTATTCTTCAATCTAGCGGTTATGAAAGACTGTTCCTCATTACAAACCATATTTATTTATGGATTATGAATTGTTGTTCAGGTTACTGAGGAGTCTGTTAAAATGGTGCTTATGATATGATTATAAATGTTGAGCTGGCCTTTTGGAATGGTTTGTTCATGCTGACTTTCTTCGATCAGCTTCTAGAAGTCATACATGACTGAGATCTTGAGAATGGCCATGGTACCATGTCATGAAATAACACACATTCTATATTAAGATATCTGAATGGTATACACACATTGTGCTGATTGACCGAAAGAACTGTGACGAAAGTGCCCATGGTGCTTACTGTTTAGTTGTAGTCTGAGATATGATGCCAGTTATCTTTGAGCCATTTGTATTCTTTCCCTTAGTGTCATCTTGTTAATGTCATCATGTAAATGTTTTCATGCATGTGTTTTGCAAGTTTGTTTACATGTGTATTATTCATTCATCTGTCAGGGGATTTGTAATAAATAATACAGAAGATTGGTCTTGTTGTATGTTCAATTCACACTAGAATCACAGGACAGATTCCAGTCTACATCTTGTACATGTATTTTCAATTACATTATTCTTTTGTGTATATTAGAGAAAAGTGTTTGGAATGTAGTTTGAGGAAGTTAACTCTGGCCACATTGGCAGTGTTTGTTTATTATACCTGCATTTTATATACAACCTGTCATTGATGGATCTTGTAACAGAAAATCACAGTTTGTATTTACAAAGGAATATGAGAGCATTTAAAAAATATTAACATATTAGCAAACAATAAAAAGCCTACTAAAGATCACCAGCAACAAAAGCTTAGGGACCTTATACCCGTCCCACAAATCTATCTTAGTGCTACAACTGTCATAAGCAGTTCAAGTATGGGAGTTAAGATCATCTCCACACAAAGATCATTTTGTGGAATGGGGTCCCAGTAGGATTTCCAACACCTCTGATTCCAACATGGCAGACACACAGGGCATACCCTATCCCTCTAGCTACTGGCATGCAGGGGGGATGGCAATTTTCCACTGATCAGCAGATTTCCGCCAATTTATTTCAAATTGATCATTCTGAACCCCTATTCGATGACACAATATTAAGTTTTCAGCTGAAAATAGATTTTCCTGTTGCCATCGCTGGGCATGTAATGGTTGCACTGAACATTAACATTTATCATTAAAATGAAACAATGGCAGAGGTAAGAATACCTTGAATGATTTTCCTTACAATATGACCAGTATTTTATGTTACTTCAACCCATTTCAAGCTCAAAGCCAGGTAAGACTATTCACAAGCCACATACAAAGATTATCCACTGAACAGCAATCTTGAGGACACTCTAGCAGATGGCAATATTCATACTGTGTAGACTATCAACATTCAATTACTTTTACTATTTATTGGGGGCAGGGGATGTGGGGTCTGCAGAGGTAATTGGTTGACAATTACATAAAGCCTACTTTTTGTGATGAAAATGGCGATTTTGGTGCACGAATCATTCTACATTCTACAGAAAATGGCAATTTGCTGTCCCCACTGACAACTCTCAATTTTGTTATTGCATGAAATAATTTACTGAAAATTACTTTTATTTATAGATATATGTTACTAAGCATACTAATCCCTAAATAAACGATATTTTATTCTTGGAATTTTTTTCAAAAATTACAGACGAAGATGAGCAATCAAGTTATTTATGCATGTCCCAACCTCCAACCTATTTTGCATTTTTTCGTGTCGAAATTTCTAAATTGAAGATCATTATGTATCTTTGGGTCAGTTGTAAAGAATATGATTGAATGGTACAATTATTTCATAATTTACATGAATATATGAAATAAAAATCTGAAAAATTTAGATTTAAAAAAAGTCCCTGAAAATATTGTCATTACCGCAACACACAGAGAATAAGCACTAAAAAAAATATGGATAGTCTCCCTTGAAACCCTGTGATCAGCTTCCACTAGATGGCCTCATTGCTGACCATGTGCTCAAAGGAAGCATGTCATATCATAGGACTTAGAGTGGAATTCATCATTCTTCTTTCATTATGAAGGGAGTGATTTTAATGTGTGTCATTACCGCAATGCATTTAACTATAGTATATGTGAATCAAACTAAGTCTTTTTAATGAGATGCCTGTTTGAATACTTTTTACAAATATATATCTAAAGGAACTTATAGTATATGCAAAACCAAGAGAGTTGAATTTTATCAAAATTGTCATTACCGCAACAAAAACTGTCGTTGCGGTGATGACATGTCACTACCACAGATGTGATAACAGTGGTAATTCCATATAAAATGCAACAAATGATACATTGTTATGTCTTAAATGATACAAAGTATCTTGTAGTGTAGTGCTAGGAATTAGAGAACATGACTACACGACAAGGATTTTAAAAAAATGCATCACAATGTCATTAGCACAACAGTCATTACCACAAAGCTCCAAACATCAAATTCTGTTCATTTTTGTCTCACAGTGGTATTAAAATATGTTTAAAAACAGTTAAACATAAAAAAATAATATTACATATGTCTTGTTGAATTGGTAAAATCAAGTAAGAACATGCCATTAATCATATTTGATTGTTTCTTAAAGCAAAGTTATTTCAAGTTATCAAGTTTGAGAACCAAACAATTTGCTGTGGGTCTGCCACGTGTTGTCAACAACATAACATGGAAAATTGAAGCTAACTTTGGTTACAAAGATTAAATTATTAAGCCTCAATGTTTTATGTTCATAAATCTAATGTTTTATAACAAGTCAATTACTTGGAAAAGCATATTGTTTAACTATATTCTTAAATTTGTTTACGTCCATGTCATTACCAAAGGGCATGTCACTACCGCAATTTCAATGTCATTACTAAAACGGTGCGAATTATTTATGATTATACAACCAGTTATTTCTTTGAAGCTGTTTAACTTAGGGGAGGCTCAAAGGAATTCATTGTTTTATCCTTTTCTGATAACTGTTTGAGATAAGAGCTATTGTTACCTCAGTTATTATGCTTACATTCATGCTAAAAACTCAAAAAATCATAAATGCATCAAAACAATTTAGAGAACTGACCATTCATTGCACAAATATAATTACAAACAGCCACATATGTGACGCCTAACAAGTCTTTCCATTTCATAGCTGTTTTTAAGCAAAATGTATGACTAGATTTTCCAAAATCTGTATTTTTGCATCATTGCGGTAATGACAATTTGATTTAAAGGTGAAAAGTCACAATAGATTTTATGGAAAATTCTTATCCAAACTTCTCTGCTGATGCAATATACCAGTCATACAAACCAAAGTAGTTTACATGAAAACATAAAAAAGCAAAAAATACAAATAAAATTTTCTTAGAGCAAAAGCTCAAATTGCCCTTCTCCATAGAATGACCCGCACACACCACTGTAGACTAAGGCTTAGTCTCTGAATATATATAATTTTGATAGTAACAAACAAGCCCATTTATATTGAAAAGGAGCCCTAGGGAGACCAGAGATCCTGAACCTGAGGAAATCTAGACTTGCTTTATTTAGGGCTTTTACACCACTGAAACAACTGGTTCACACATATTTGCAACATGAAACATTGAAATGGAAGCCATGTCCAGATAAGCATTATTCAGGATGCCACAATCTATATGCTTGATCCGATTAATTATTGATCTGGTACGCCGATGTCAATATTTCAGTACAAAGAGAAATTACGTGGTATGCCTTATGTCCACAAGTTGGGTTTTAGCACCCACAATAAAACAGCATGTACATGCACAAACACACACTGACACCCGCGAGCGGAACCAATGGAAGGGAGTGAATGCATCACCATTCTGTAATATTACTAAACATTCTTTGGTCGTAAGTTTATGTGATCGTGCCCATCAAAGTTCATACCCCGCCTAGGTCGGGGAATCCGTCTGTGTTGACACATGAGCTAGTTCCAGGCTCCCTTTGCGCGACGCGAACTTGCAACTTATGGTGAAATACATGTACCGTGATGGCTGTGAGGAGTGTGCGTTTTCAAGTTCCTCACAGCGATTAGCCGTTTTCCTGGCGGGAAACAGATTGTCATGCGCTGGTGCGGAGTTTGGATGGTTCGCGACACTGCCAAGGAGTTCGCATGTTTACGGACATGTTTGGCTGGTTCCCTGCTCTCTTTGCGCGGTGTTAGCTTGCGCAAGCCGTGCGATAAGCAATAGACACAGTTTATGTAAGGCTGTCTTAAGGAATATAAATTCCTTGTCTTGTGATAGGAGGAACCCAAGTTGAGTTCATGTGACCCCGTTTTCAACTATGGAACAGTTTTGCAGTGGGGAGCCGTTTTGGGTAGGCATAATTTGTTATTACTCATTTGACGCTTAACTGCAAGTTTGCATAAGCCGTTTGGTAGGCTTACTGTCATAATGTCATAATGTAGAGCGTTCTCATGACCTATTTGTGTACACTGAATATACTTACTCATGTGTGCGTAAATGTATGTATGTATGTAGACGGGACATTTACTTGAACTATTTATGTCAACCCTGCTAAGTGCAAGATATATGGATAAAACCCGAAGACCTCTACAGAGCAATACGAAATCTCATTATTCAGCCACTTTTATGGTGCATGATTATAAATGCAATAAATAGCCTGGAATAAATCCCTGGGTTTTCTGGGGCCTTTTGTACATATCTTTCGAACTGTGAAATGCATTATCTGTCAACTTACTTAACAGTTTCAACCATCCTGTTATAGGTTGTGAGTAGTTACCTCCCTTAGTCCTGCCAGAATCCGGTGGTTGTGACTTCTGTCCGAGATTAACCCTATTACTAGATTTAGTCTGTCATCTCTAGCACTTTGGTTTAGTCAGCATGAACCAACTCAATGTCCGCTTCTTGTAGAGGTGGCTAATAGCAACACTGCTTCATTGGCTGGGTGGGTTTGATTGCTGACTTTGAATGCTGTTGATAAGGTGCCTGGGTCTCTGCTCAAACTGAGAGTGTGGGTTTGAATCCTGAATGGGACTCATCCTAACAAAAGTACTTGAATCAGTACTTTACTGAGAAAAATGTAATCCAAAATATAACATGTTACATTTGACCACTTGTTAAATGGTATTGTGTATTGAAGGCCACGTAAAAAAAATAGTTGTTTCTCATCACTTTTTAAAAAAAATAAGGGTCAAGCGGGCGGATTATATTTTTGCATTTTAATATATTTTATGTCCATAACCCCATGATTTTTCTGGAAATTTACATCTTTTCTCCGATAGAAAATCAAAACTTAGAAGTGTAAAAAATTCATGCACATTTTGAGAGTCAAAGTTGCATTTTCACTAGTGTAAAAAATAAGAAACATCTTAGGGTCAGGTTGAATTATTGGGTCAGGGGGTAATGAGAAACAAGAATATTTTTATATATGGCCTAAACAAGTAAACACAGCCACCAGTGCCAATTCGCCATTGATGCTACCTTTGCCGTGGCGGTGGGGTAGCCAAGTGGTTAAAGCATTCGCTCGTCACGCCAAAGACCCGGGTTCAATTCCCCACTTGAGTATAATGTGTGAAGTCCATTTCTGGTGTTCCCAGCTGTGATATTGCTGAAATATTGCTAAAAGCTGCATATAACAATGCTCACTCACTTACTCTACCCCTGCCACTGCTCTCATTGTTAAAAATACTTAATGCAAAGGCCACTGGTATGTGAGAGTAGTAATGATTTATCGTCATCAATGACTGATTGGTTAACCAATACATGCTAGTAAATGCAATGATTGATTGTAATTGTCCATAATCCAGAAATAATTTTTGTGTGTATGTGTGTGTTAGATATGTAAGCTTTCATTTTATGTGTATACACATTACACATAATTTCTAGCCGTGAAATCTGGGTTGGAATTGATCTTCAGCAACCCATGCTTGTCGTAAGAGGTGACTAACGGGATCAGGTGATCAGACTTGCTGACTTGGTTGACACATGTCATCATAGATCAATCCTCATGCTGTCAATCACTGGATTTTCAAACAAACCAACATGTAATTTCACATTCAATAATCATGATAATGTGCAACCAATTTTTAGAAATAAATATTTGAAAATGTTATGGAAGGTACTTGGACATGGAAGATGTTGAAAATATACAAACTATATCCGACTTATTATGTGTCATTCTAATTCAACTTAGTATGTAACACCCGAAGACCGTTCTGATTGGTCAATGCTATTACATTTCCGTGTCCCCACCCCGTGATGTTGCTGAAATATTGCTAAAACTAAATTTCAGTCAACTATATGTAACCACCGGTATACGTCCCAAATTCACCAAACACAGTACAGTTATGCCCATGTTTGTTCAGGATTTGGTTTTAACTGGCAATAATGATTGATCAATGCAAATGCATTGTCTATCAGCATGATTAGTGAAGGTTAAACATGATGTAAAAATGTAAACTTTAATTCTGAATCTGTTACCAGGACAACCAGAAGATCTGGAACAACACCTGGCCACAGTTCACCGACTGTTTCCAGTCCACAGTGCTGGTGTGGGTGCCATGTGGATGGCTGTGGTTGACGGCGCCTTTCTACATGTACTACCTCTGTACCGTCAGTCCAGCAGTTTTGTCATCAGTAGCTAAATATTTAGTAAAATTGGTGAGAATAGTTTTTCATTGAGTGTACAATAATTTTTAATGGCTATTTTGAAATGGGAATTACTTTTCATATATCATTAAATATTTTCTTACTACATACAAAGCATTTTACTGCATGGAAGAAATGTTACATTTCTGGTATCAAAATAGAAATATATTAATATCATTACAAAATATGTTTTAGGAAAGTAATGGGCAAGCATTAATTTCTTTCTTTTAATCTTTTTTAGGCTGATTATCAATGAATAACAAGCGATGGTGATATGGTTGCATATGTGTAAACTGTGTTACATCTGTGATCATGGGGATTGGGGATGAAATTAAGTGTACATTTCTCTGATAGTAATTCCATTTGCTATTTGCAATGCAATTTTTCTTTATGTGTTCAAATTATGATTTTGAAATAAAGTGGGATAGATACCCGGGTATGTCCACTAGTCCATTAGTAATGAAAATCTTTAGGGACAAGTTATTTTTTCTCAAAATCTAGTTTGTTTCCATTTACACCCATCCTGATTGACCTGTGGACGAGTTCAGTAGTTGTAATTGACCTGAGTTGTCTGTCCAATAGGTCTGTGGGAGCCATGTTTAGCCATAATCCACACATGTTCACATGAAATCTGCAATGAGAAAAAGAGAAGAGTTTAAGCTAAGTCAATTATGTGGGAAACTTTTGAAAGATTATGACCACGGTTACTGTTGGTATAGTTTTTCATGTGATCATATTTCAGTTGTGTTGTGGCCTTCTACTACTGCTGTCTATAGTGGACATTGTGCAGTCGGTCAGTGACCACCGAACTAGAGGCAGCGCCACCTACTTCCTGTCTGATGTTGTCGCACCCATTGTGCAGTCTTTCACTTTTGTAAGTACAATTTCTGCCCCAAACGCACAAAACCTTTTCAGTAGCATTTTGTTCAAAGAGTAGGGCTGGGACGATTCACCGATGCACCGATACATCACAATACATTTAAGTTTGATACAGCTATCGTATCGACGACTGGTGTATCGGTACAAAACGATACAGAACTTTTTTTCAAAACAGTATTATCTTAAACATGTTCAAGTACTTATTTAGAGAAAAATATGCAAGTATGATAGAGCTACGTGTTTGTTTATTACAATAGTGTTATTGTTATACACAAATACCTTGAAATAAATCATTTTAAAGCTTAATACTGTGTTATTCTTTCAAAGTGTATGTATCGTGATACGTATCGTATCTCAGGTAAAATATCGCGATATGTATCGTATCATGACATAGTGTATCGTCCCAGCCCTATCAAAGAGGGTTTTAAGTACAGATGTAAATTTGTCATAGAAACATATCTGACTGCAGCATGTATTGTAGTTGGTTAGGTTTGAATAAATATTCTGATGCACATTCAAATTATTTTGAGACTGAGCATATGGCAATGACTTACTGTCCACAGGGGCTTGTAACGCTAAAAACTGCCATCAAGGTATATACTGTCACTGACGGGGTCTTAGTACTATATAAAAGGAAAGGGATGTAACGAGGTCAACACACCAGGTTCGTTTCAGGGCGAATTCAACAATACTCACTGTATTTATCCCATTTAAAGTATGCACACATTTCAAGCCAATAGATTTACCTACAAAATAAGACATACAGCACTAAAATCGAAGCAGCACTTTGGGAGCTAGGGTCTTCGGAAGCTCGAAAAATCGTGATTTCTCGATTCCGAGCCAAAATCCCTGCTCAGAATTTGTAGCAGTAACTCACCCATTTTCTTGTTTATTTCACAGTATACACAAACGACATGCACCAAAATATGTTGAACTGATGGCGCCTGTCAGCACGCTAGTCGCCATTTTTCGGAGACACTTACAACTTACTGTCATAATGAGTTTACGTACATTTATTCATCGCAAACAGAATTGTATTGTGCCCGTTCACCATTGACAACCTTGGCCTTAACCTGCCCCGCACTTAAAAGAGCAAGGGAGCTCATTGGCTAAAAATAAATTATGTCCCATCAAATCGCTGACTCTTTTAATTTGTACAAATTCTCATCTTCAAGAAGATGTAGGTTTTGTGAATCATTCAATTCAATGGAAATTCATAGCATTACACCGCTATTACTCCAGTCAATGTGTCCATGTGCACTCTAATTTCACTCTCGGCTCTCGTAGGATTTTACATTTTGAGTTGCCTAATGATCCATTAGAAAGTTTACTGAGACGTTACCATCTCATCCTTCCTGGTACCCATAGACTGCTGACATACGGAGACATCACACGTAACATGTGTTTCTGTTGCAGCTCCTGGCCCTGTTGTTTATATATCTAGAAAGGAGGAAAGGTCTCACCACATCAGGTGTACTGTTCCTGTTTTGGGTATTTCAGCTGGTAGCTGGCATTGTACCATTTTACTCCAAATTAGAACTGCAGGTAAGACTCAAAATGGTTAGGCAGAATGAAAATGGCAAAATTGTTGAGATTGATGTGTAGAGTTTGTCAACGATGTTAACTCTGTGTCAACATTGTTGCATAGGTTACTTTTATACATAATTGAACAAAACTCATAAACCTTTTGCTTTAATGAAACACAGGTATGATGGGGACTATACAGGCAAGCAGAGCAATAGTTTCCAGTGCAATTATTTTCATCCAGCATAGTGTATTGACTGATTTCATTATCAACAATGTATTTTAAGCCCTGTTTGACCTGTTCACCGTGGTAATCCTTTGACTTGCCTGTCATCAAAACAAAATCTCTCCTCAAAGATATATTATGTAATCACCTTCAAAATCATATTGTGAACATTTTTCCTTATCCTGACTCATGCTTATTTTACTTATCTCCTTCCTCTATGCATATGGTAGTGGAACATTTGAATCCCTTGTAGTTCCCTTGAAGAGGACATAAAAGTTCACTCACCCATGAGTTGCCTCCCTTTTCCCGCCAAAACAGTCATGTGACTTGCCATGCTTGTCACTCTGTCCTTCATCGCTCAAGCGGATGGTTGGGTGAGCACTGGAGTCCCGTATTCGGCACCATATTCTTTTATATTTAAATCCTTTATCCAAATTAAGCTGTGTATGGTTTCTGGTTATATTTAGCTTTAATGGTATGTCAAAATTTTGAAAAAATTATTCATATTTTGTGACATTTCTTTTGTCATAATGTAGTTTGTTTACATCTGATGAAATCTTGCAGTGACTGTAGGTACCGGTTATCAGCGGCTGAACCTCATGCATTAATCCATGGTCTTCCAGCTTGCGTTGCAGATACTGTATTAATTAACCAGATTGGCAATTGAATCGTTATTTGTCTTACATCTATAGACGTGCGATGGAACCGGTGAGGAAGTCATCTCAAGTCACTGGTGATAAATCTGGAGATAACGCCGGTAACCATATGTTGTTAACTACTGCTGTAATTCTTATCTCAGGTGCTTTGCCGAGTACGTTACAGGGGCAGTCGTCTGTTGCTGGTCGGGACTTAGCCGGGTCTAAGAAGAGGTCTGCTTCTACTGAGTTGACGCTAGTGGGGAGTAAAAGAAAGATGTCTTCATCGTCTGCGGTACAGACGAAGTCATCTTCATCTAGAACTTTGTGGAAGTCAACTCGTTCCAGTAAAACAACGCATCAGAGGTCATTTAATGAAGACATTGTGCCTCCTGACAGAAGCAGACGTTTATGCTGACCCTCCAAAAAATGCGGCCTGAAGTACCAGTAAGAACGTCGACGCAGTCTACCTCCACGTTGAGGCGATCGTCCCCTGCAAGCACGACAGCTGTTCGGCTATTTGAAGACCAGCCTCCAGCAACGCAGACGTCTGTCAACAGAGACAACACCAGCGTAGCATCATCGCAGCTGCAAGTAGATGCAGATTACGCCTCAGCGTTCTCAAACGCTTCATCTACACCGCATCAGTTCCAGCCTACAACGCAGAACTTCGATCCAGGCGACTTCATGAGGCAGTTTACAACGCAGATGATGGCTATGATGGAGCCCTTCGAGAACCTGTTCATGTTCATGTTCGGAGAACCCAGTCATCTTGGGGGAAGAGGAAGAAGGTTCCACGAACGTCCCTGAGGCTACAAGAGATTATGAAGTCATATTAGCGAACCCTCAACATTCGAGAACGTCAGACAGAGTAAGATCCCCCTCGAGATCAGTCGCTCCACATCAGTATCCCGCAGCAAAGGGAAGGTTCGCGAAGGCACAGTTCGGTGAACCCGGAACTATCTGAGGAAGAGGGCGACTTCGTCTTCTCGGAAGCAGAGGCCACATCTTGGATTCCTAACGGCCTGGACTTGGACTCCCCCTCCAAGGAATCTGATGAAGCATTCACATACAATATGTGGAATGATGACTTCGACACCCTTACGATTCCACCGATTGAACCTATCTCAAAGGTGTCTGCTAACCTCCGTGAAGCGTTCGAGAAAGCAACCCGGCACCAGAATCAACATCTACCAACATTCAACACTAGGAGGTTCCCTCTGCATCATATGGACCCCTTCATGAGAGCGCCGGACCTGGATGACAACATGAAGTTGATCAACGACTCCCGTAACATGTCTTATAAGGTGGAAGACAAGAAGATTGCTCAACTCGACACCACCGCTAGAAGAATGTTCTTCGGCCTGGCAAGATCTAGAGTGATCAACGAGACGTTGATATCCAGATTCCAGAACCCCAAGACTGAAGAATGATCCTATCAGCACTATTAACTCAGAAGAAGGACCAGCACTTCATGTCTGATCACTTGGCCTCGACATCGGCGGGTCTCACCCTACCACGAAGACAAGGTCTACTATCAACATGTTCCCGGAGTGACAGGTTCACCCAACCTCTACTAAGAGTTCCTTGGGCGGCGCCTGATATCTTCGGCAGGGAGATCAATGAAGTTGCCAAGAAGTCACACATGATTCCAGAGAAGTCATGATGATCAAGTCCATTGACACGTTGGCCAACGTCATTCGTCAAACGTCACATAGGTACAGCAACAAGTCAAAGTTCTCCGGAATACAGAAGGTGAAGGAGAAGAAATACTCCTTTCGTCGCTCATCCGGAAACAGCAGGGGCAACTCTGGGAGAGGGCGTACTCCCAGAGGCTTCAGAGGATCAAGACATTGAAGATGGGGTTCGGAACGACTGGACGCTTCCACCCCCATCCATTCCTGTACAACTGTCGACAGTGGGTGGACGTCTACAAAGGGACTGGGACATTTGGGGAATATTGGAGGACAACTACGTCTCACAAGTACTGCGAGAAGGCTACAGAGTGCAGCTGAAGGCCACACCACCGCTGACCCTTGACCCGGTAGTCTTCGACTATGCAGACGACCAGGCAGTAAAGTTAGAAGAAGCCAGGCCAAGAATGCCTTAGAGGTGATAGATCAACATCAGTTCAGGTTGATATACAACATGAAGAGATTCAACCAAGACTATCTACTGAAGCCAGAGAGATTCAAGATGATCCACCTGCCTCAACTCGGACAACTCGTCCGTCCAGCAGATTACTTGGCCAGCATAGACCTACACGATGCATATCTACACATCTCGATTCATCAGGAATCATGAAAGTACCTGAGATTCCTGTTCAGAGGTTGACGCTTCCAATGGAGCATCCTACCGTTTGGAATATCACACAAGTGACCAAGCCCATCGTCACCTATCTACATCATCGAGGTCTATGCAGTGCCTTTTACCTGGACGATGGGATACAAGTTCATCAAGAAGCCAATCAACTTAGACTGCAGCTAGACTTCACCATCAAACTGCCTGCTAGTAAACTTGATGAAGTCAGAGTTGGAACCAAAGCAAGATCTTCAGTTACTTGGAATAAGGTTCATCACAACACAGAATCGTATTGTGGTCCCAGAAGATCGTTGGGTCAAGATCCAAGCCATGATTCCAGAAGTAGTCATCTCTCCGTTACCACTACGAACATGGTACTATCTCCTCGGTCTACTCACCACAGCGCAGGACCTGACTCGCAGAGGAAGAGTTCAATTACGTCCGTTGCAGACACCTGGACAGCACGGACCTGATCTCTCTACCAGACAGTCTCAAGACGTACCTGTTATGGTGGACGCACAAGTTGAATGTCTGCGGAGGGACATGACTGTTTTGGCGGGAAAAGGGAGGCAACTCGTGGGTGAGTGAACTTTTACGTCCTCTTCAAGGGATTCAAGTCTTCCACTATCATTAGCATAGAGGAAGGAGATAACCATAACAAGCATGAGTCCAGATAGGTATAAAATATCAATTTTACTTTAAAAATTACATGTTTAACTTCATTTTCAACCTCCAGCCCAGGTGCGAAAAGAAATTGTGATTAGAACCATAAATATGATATTTTGCCATGAAATCACTATCCCATTGTGTAACATTTGTGGAGGAACATGTAAAACACTTTTCTACCAGCCTAAAATCTAGAAGAAACTTTATTGCTACATTTTCAGTGATAATTTTGAAATTTGAATTTTGACATGTTAGTCACGTGAGAGCAAGAGCTGTCAATATCAAAGACACAGAGTAAATGATAGTGATCATCTGCTATGGCTCATGAGGTGGGGGTGGCATTGATAGTTTGTTTGATCTGAGGATGGTGGTTTGACAGGTAGTGAATGTACTGGTCTGTGTGTGGGGGTTTATGTTGTCTTGTCTGTTGTCAAGTTGTACATCACTGTATTGTTCTGTATACCTTCTCTTATCTTGCATTGTGTAACATGTTCTGTCTGTATATGTAAGTCTGTGCACTGATTTAGCATTGACCTGGTGCAGGAGAAAGAATATGCTCTCAAATATGATCAAGACTAAAAAGAATTTGTTATCCATCAAATGTGTCATGTATTCATGTTTGTCCAAGTTCTAATTGCCTTTCAAGAACATGCATCTACAAATGCAGGTCACTTTCATGACATGATGGTTTCAATCATGAGCCATCGGGACTTGTTGAGTAAAGTTTCTTTCAGACACTGTCCAGGTACCAGTGGACACTGTAAAACACCAAATCCCCAGTGTTTAGATGAGTTCCTGTGTTGCAGACATACCAGCAGGATGTGCTGAAGTTCAGCCTGTTCTATATCTACTACTTCCTGGTGCTGGTTGAGTTCTTTGTAAACTGTTTTGCCGAAACAACCTGGAAACCCCCAGCAGAAAAGGTGATACAATTTGTCCTTGATCTTGGTGTGTTTATGATGTTTCTCAATGTAAACATTAAAAAGAGATTTCCATATTTCCCTATCAAGATTATGGGACTGATTAGGTTCCGTATTTGTCACATTGTCATTAGAAGGAACCAAGTTGGACAAATGATTGTGTGAGCTGGCACATAGAGCTGATGAAAGTAACAACTGATTGTGTAAGCTGGCACATAGACCTGATGAAAGTAACAACTGATTAAGTGAGCTGGCACATAGAGCTGATGAGTAACAAATGATTGTGTGAGCTGGCACATAGAGCTGATGAAAGTAACAAATGATTGTGTGAGCTGGCACATAGAGCTGATGAAAGTAACAAATGATTGTGTGAGCTGGCACATAGAGCTGATGAAAGTAACAAATGATTGTGTGAGCTGGCACATAGAGCTGATGAAAGTAACAAATGATTGTGTGAGCACATGAAAGTAACAAATGATTGTGTGAGCTGGCAGATAGAGCTGATGAAAGTAACAAATGATTGTGTGAGCTGGCACATAGAGCTGATGAAAGTAACAAATGATTGTGTGAGCTGGCAGATAGAGCTGATGAAAGTAAAGTAACAAATGATTGTGTGAGCTGGCACATAGAGCTGAAGAAAGTAAACAAATGTTTGACCTGGCTGAGCATGTATCAGCATACACAACAGGCATGGGTCATTGTCCTACCTTACATTAAAATACTAGCATGGATTGTCTAAGGAGCAGGGCTGAGGCACCCTCTTTTATAGCATACTGAGCATTGAAAAACTACTTTTTGAACTTGTACATTCCATTTAAGTATCATTGAGTGTTGGAAATGATTTCTATCTAAATGCACCGGTAAAGGGAAATAACGCAGTTTCGCAACTCAGCGACACCGCAGGCATATATTCCAGACTTGTATGACTGAATGTCAGTAAGATTAATTTGTTGAAACTGTGTTATCTCGGGACATATGGTGTGATGCACCTTGATGGTTCAGGATGCATGGGCTAACACAGTGGGTACATGACACAATGTACCCCTGAAGATCAGTTGACAACTTATTTGTGAATCAGGCCAAGGCCAGATATGCTTTCTTCCTAACCCTGTTTAATAATACAGCAACATCTATTGAAGTATATAAATGAAAACAAGCCCTGTCACAGAGAAACCCTAACGTGTCCATGTGCTATGTACACAGACAGAGAAACCCTAACGTGTCCATGTGCTATGTAAACAGACAGAGAAACCCTAACGTGTCCATGTGCTATGTAAACAGACAGAGAAACCCTAACGTGTCCATGTGCTATGTAAACAGACAGAGAAACCCTAACGTGTCCATGTGCTATGTAAACAGACAGAGAAACCCTAACATGTCCATGTGCTATGTAAACAGACAGAGAACCCCTAACGTGTCCATGTGCTATGTAAACAGACAGAGAAACCCTAACATGTCCATGTGCTATGTAAACAGACAGAAGAACCCTAACGTGTCCATGTGCTATGTAAACAGACAGAGAAACACTAACGTGTCCATGTGCTTATGTTGACAGATCCCATGTCCAGAGACCGAGGCGTCTTTCTTATCCAGGATTACATTCTGGTGGCAAAACAGGTCAGTCACAAGGAACTCATTCCCTATTGTAGTATGGTGTTTCTGATAGGGCCATTTTCTCTAACACCTCTACCCAGTCCTTTTCTTGAACACCTCTACCCTGGCCTCTTCTCTAACCCCTCTACCCTGGCCTCTTCTCTAACCCTCTACCCTGGCCTTTTCTCAAACACCTCTACCCTGGCCTCTTCTTGAACACCTCTACCCTGACTTTTCCCTTACACCTCTACCCTGGCCTCTTCTTGAACATCTCTACCCTGGTCTTTTCTTGTACACCTCTATCTTGGCCTTTTCTCTTACACCTCTATCCTGGCCTTTTCTCCAACACCTCTCTACCCTGGCCTCTTCTAACCCCTCTACCCTGGCCTTTTCTCTAACCCTCTACCCTGGCCTTTCTCAAACACCTCTACCCTGGCCTCTTCTTGAACACCTCTACCCTGACTTTTCCCTTACACCTCTACCCTGGCCTCTTCTTGAACACCTCTACCCTGACTTTTCCCTTACACCTCTACCCTGGCCTCTTCTTGAACATCTCTACCCTGGCCTTTTTCTCGTGGCACCCTCTATCTTGGCCTTTTCTCGTACACCTCTATCTTGGCCTTTTCTCGTACACCTCTATCTTGGCCTTTTCTCGTACACCTCTATCCTGGCCTTTTCTCGAACACCTCTACCCTGGCCTTTTCTCGAACACCTCTACCCTGGCCTTTTTCGAACACCTCTATCCTGGCCTCTTCTTGAACACCTCTACCCTGACTTTTCCCTTACACCTCTACCCTGGCCTCTTCTTGAACATCTCTACCCTGGCCTTTTCTCAAACACCTCTATCTTGGCCTTTTCTCTAACCCCTCTACCCTGGCCTCTTCTTGAACACCTCTACCCAGTCCTTTTCTTGAAAACCTCTACCCTGGCCTCTTCTCTAACCCCTCTACCCTGGCCTCTTCTCTAACCCTCTACCCTGGCCTTTTCTCAAACACCTCTACCCTGGCCTCTTCTTGAACACCTCTACCCTGACTTTTCCCTTACACCTCTACCCTGGCCTCTTCTTGAACATCTCTACCCTGGCCTTTTCTCGTACACCTCTATCTTGGCCTTTTCTCGTACACCTCTATCCTGGCCTTTTCTCTTACACCTCTATCCTGGCCTTTTCTCCAACACCTCTACCCTGGCCTCTTCTCTAACCCCTCTACCCTGGCCTCTTCTCTAACCCTCTACCCTGGCCTTTTCTCAAACACCTCTACCCTGGCCTCTTCTTGAACACCTCTACCCTGACTTTTCCCTTACACCTCTACCCTGGCCTCTTCTTGAACATCTCTACCCTGGCCTTTTCTCGTACACCTCTATCTTGGCCTTTTCTCGTTGCACCTCTATCCTGGCCTTTTCTCGTACACCTCTATCTTGGCCTTTTCTCGTACACCTCTATCTTGGCCTTTTCTCGTACACCTCTATCCTGGCCTTTTCTCGTACACCTCTATCTTGGCCTTTTCTCGTACACCTCTACCCTGGCCTCTTCTCTAACCCCTCTACCCTGGCCTTTTCTCCAACACCTCTACCCTGGCCTCTCCTCTAACCTCTACCCTGGCCTTTCCTCGTACACCTCTACCCTGGCCTTTTCTCGAACACCTCTACCCTGGCCTTTTCTCGAACACCTCTACCCTGGCCTTTTCTTGAACATCTCTACCCTGGCCACTTCTCTAACACCTCTACCCTGGCCTTTTCTTGAACACCTCTACCCTGGCCTCTTCTCTAACCCTTTACCCTGGCCTTTTCTTGAACACCTCTACCCTGGCCTCTTCTTGAACACCTCTACCCTGGCCTTTTCTTGTACACCTCTATCCAGGCCTTTTCTCGAACACCTCTACACTGGCTTTTTCTCTAATGCCTGTACCCTGGCCTTTTCTCGAACCCCTCTACCCTGGCCTTTCCTCGTACACCTCTACCCTGGCCTTTTCTCGAACACCTCTACCCTGGCCTCTTCTCTAACCCCTCTACCCTGGTCTCTTCTCTAACCCCTCTACCCTGGCCTCTTCTCTAACCTCTTTACCCTGGCCTCTTCTTGAACACCTCTACCCTGGCCTCTTCTCGAACACCTCTACCCTGGCCTTTTCTCGAACCCCTCTACCCTGGCCTTTCCTCGTACACCTCTACCCTGGCCTTTTCTCGAACACCTCTACCCTGGCCTCTTCTCTAACCCCTCTACCCTGGTCTCTTCTCTAACCCCTTTATCCTGGCCTTTTCTCGAACCCCTCTACCCTGGCCTTTCCTCGTACACCTCTACCCTGGCCTTTCTCGAACACCTCTACCCTGGCCTCTTCTCTAACCCCTCTACCCTGGTCTCTTCTCTAACCCCTTTATCCTGGCCTTTTCTTGAACCCTCTCTACCCTGGCCTTTTCTTGAACACCTCTATCCTGGCCTTTTCTTAAACACCTCTACCCTGGCCTTTTCTTGAACAACTCTACCCAGGCCTTTTCTCTTACCCCTCTACCCTGGCCTTTTCTCCAACACCTCTACCCTGGCCTCTTCTCTAACCCCTCTACCCTGGCCTTTTCTCTAACCCCTCTACCCTGGCCTTTTCCCGAACCCCTCTACCCTGGCCTCTTCTCTAACCCCTCTACCCTGGCCTTTTCTCTAACCCCTCTACCCTGGCCTTTTCCCGAACCCCTCTACCCTGGCCTTTTCTCGAACAGCTCTAACCTTGCCTATTCTCGAACCCCTGTAACCTGGCCTCTTCTCGAACCTCTCTACCCTGGCCTTTTCTCGAACACCTATACCCTGGCCGCTTCTCGAACACCTCTACCTTGGCCTTTCCTCAAACATCTCTTCCCAAGCCTTTCTTGACTGTCAGACACGTCAGAAATGCATCAGTGTTCCTGTTGCTAGGGAAACTATTCATGAACACGTGTTGTCAGTATTCTCTCATTCCAGGCTGCTGTTCCAAGGTTACAAAAAGGCGCTCACAGAAGATGACCTGTCCGATCTCAACCCCCGAGAAAAGTCCTCACATGTTGTGCCTCGTTTCTTAGTCAACTGGAACTACGGAGTTGAAAAAGCCAGAGAAAAGTAAGTTCCCATTGCTTTTGTACACTTTGACTTGCATAGAGCTCAGGACACAAATCAGGTCAAGTTAAGCAATATTAAGGGCGGAGAGTCATTGGATTTGTGAACGTGTTTCGAAGGAAGCATGTGGTCTTACCTCAGGCAAGTGAGTTTGTTCAAAATTGTCTCTGTTCACTCAGCAGAAAATGGGTACCCGGTGGGATAAAGTCATGTGACTATAACCTTCTAGCGCCTAACAGGCAGCTTGGGTTATCCGGGGTAATAGTAATACACATATTATTCGAATTAAGCATTATGCATGGAGAAATGCACAAGACAAATGGACTATTATTATTATTATTATGTTTACTCTGCTCTTCACCTGTGCTACTGTGTTTTGAGAGCTTGTGGTACACAATTTTATTAAGACAAGGTCATAGGTAAAGTGTATGCTTGGTCATGATCATGAAAAGGAAAACTGATTAAAGATGGCCTTGCCTTCAGTTACCGAGCAGCCCAAATATTATTTAATGGGTCTGTTTACTCAAATTAAACTATTTAAGATTACCCTAATTACAAATCAAGACCTGGGAAGATCCAGGTTAAAATCCCCGCCTGGCCTCGTCCAATTATGTGCCACTTGTTATCAATTACATGCTGTTGTTAATGTTAAACTGCTGTTTCTCGGGGTGGTGGTGTAGCCTAATTGATAAGGCGTCTGCTTGTCACACTGAAGACCCGGGTTCGATTCCACAAATGGGTACTATGTGTGATGCCCATTTCTGGTGTCCCCCACCATGATATTACTGGAATATTACTAAAAAGCGGCGTAAAACTAAACTCGCTCACTCATGAACGCTGTTCATGTATTCTGTTTAAGGGCCCGTAGTCTTGGCCAACATTCCTCACATCGACAGGCATCCTCCAACCTCCAGGACAGCAATGAGTACACTCCACTCATACCAAAACAAGAACAAACCAAGGAGAAGTCCCCCAAAACTGGACCAAAACCATCACTTGTTCTTGCACTGTGGAAAACCTTTGGCTTGGAGCTCCTCCAGTCACAGTTCTGGAAACTCTTATATGATGCCTTGTTATTGTGCAACCCTCTCCTACTTGGGTAAGTTTCATCATTGACTTGCTACATCAACATTCCAAAGCAAAATGTAGTTTGACTTACAACATACCACCATGACAGATCAAATGTAGTCTTATGAATAGGTCTGGTGTTCTTTAACCTCATTTGAGCAGAATAGATAAAAAGAAGGTTATTTAATTTTGGGTGACTTCAGTTATTATCCCCATCCGCTCATAGCTCGAAGCGGGGGATATAGTATTATATTATTATAGTCCACCCGTCCGTACGTACGAATTAGAATACTTAAGAACCGTTGAGTAGATTCTTTTCATATTTGGTACCTAGGTTCATCACAGTATAAGATAGGTCCCAGACAGGTTTGGTGACGACCTTCATTTCAAGGTCACAAGGGACTTTAACATTTTACTCTTGTCAGCGAGATATCTCAAGAACCGCTCACTAGATTGTCTTCATATTCAACACCAAGCTTAATCTAGGAAAGGAGCAGGGCCCAGTCGATTTTGGTGACCTTCACTTAATTTGCAAGGTCACAGCGACACTTTGAAGATTTCAGTATGTTAACCTGCATGGTAAGATGGTCAGCAAGATATCTCAAGAATCATTCACTGGACTTTCTTCATATTTGACAACAAGCTTCATTTAGGGAAAGTGCAAGGCCCAATCGATATTGGTCACCTTCACCTAATTTTCAAGGTCACAAAGACACTTTGAAGATTTCAGCATGTTAAATTGCATGTTAAGATAGTCAGCAAGAAATCGCAAAAAAAATTCACTGGATTTTTTTCATATTTGACACTATGCTTCATCTAATGAAGGCGCAGGGCCCAGTCAATTTTGGTGACCTTCACGTAATTTTCAAGGTCACTGCGACACTTTGAAGATTTCAGCATGTCAACCTGAATTCACCGGATTTTCTTCATAGACTTTCAAGGCTTCCCTTGAATGTTTTTCAATAAGCAATTTCTTTAGTACCATTTTTGCATATTTCATACACTATGGCATTCATGTCAAGGTCAAAGTCAGTCTTGAAAATATTTGTGTGTTTGAACAACTACAGAGAAGATATCAAGAGAGGTTGACTGGTCATGTCTTTGTTGACATTTAACTTCATCTTTAACTTTCATTACTTTTTAAGTTTGATTTGATAATTTGCGGCGGGGGATTATGTCATCTTAGTGACAATGCTTGTTTGCCATTGTTATTGTCTATTATGCATCTTAGAGTCTCATTGGTTCATCAGTACCATGTGATGTCATGTGACTGACACTGACCTTGATTATTGACCAGATCCACATAATGCATATTGACGGGACTGCTAGAAAACAAGATGACATCCAGTAGTATCATTTCACAGTTTCCAGTAGGTCACTGTAATGAAACAGAGGATGATTTATCTGGGTTCATAAACTTTAAAGTCACTTTTAATAAACTGAATCATACGATTACTCTTGATGAGGTCAATATATGCAAAAAACTGAGGTGGTTTGACCAGACCGATGCCACGTGAGTGATATAGAGAAATGACAATTGGATCATATTTCACTCACTTCCAATAATTAGATGTATCTTTTGTAAGATAACAAATTATTTTCCTCCCATGGTGCAGACAGCTGATAGAGTTTGTAGAAGACAACCAGTCTGAAGAATGGAAGGGCTACACGTTTGGCGCCATTCTCTTTGTATCCATGTCACTACAGTCACTCTTCTTCCACGCCCTGTGGCATCAGTCTACATCTCTCGGGCTGAGGGTCAGGTGCAGCATCATCTCGGCAGTCTTCAGGAAGGTCAGGACATCACAGCATCTGTCAGAGTCTCCCATAATGCATTCACAAAATGGAAGAGCGCACATAAAATCCCATTCAGACCAGGCTCCGATTTCTCAAAACAAACTTAAGTTTTTACTCAAATTTCAAACTGATTTTGACAATTTAAAACAGCTGATTTTTAACTCAACTGCATTTTTAAAACAAACAAATTAAGTAATCTATCCACCAAACTCAAATTGTCTACGATGTTTCAGTTTAATATCAATTTCAGTTTATTCTGGGAAATGCATTTTCTGAAATTTGAGTAAAAACTAAAAGCACAGACTTAAGTTTGTTTCGAGAAATCAGGGCCAGAATGCTACCGTTGTGGTGTCAAGGTATAATTTATCATTGTATGGAGAATTTTCCTTTATTTCTTTCCAGATTATATCACCACAAGTCGACTGACTATAGTCAAGTAAAAAATATCAGACTTGACTGTAATATTTGTGCATTTCTCAACACGAGTTGAGATATTTGTGCTTGTAAGACATGAATGTGAGATTCAGTTCTTCATCCAAAGTCCTTATTCCATATTCAGGCTTTTCTTAGCATGCAACCACCTTCAGTGCCAGAGAGATTAGTGATGTTGTGTGATTGTGACATCATGGTAACTGATGATGTCACAATGGTTTGAAAAGCATAGTGATGTGATTTCATTAAAACAACATCCCAAAATGATATCCATTGATATCACCCATGCAATATTTCCTGTGGAAGCCATTTTGGATAATGAATTAATTTATCCAATCAATTTGGTGCCAACAGCAGATATTGTTTGTGTTTAAGTTTGATTTCATACTGATTGTATTAACTTATAAGACACAAGTGGCAGTGAGCTTGAAATGCATAGGCAACAGATTATCTGTTTGTTTCTGTGGTGTATATATGTTTATAAACTGTGCGTAATTGCAATCAAATGGGATTTTGCAATGTGTCTCCTCAGAAGCAATTAAATATAATAGAACGTTTGGAATATATAAGACAGTCATCATGAAGCAGTAGTTATGATGTTAAGTGAGAAATATTTAACATACTTTCACCTAAATCCTTGCATCAATGGGTAATATTGATCAAGCCTTACTTTCACAAATGGATATTAACGCCTCCTTGACAAGGAAGGGTCAGCGCTATGATCCTTCCATTGTCCTGGTTACAGGCAGGGCAGGGGGTAGCCTAGTGGTTAAGGCGTTCGCTCGTCACTCTGAAGACCTGGGTTTGATTCCTCACATCGCACAATGTGTGAAGTCCATTTCTGGTGTCCCCCGCCATGATATTGCTGGAATATTGCTAAAAGCAGCGTAAAACCCAACTCACTCACCTGTTTACAGGCGTTGTCCATCAACAACCAAGCCCGCCGTGAGTCCACTGTGGGTGAGGTGGTGAACCTGATGTCTGTGGATGCTGAGCATGTGGAGGGGGTGTTTGGATGGCTGTGGTCCACTTGGTCCAGTATCCTGCAGATATGTGTGGCCCTGTATCTTCTCTACAACACACTGGGCGTGGCCATGTTTGCCGGCCTCGGCTTCCTCCTCCTCCTCTTCCCCATCAACGGCTTCATCATGTCGAAGCTGGGCAGTTACCAGACTCAGCTGATGGCACAGAAGGACATCCGGATGAAGATGATGAACGAGGTCCTCAGTGGGATGAAGGTGAGACTGGCTATTTATGAGGTCAGGTTTCTCGAACCTAAACATAATTTGCATTCTGGAATTTAATCACTGCATTACCTATTTACTTTTACCTGTAACTTTCAAATAGAGCATTTTTGGAGTGTAGATTTAATTTCCTGTGGACCTTAGTATGTCATGCTTTTTATGATTTGTTGAAGAACAGGATCTGATGGTTTAATACTATTAATACAGTTGAAAGGCAAGACAGTTTGGATTATGGCCAGACAGAATTAATTTGTCAATTATCAATTAAAATTTACATTAAATTGTCCACACATGAAGTCAGAGAGTAAACTGTCCTGAGGAACATGCTGAAAGTGGAGGACTTGATCAATATTTCCTGCTCAACAAATCAACCTGCATTCAGACTGCTCCCACATCACCCGAGGGAGTATCGATATAAAAAACTGATAAATGCTACAGCAACTGCCTGCAGTTTGTCCACTTCTTCGCTGTTTTAATTCATGTTTAAATATATCAGTTCATATTTTGGGGTAATTTTGTAATCCAGCCATTAACGTGACCCTCTGTGTTCCAGATACTGAAGCTGTATGCGTGGGAGCCCTCCTTCCAGGAGAAGGTGAAGGAGATCCGGGACCGTGAACTGGCCATCTTGTGGAAATCTTCCCTCATCTCTAGCTCTCTAACATTCTCCTGGACTGTAGCTCCATACATGGTTTGTTTGATTGTTTCTGTAGATTTGTTGTTTTCATTTTGATTTGTTTGTTTAGCTTCACACTCAGCAATGTGGTGACAGTCTCTAAATATTTGAGTGGGATGCAGACAATGCAGTAACTGACATCATGGGCATCAATGTACAGATTTAGGATGTAGCATGCATCAACCAGGTGAGACAGCCTGACCACCTGTTCGTGTGAACCGCCTCCTATGGGATGTAGCATGCATCAACCAGGTGAGACAGCCTGACCACCTGTTCGTGTGAACCGCCTCCTATGGGATGTAGCATGCATCAACCAGGTGAGACAGCCTGAACCTGTTAAGTGTGAACCAGGGATGTAGCATGCATCAACCAGGTGAGACAGCCTGACCACCTGTATGGTAAGGGATTCTGTGCATCAACCAGGTGAGACAGCCTGACCACCTGGATAACCGCCTCCTATGGGATGTAGCATGCATCAACCAGGTGAGACAGCCTTGTTCGGTGTGAACCCTCCTATGGGTTGCCCAACACCAATTGTAACCAGGAAAATGGACTCCATATATGGTAGTCTGTCCCATGGATACCCCTCGTGAAATGTTGCCCTTGAAACTAACTTGGGAAACCCATAGGGAGTCTAGGTTTGAAGTGGTCAACCTTGTGGTTGTAAGAGGCAACAGGATCATGAAGTCAGGAAGCTTGTTTGCTGCATCATCATATGGTCCAGCCTTTTTTCGCAGGCTGACGTCACATGGCTGAAATACTGCTGAGTGTATAAACACACATAAGTGGGCCTAGAAGAGTATCTTGGTAAATATCACTTCAAGATGTATCACATGATAATACAGTATCGGGAAGTCATGAGCTGTCTCATGTGGATCTTGATAAAGGTTACATACCTTTGTTTACATCTACAGGTATTTATTAATTTATTACTTAAAATGAAATGCATTTTACAGCTGCAACTGTAGAAAATACAAATTAAATTATGTTTCAGAATATTTGATATCAAACCATCTAAATATGGCACAGGCTTTTCCCCAATGTCAGATCTAAGGTTCTTAGCTGAAAGTTACTCTCAGAGCTATTAAAAGTACATTTTTCCTTATGCTGACTCATGCTTATTTTGCTTATCTCCTTCTTCTTTGCGAATGATAGTGGAACACTTGAATCCCTAGTAGTTCCCTTGAAGAGGACGTAAAAGTTCACTCACCCAGGAGTTGCCTCCCTTGAACCCTTTCTCCCGCCAAATCAGTCATGTGACTTGCCATGATTGTCACTCTCTCCTTCATCGCCCAAGCGGATGGTTGGGCGAGCACTGGAGTCCCGTATACAGCACTATATCCTTTTAATCCCCGCCCGCTACGCTTAGCGTTTAGCGGGATATAGAGGATATCTCGTCCGGGACCTTGACCTTTATTTCAAGGTCACATGGGGACAGAACGCTTTACCCTTGTCAGCGAGATATCTCAAGAACCGTTCACTGGATTTTCGTCATATTCAACATCAAGCTTCATCCAAGCTTTATATAGGGAAGGCTTAGGGTCTAGTCGATTTTGGTGACCTTCACCTAATTTTCAAGGTCTGGCGAAGAACCGTTCAGCATGTTACTAGATGTCTTGTCATATTTCAAGGTTCCTGGAGGTTCATCACATCAAGTATAAGGAAGATCACAGTGGGTTTTGGTGACCTTGACCTTTAAGATTTCAGCATGTTAACCTGCATGTTAAGCTTGTCAGCGAGATACCTCAAGAACCGCTCTCTAACGTTGTCTTCATATTCGACATCAAGCTTCATCCAAGGAAGGTGTAGGGCCTAAGTAGATTTTAGTGACCTTCACAGAACTTTTCAAGGTCATGGCGATTTTCTTCATATTCAACACCAAACTTTTCTTCATAGGGCTTCATCTAGGTGCAAGGTCCAGTCGATTTTGGTGACCTTCACATAATTTTCAAGGTCACGGCGACACTTTGAAGATTTCAGCATGTGAAACTGCATGTTAAGATTGTCAGCAAGATATCTGAAGAACAGTTCACTGGGTTTTCTTCATAGACTTTCAAGACTTCCCTTGAATGTTTTACAATAAGCAATTTCTTATCACTATTTTGCATATTAAGTACACTATGACATTCATGTCAAGGTCAAAGTCAGTCTTGAAAACTATTTGTGCGTTTGAACAACTACAGAGCAAGATATCAAGAGAGGTTGATTGGTCATGTTTTTGTTGACATTTAACTTCATCTAAAATTACGACCTTTACTTTCATTCCCTTTTAAGTTTCATTTGATAATTTGCGGCGGGGCATTATGTCACCTTAGTGACAATGCTTGTTATATTTAGATCCTTAATACAAATTAAGCTGTGTATGGTTTTTGGCTATATTTAGCCTTCATCGTATGTCAATATTTTGAGAAAATTATCCATATTCTGTGGCATTTATTCATCATAATGTAGTTTGTATATGTTTGATGAAATTTTGCAGTGACTGCAGGCACTGGTTATCAGTGGCTGATCCTCACCCCCAATGCCCGTCATGCATTAATCCTTCTTCCAGCTTCCGTTGCAGAAACTGTATTAATTTATCAGATTTGCAATTTAATCGTTATTTGTGTTACATCTATAGACGTGCAATGGACCAGGTGAGGAAGTCATCTCAAGTCACTGGTGATAAATCTGGAGATAATGCCAGTAACCATATGTTGTTAACTACTGCTGAAATTCATAACTCAGGTGATTTGCCGAATACGTTACAGGGGCAGTCGTCTGTTGCTGGTCAGGACTTAGCCGTGTCTAAGAAGAGATCCGCTACTACTGAGTCGACGTCATCGGAGTGAAAGAAGATGTCCTCATCGTCTGCGGCGCAGAAGAAATCGTCTTCATCTAGGACCTCGTCGAAGTCAACTCGTTCAAGTAAAACAATGCATCAGAGGTCGTTCAACAAAGACTACAAAAGACTATGAAGTCACGTCAGCAAACACTCAACGTGCGAGAACGTCAAGCAGAGAAAGAGTTACCTGCTCTTGGCTGTGGGAGGGCCTGGTGGGGCCCTGTAGGGGTGGTCTCACAAGACAAAACGAGTTTTTTGTTTTGAAAATATTTTATTGAAAACTATAGTTACATCTGTCATAGGATTTAAAATGGACATTTTAATGCTTATATGTACCCCAAGGAAGACTTCTGAAAAAGAATCAAGTGCCTTTTCATCCCCTTGTCAGCAGAGATGACTGTAGAAGTCTCAAGAACGACAATATCATTTTGGATGAGAGCCGCTATACTGAGGGCCTACAAAGCAGCAGGACTAGAACCTCCAAGAGCTTCCAACCCACACGAAGTCAGAGCACTGGCGTCCACACTCGCTCTGCACGGAAACTGCTCTATATCATCTATGATGGAGGGCTGCTTGTGGAAATCAGACACGGTGTTTGCCAACCACTACCTCAGAGACATTGCCACTGAAGACGTCTCCAGCACTCACCAGTTTGGGCCACTTGTTGTAGCACAACAACTAACGGTTCCACAAAGGCGCTGAGTTGGAAATCTCACCCTTTATCTCGTTGACTTGTTGATAACCTTCACTCTGGAGAGTTTTGGTTGAAAGTCCATGCGCACCGTCTAGACCAGACTAGCATGAGTGATTAAGACTCTGTTGTACGGGTAACGATCTTACCTTTACGTTAAGGGGTTGCAACTCATTTATGGTAACGATCTTATCATAATCTATGGGTTGTTTATAGATAACTAGTAAGAAGAAGATACTAGTATATCTAAAATCCACATGAATCTAAGAAATTCACTTGTTTTAGAGAAGATATGACAAGATGTGGTCCCCCCCAAGTTGACAGCGGAAGTTGGAAGAACAGAATCCAGGAAGTGCCGTTACGCAGTTCCCATGGGGGATACAGGACGTATCTAAGGACAGCTGATGAATCCACGAAGTGGCCTGACCCACCACCATTTCTGTCGGATTCTGGAAGCATAATAAGCATGAATCAGGATAAGGAAAAATATGTAATTTTTAAAGTAAAATTGATATTTTATACTTATCCTGACTCATGGTGTCAAGCCCTCCCAACCTCCCCGCAGAAGGCACTTTGGGTTTCCCAGCAAACCCAAGTGCAAGGGCTTTTCAGGGGAGAGTGACAAGCATGGCAAGTCGCATGACTGTTTTGGCGGGAGAAAGGGTTCAAGGGAGGCAACTCGTGGGTGAGTGAACTTTTTACGTCTTCTTCAAGAGATCTACAAGGGATTCAAGTGTTCCACTATCATTCGCAAAGAAGAAGGAGATAAGCATAACAAGCATGAGTCATGATAAGTATAAAATATCAATTTTACTTTAAAAAATTACATACTTGTAAGTGCAACTCTTAGCTTCGATTTGTTATATCAAGTAAAGAATGTTATGAAGAAAATTCTATGAAGTTTTATAAATATTGGTCCTGTTTCTGCTTGTATGTGCAGGAGACCTCAGGTATGGTTTGAGTAATTGATGTTGTAAGTCAACTGAACTTTGATGATAGAAACTCAAGTTTTGAAAGCTATCTGAGGCCAGACCAATTTTATTTCTTGTTTTACGGATCTGCCGGTCGTATTTTTTCAAGAATAAGAAAAAAAAGTTAAATTAATGTTCCCCGCTTAAAAAATAAAATCCTCATGTTTTTATTGGCCAAAACTAAACTTACAACTTTTTTTTTATATTGTTTTTTGCCCCATATACACTTCATAAATTGCCAAAAATAAATTACTTGTAGTATTTAAAAGGAATATTACTTTGACAGGTGATTTTTATTTTTTATTTTTTTCCTTCATGCCTTTAGGTTTTCTGAGGACAAAAATCTGTAAAACAAGAAATAATATGGCCTGAAATACCAATGAAACAGCAAAGATGCAACCCAGTATCTGACATATTTCTAACAATAATTTCATTTATAACTCTCAGTCTTTGTAACTATGACTTTCTCATCCCTATCTATTATGTAGCCAAACTTAGCCTCGCTTGCAGAGGAGGCATCTAGATTGGTCATTGTTTTCAAGCTCACGAGTGCTAATAGTGCTGGTGATGACTTAATTGGAGCAGGTGACGTCTGAGATGAAGCAGCATTGAATGTGTCCATGGTATTGCCATGAAAGAATGGAGATATGTCCACCAAGTGATATGTGACCAGGGATCAGCATGTCAAACATTGTCATGTCCTGTCATGTCTATGTAGATACATTTGCCTTTATTCTACAGGTTTCTCTAGTGACATTTCTAACCTACATCTACATTACTGACGATCACTACCTCAACCCACAAACAGCATTCGTGGCCATCTCACTGTTCAACATCCTTCGCTTTGCAGTCAACATGCTGCCCATGGTGCTCACAGATGTGGTCAAGGTAAGTGTCAAGCATGTCAGATATAACAAATATACACAGATGTGGTCAAGGTATTTCCTAAGCACAGATAAAACAAATGGTCAAGGTAAAGGTGTGTCATGTCATGGTATTTCACACAGATGTGGTCAAGGTAAGTGTCAAGCATGTTAGATATAACAAATATTTCACACAGATGTGGTCAAGGTAAGTGTCAAGCATGTTAGATATAACAAATATTTCACACAGATGTGGTCAAGGTAAGTGTCAAGCATGTTAGATATAACAAATATTTCACACAGAAGAAGTCAAGGTAAGTGTCAAGCATGTCAAGCATGTTAGATATAAAATATTTCACACAAAAGTGGTCAAGGTAAGTGTCAAGCATGTTAGATATAACAAATATTTCACACAGAAGAGGTCAAGGTAAGTGTCAAGCATGTTAGATATAACAAATATTTCACACAGAAGAAGTCAAGGTAAGTGTCAAGCATGTCAGAAATAGGAATGGTGGTCAAGGTAAGTGTCAAGAATGTAAGATATACAAATGGTGGTCAGAGTAAGTGTCAAGCATGTCAGATGTAACAAATATTGCACACAGAATGGGTCAAGGTAAGTGTCAAGCATGTCAGATATAACAAATATTGCACACAGAAGTGGTCAAGGTAAGTGTCAAGAATGTCATTTATAAGAATGGTGGTCACAGAAGTGTCAAGTATGTCAGATACAAGGATAGTCAAGGTAAGTGTCAAGCATGTCATATATAAGAATGGTGATCAAGGTAAGTGTCAAGCATATCACATATGAGAATTGTGGTCAAGCATGTCAGATATAAGAATAGTGCTCACAAAAGTGGTCGAGGTAAGTGTCAAGCATGTCAGATATAAAAATGGTGATCAAGGTAAGTGTCAAGCATGTCAGATATAAGAATAGTGCTCACAAAAGAGATCGAGGTAAATGTCAAGTATGTCAGATACAAGAATAGGATACCTTGTTTCTTTTATTTCGAGTACCCTCTTGTGCCACATGTTTGCATCAGCCTGATGTATCAAAGTGAAATTGTTTGTTTCAGGTAGTGTCTCACCTCATGTTTGTCTGTACAACGTCTATCAGCATGATATCACAGAGAGTTTCTGCTTTCAGGCGATCATTTCAGTGAGGAGGATCAGCAAGTACCTCAGTCGGGAGGATCTTGATGAGAGCAGTATTGGAGTTGACCCTCTCCAGGGTGAGTTACATGGGTGAGGGTAGTATTGGGGTTAACTCTCCAGGGTGTGTTACATAGGGTAAGGGTAGTATTAGGGTTGAACCTGATCCAGGGTGAGTTACATGGTAAGGGCAGTATTGAGGTTGAACCCTCTCCAGGGTGAGCTACATGCTGTAAGGGCAGTATTGGAGTTGAACCCTCTCCAGGGTGAGTTACAAGGGGTAAGGGCAGTATTGGGGTGGAACCCTCTCCAAGGTGAGTTACAAGGGGTAAGGGCAGTATTGGGGTGGAACCCTCTCCAGGGTGAGTGACAAGGGTAAGGGCAGTATTGGGTTGAACCCTCTCTGAACCTATGTTGGGTTAAGAGTGAGGTATTGGGTTGAACCCTCCCAAGGTGAGTTACAAGGGGTGTATTGGAACCCTCTCTCCAAGGTGAGTTACAAGGGGTAAGGGCAGTATTGGGGTTGAACCCTCTCCAAGGTGAGCTTACAAGGGGTGAAGGGGTAGTATTGTAGGTGTTGAAATGCTCCAGGATGAGTTCGACAAGGGATAAGGGGTAGTATTGGGGTTGAACCCTCTCCAAGGTGAGTTACATGGGGTAAGGGCAGTATTGGGGTTGAACCCTCTCCAAGGTGAGTTACATGAGTTAAGGGCAGTATTGGGGTTGAACCCTCTCCAAGGTGAGTTACATGAGTTAAGGGTAGTACTGGGGTTGAACCCTCTCCAGGGTGAGTGACAAGGGGTAAGGGCAGTATTGGGGTTGAACCCTCTCCAAGGTGAGTTACATGAGTTAAGGGCAGTATTGGGGTTGAACCCTCTCCAGGGTGAGTTACAAGGGGTAAGGGCAGTATTGGGGTTGAACCCTCTCCAGGGTGAGTTACAAGGGGTAAGGGCAGTATTGGGGTTGAACCCTCTCCAGGGTGAGTTACAAGGGGTAAGGGCAGTATTGGGGTTGAACCCTCTCCAGGTGAGTTACAAGGGGTAAGGGCAGTATTGGGGTTGAACCCTCTCCAAGGTGAGTTACAAGGGTAAGGGCAGTATTGGGGTTGAACCCTCTCCAAGGTGAGTTACATGAGTAAAGGGCAGTATTGGGGTTGAACCCTCTCCAAGGTGAGTTACATGAGTTAAGGGCAGTATTGGGGTTGAACCCTCTCCAAGGTGAGTTACATGGTGTAAGGGCAGTATTGGGGTTGAACCCTCTCCAAGGTGAGTTACATGGTGTAAGGGTATTGGGGTTGACCCTCTCCAAGGTGAGTTAACCCAGTATTGGGGTTGAACCCTCTCCAAGGTGAGTTACATGGTGTAAGAGTAGTACTGGGGTTGATCCAGGGTGCTGTATGTGTTCTGTTGTATTTCCTTGATGGCCAGTCTTCTGTATGGGTTTTATTGTATTCTTTAGATGATCCCATCATGATCAGGAATGCTACATTCAAGTGGACTTCAGAATTGGAACCAGCACTTACAAAGTAGGTGCAGAAACCAAACACAGTTATGTCTTGATATATAACTGAAGGAAAAATGTGCATCAACAACAATTCATATACAAAAATTATTTTCAAACTACCTCAGCTTGTGTCCCCTGGAGATTCTGGATGAGAGTAGATCCCCAGTACAGCACCCCCATCCTTTCAGCCCCTTTCCTCCCTACCCAGTCCACTCCAGGCCTACTTTAGATTCTGTATTGAGGTGTATATATTGCAGTATCAACCTGAAGATAAAGGACGGTCACCTTCTGGCTGTTGTTGGTCAGGTAGGATCTGGCAAGTCATCTCTTGTGTCGGCCATATTGGGCTGAACTGAACAAGGTCAAGGGCAAAGTCAGCACACGGGTGAGTTGAATAATGATGCAGACAAGACACCTCAGTCATATACAAGATGCCCAGATAAGGAATTTATGTACAAATTATGAGATTTGCATCCCAACCTTCCTCCTCATCAAACAAGTGTCATTCATTATTTTGTTATCAACTAAATATTAGTACAGACAACTTGATATTTGAACATGTGTTGTTTGGTTTGTATTGCCTTGTTACTGGATAAAATTATGTAAATTGGATTTAGTAAGGAATGAGACGACATCCAATTTACAACTGGTTAAAGTTACATTCTTCATTCGTCAGTGGAGATGTGAATCTCACTATTCAACAGTTAATAAATCATTTTCCTAAAAATAATAGACTGTTAAGAAGATTTTCGAAAATTATCAATAAAAAAGTTCAACAGTATTTTGTTGCTGACAAAGTGAAGTACAGGTTTAGCATTTAACTTTGAATCAATCATTGGTTAGAGGCAACTCAATACAACAGGCAACAAACATTTTAAGTTTCTTGTGTTGCTACAGGGATTGCTGAATGGGCTTGTGTGTCATGAGATAAGCAAATATTCAAAATACTGTAGTACACATTGATACAACACTTCCACTTATGTGTTATAGGGACGTGTAGCCTACGTACCTCAACAAGCCTGGATCCAGAACGACACCCTGCAGAACAACATCCTGTTTGGGAAGCCAATGGACAAGGAGCTCTACGATGAGGTGATGGAGTGCTGTGCCCTGAAACCCGACCTGGACATGCTGCCAGCAGGGGACATGACAGAGATAGGGGAGAGGGTAAGTGTGGGCACCTTGTAGATCATGTTTGTGTTTTGAAATTACATGCCAAATTGTTGTGGAACATCGTTCAATGTTATGGTGATATAACCTTATAAAATGTCTGGTTTGCATTTATTAAAAAAATTGAAATTGCCTCGACTCAGGTATGGGACAGTCCTCCAAGCGTGGTTAACCCGACCCTTGGCTAGGGGCACACCCACTCCTTGGGTGTTGTTCCCGGTCCTAGCTCTGGCTCCAGTTCCGGACAACTTCCCGGCGCTGACAACGATCCAGGCCTGTCGTTGTCCGGCATTCTATGCATGGCATCTCCGAGTGCGCCGGCTGCCTCGATGTCCTTGGGTCAGCTGAGGCTATCCGGGATACCTGTCTCCACAGGCTCTTTCCCTCGGGCCTTGGTGCCTTGGCTCGGGTACGAGCCATCGGTCGGTCGAGCTTTGAGGTTTGCTTCCTGCACGGTTCGTCCCTAAAGCAGATGCGCATAAGGATCAACGCCTTTCTGCCAAAGAGGCAGGCTGTTGGCCCCAACCCCACGGAGTCTTCCTGGTGAAGCGTTGGTCCCGGGTAGGGTGGCTGAAACCCAGCTCCGCTTCTTACTTCCGCTTGGGTGAGATGGTTATACCTCTCCTATTAAGTATTCGGACACAATTTGACTTCCCAGAGCTCAATCGCCAGTACCTGATTGCGCAGGAGGGGTTGTATGGACCCCTATGGTAAATGACTGCATCTATGCTGTCACCCTAGGCAAGGAAGAGGCGCCGACTCTGGCTGCATGCCACTGGTTACGCAACAGGCGCTCATGTCACTGTCCCACCGGATGACACGTCATACTCCACACTAGCGTGCCAACTGACGGATGTCCACTCACATCTGGTTCATGATGCTATCAGGTCATGTGTTTGCCAGATAGTGAATGCCGACTCGGGCTGCCTGTTGCCCAGTTTTCACTGGTTACGCAACAGGCGCTTACGTTGCTGCCCCTCCGGATGACACGTCATATGCCGCACAGCATGGCAGCTGACGGATGTCCACTCACACCTGGCTCATCATGCTATCAGGCATGTGTCAGCCACATATTGAGCGCCGACTCGGGCTGCCTGCTGTTCAGTTTTCGCTGGTTACACAACAGGCGTGCACATCACTGTACTACCAGATGGGTTCTACCCTGTTTCCGGGGCATTGACAGTTGTACGGGAGGCCGCAGAGGCAGTCGGCACCTTCAAGGACTCAATGCCCTTGTTGGAGCAACCCTTCAGTTCTCGAGACGTTCCTAAGGGGACCCAGCGCAAGCAGTCGACGCACTGCTGACCGTTGGGATCCACTGCCTTTTGCCCGACATCCCTGTAGGCGGTCAACTTTCCATATTCCTAAGGGAGTGGGAGAAAGTCACAGCCATGGGTTCGGTTATGCTCCATGCCGAGGTCCAGTCGTTGCTGGACGAGGCAAACGTCGGGGATTCAGACCTACAGACCTTAAGGGCTGAACGGCATGATGGAGGTTCCGTCTTTCAAGATAAAGACACTAAGATCAGTGATCTCATCTGTAGAGGCGGGGGATTGGCTCACATCAATCGACCAAGGACGTGTACCTTCATATCCCGATGCTCCCTGAGTTCAGGAAATACCTCAGGTTTTTTCCTTCGACGGGAAGTGTTAGCAGGTTTGTGTGCTCCCCTTCGGCCATGCCAAGGGTGTTCACCAAACTCATGTTATTACAGCGCATGTCGCCAGGGCACAGGACAAGTGTTGTCACTGTATCTAGATGACTGGCTACTCAGAGCGCTTGCCACGCAATCCTTTCCGTGATGGGTATTCTCACTAGCGGGATTGGATTATCAATCACAAGAAATCAGAACTAGTGCCTACACTAGCTCTAGTTTTCTGGGGAGAGAGATTCGAGACACGGCGTAGCGTGGTGTCTCTGTCTCCAAACTGCCTTACCAGGGTTCAGAGGGTTGCTTTGCAATCTCTCGAATTCCCCATGGCCTCGACACGGACATGGCTCCAGTTGCTAGACAACATGGCGACAGTGGTCATAGTGCTGGGTATGTTACTGGGAATTGTTGTCGAGTCCCCATACTCTTCCACCTCGCTTCACTGGCTGGGTGTATGTTAGTTCCACCCCACCTCGCTTCACTGGCTGGGTGTATGTTACTGGGAATTGTTGTCGAGTCCCCATACTCATCCAAATTGTTGGTTGGGAGGTGGGGTGGACTGATACGCTTTTAAGCCAATCAGCGTGTGAGCTTGGCATTTCTACTCCCTGCCCTAAACCACGCCCCCGGCCTGTTTGACATCAGTGGTCAGGTGACTGGGTGAGTTTTGCTATCTCTAATCAGTGGACGATTCCATTGGAGAATGGGTTTAATTTTGTCAGAATGCGGCTCCTGACTCACTATCTATGGGAGTCTGTCTTATGCTTATATGTACCCCAAGGAGGACCTTTAGAGGTTTCTGATTCTTTGATGAAAGTCCTCCTTGGGGTACGGCCACCCGCCTCCCCACATTCTGTCTGATTGCGTTCAGCATGAAAAGTGAAGTACGAGGTAGATGGTGATAGTTACGTGCTCATGGCTGTAGGGGGCGCTGAGGGGCCCTGTAGGGGTGGTCCCACAAGACAAAAACGAGTTTTTTGTTTTGTAAATAGTTTTATTAAAATATTGTTACAACTATCGTAGGATATTAAAATGGACATTTTAATGCTTATATGTACCCCAAGGAGGACTTTCTCCAAAGAATCAGAAACCTCTGCAGGTTTGTTCGAATTTTTTCATGATTATGTTTCTTAATGCACAAAAAATAAAGAAAACAAATGTAGTTCTTTCGGGAGTTTTTGCAAATTGCACAAAATGCATTTACAAATTTCACATCTTTAAAGGATGACTAGTATGTTAGGAACATCAATCATGACTTGGACCGAGCATGTAGTGCTTATGAAATGTAAGAGACAAAACCAACCTTGTGAAAAATATCGTCAATGAAAACAAGTGTTCCAAATTTGTTTGTGTTGTTCAATTATGAGAAAACATGATCGATTGCTTGGTCGATTGCTTATTTCAATTAATCGGACCACCACTAGTGTCTAGTGTGTATTTTTGTGTATTCTATTTGTTCCATATCTTGACATCAGGGCATCAACTTGAGTGGAGGACAGAAGCAGAGAGTGTCTTTAGCCAGAGCTGTCTACAATGATGCTGATATCTATCTCCTGGATGATCCTCTCAGTGCTGTCGACAGCCATGTTGGCAAGCACATCTTTGATAAAGTTATATGTAAAAACGGACTTCTGAAAAACAAGGTAATTCTTTAAATATGTGAACAAAGTATTTATATGCAGAAAAATAATGTTGACAAGCATCTGATAACATGCAGTCCAACAGAGTTTGAACAAACAATCCAATTTGTCACCTCTTTCACCTCTTTCAACAAGCAGTTTGCTCGGGACCTTCACATGACATGGAATCTTCATAGTGTTAAAATAGTCATTTCTCACTTGTTGTAGACACGGGTGCTGGTGACCCATGGCATCCACTGGCTGCTGGAGGTGGACACTGTGGTGGTGATGACCAACGGCCTCATCTCAGAGATGGGATCCTATGATGAGCTGCTGAGCCATAATGGACCCTTTGCCCTGTTCCTGAGGACCTACTTCTTGGAGAGTGAAGATGAAGAAGGGGAAAATCCTGAAGGTTAGCAAGGACAAGGTCGCTCAGCTTGTCCACCATCAGTTATGACATCTGTATAATTAAGAAATGAGATTGTGTTAGTGTGTGATCATTTGTGTTGCCATGGTGACAATATCTTTTAACCGTTCCTTGTCCTTATTCGATATACTTCATAAAATTTAAGCTACCAATTCAAGTTTTGAATGAACTATTGTCCTACTGTTGGCCTGGGCCTAGTCCTAGTTGAGTGGTTCCAGATATACATTACAGCAGTTAAACTCTGCTCACAGATACTTCAGTACAACTGGGGGTCAATGTTAGTACAGCTGGAGGTCATTGTCAATACAATGTAAGGTCAATGTCAGTACATCTTAAGGTCAATGTCAGTACAACTTGAGGTCAATGTCAGTACAACTGGAGGTCAGTGTCAGTACAGCTTGAGGTCAATGTCAGTACGGCTTAAGATCAATGTCAGTACAGCTTAAGGTCAACGTCAGTACAGCTTAAGGTCAACGTCAGTACATCTTAAGGTTAATGTCAGTACAACTGGAGGTCAATGTCAGTATAGCTTGAGGTCAATGTCAGTACAGCTTAAAGTCAATATCAGTACAGCTTAAGGTTAATGTCAGTACAACGTGAGGTCAGTGTCAGTACAGCTTAAGGTCAACGTCAGTACAGCTGGAGGTCAGTGTCATAGCTTGATGTCAATGTCAGTACAGCTTGAGGTCAATGTCAGTACAACTGGAGGTCAATGTCAGTACATCTAGGTTAATGTCAGTACAACTGGAGGTCAGTGTCAGTATAGCTTGATGTCAATGTCAGTACAGCTTGAGGTCAATGTCAGTACAACTGGAGGTCAGTGTCAGTACATCTTAAGGTCAATGTCAGTACAACTGGAGGTCACTGTCAGTACATCTTAAGGTCAATGTCAGTACAACTGGAGGTCAGTGTCAGTACAGCTTGAGGTAAATGTCAGTACAACTGAAGGTCAGTGTCAGTACAGCTTAAGGTCAATGTCAGTACAGCTTGAGGTAAATGTCAGTACAGCTTGAGGTCAATGCCAGTACAACTGAAGGTCAATGTCAGTACAGCTTGAGGTCAATGTCAGTACAGCTGGAGGTCAATGTCAGTACAACTGGAGGTCAGTGTCAGTACAGCTTGAGGTCAATGTCAGTACAACTGGAGGTCAGTGTCAGTACATCTTAAGGTCAATATCAGTACAACTGAAGGTCAGTGTCAGTACAGCTTGAGGTAAATGTCAGTACAACTGGAGGTCAGTGTCAGTACAGCTGGAGGTCAATGTCAGTACAACTGGAGGTCAATGTTAGTACAACTGAAGGTCAATGTCATTACAACTGAAGGTCAATGTCAGTACAACTGAAGGTCAATGGTATCGCTGTGTTTCAGTTATTGAGATGAAGCGCCAAGTGTTACAGAGGCTGGAGTCGGTGAAAACGGACGATGATTCAGAGGCAGACATCATGGAAATGAAACGGAAGTAAGATTGCACAAAATGAACAAAATTCTTTTTCTATGAGGACTTGGTTGTGTAGCGACAGTAAAACTACTCTCAGCAACATGGTCAGTATCTGGAGTGACTTTAATAGTAAATTCCTCGAACATAAAAGGATTATGTAATGTTAAATTCACTGTGATGATGGAATGCAAACACCTTCTCTTAAATGCTACAATCAGAGCAGAACATATTTCTTTTTAAATTGGGTTGTCACTGAGTTATTCGAAGGCTGGACAATCTAAATGAGGATTGATCTTGTTTACCAGTCAGCAGTGCAGTGTTTTATGAATATTTTCTCAAGTAAACATTGTGCCATGTGATATGTTACACGAACACTACAAACAAACCAGGTAAACTGGTATACTTGCTAAAGATATCATGGTAGCTCTCTCCATGAATAAGGTCTTTGAATGGCATTCAGCAATAATATTCTCCTTTCACTCTATGAGTCTTGAGGGGTCGTGGGGTTGCCTTCTGTATCCATATTCAGGAAAATATCAGGGTCTCTTTCATAGTGATCTTTAGAAACGTGTAACACGACATCAGTAGGCCCAAGAAACCCATGCCATTACCTGATTAAATCAAACTTCTTTGGAAATACATGAAAATGATTAAAGACTGGAACCCTAAGAAAAGATGTGTCATCTCATGTTGATCCTTGTTATAACTTTATTAACTTCTCTATCAACCCTTTGAAGATGCCGGTAAGAATTAGTCTTCAACAACACCTGCTTGTCACAAGATGTAGTTGATGGGATCCGGAAGTCAGACTTGCAGACTTGGTTATCATATCCTAATGATGTAGATCTAGGCTTATGATGACTTACATGTATGAACAGACAGCAGTTAGATATTCTAAGATGTTTAACAACAAAAACATGTGTTTACAGAAAGAGAGAGTCTGAGTGCCAAGTTGCAGATGAGGATGCAAAGCCCAAGGATGTAGAGGAAGATAAGGAGGACAAGAGGAAGCTGATCGAGGAGGAGAAGGTGGAGGGGGGCCGGGTGAGTCTGGATGCACCCAAGGAGGGAAAGTAGGATGTACCCACAGAGTTCTGCACGTCAGGGATATCAGTAGGAAGGCTATGTTTACTGACATGACATGATGGACTGCTTTTCTGGCTTCCATTGGCTTAGGCAGAGCTCTGTAATTTTTTCTACTTATAAACAACTTGACCAATGAGATTTACTGTATACACTAGTTAGTAGTGGCACTAGGTGTGTATGTTGTTTCTCACAATATTTTGTTCTCGTTGTGACAGTAATGCTCTTTAATTACCTCAGAATGCATAGTTGGCTTTGTTGTGGTCTTTTCAAGGTTTGGGGGCAGTGGTTAAAGCGTTTGCTTGTCACGCTGAAACCCTGAGTTCGATTCCCAACATGGGTACAATGTGTGAAGCCCATTTTTGGTGCCCCCCCCCTGTGATATTGCTGGAATATTACTAAAAGCAGCCTAAATCCATACTCACTCACTCACTCACTCACTTGTTGAGGTTTCACTATACAGCTAAACTACTCTGGTCTAGCAAGGTTTTACTGTATTAATGTTTTAGGTCCCTTCCAAGAATGGCAACTTACATACGAAATGTACTGTACATCTTAATAACATGTATTGGGCAAGTTGTTCCCTCTTAAGGTACACTGTAATATAGTATTGATTCAACTCTCTGTTTTGGAGCTGGCTCATTAAGGTAGTAAATGGAGGGTCAACAAAGAATAGTCACCTTGGGCGTATTGGTCTAGAAGTATCAGAGGAATGTTTATAAGTGGAATTTTCAGCTACAGCTTGTTCATCTTGGCCTGATCAAGTGAATCCTAATGCATTGCATGTCTGTGTCACAGCTGGTTGGGTCTATTATTGTGAAGGGGTGCACCTTTGTCAGTTGATTGTCCACATGTCCGAACAGCCGAGACAAGGTCGCCATTTTACATCTCAGTGTCGAGAAGTCGTCAGCAATATCCGAACTTTCTTTAAAAATGAAGCTACAAACATATTGCAGTTGAACATGAAATAGAAAAGTGATAATTGAACTGGGTGTAGAGAGTGATAGAGCGAGTGGAACGGATTGTGAAAGTAACTGACGTCTGTACGTTGTAAAGTTAGTAAACCAAACTAGATAGCATATGACTGTATAAACAATTCAAATAAGACATGAAATGATTGTTTTTTTCTGAAGTGTTGCTTTCCGGGACAAGTTCTATAACGAATTCATGCATGCATGCTTCGCACGAACACAACATTAATATCATTCTCTGCTCCCCTATTTAATGAAGTTAACTCGACCTCCCATTTGTGCCATTTGACCTCCCTTGTTATGCATATGTAGAGTAGCTCAGGTCAAGCTGAACGATTTGTAGGTGTAACCGTAAATTGTCTATCTTTTGAAGATGGTGCAATGTCCTTGGAATACACTTATATTAAAATATTTCAGGTGAAATGGAATGTTTTCATGACATTTGGTCGGGCTGTTGGACTGAAGTATGTTGGCCTCATCTTCATCCTGTACGGGCTGTACGAGGCAGCGGCAGTCATAGCCAACGTCTGGCTGAGTGAGTGGACAGATGATGCTCAGCTTAACAACATCTCAGCCCTGCCATTCAACAGCACTGAGCGGCTCGACAGGAACAACTACTACTTGGGGATATACGGAGGCCTTGGCGCCGCAGAGAGTAAGTAGCGTCATGTTTCAGTCTGGTGCAGACAATCCAATGGTTGATGTGATGAGTGTCAATCTATGTAGCTTGGATACGGTGCATATCTTACCACATGATCTTGTTACTCACCTCCTATGACAAGCATGGTTTGTTAAGGACCATTTGTAACCATGAAACAGGATGTAAAACTTAACTGTTTTGGTGACATAAATTTAGCATGGGTATATCATGCTGTAGACTAATGCTTGGTCTCTGAATATATATACTTTTGATAAGAACAAGTAATTCATTTTAAACTGAAAAAGAGCCCCAGATTTCAGATCCTGGGGAAATCTAGACTTGGTCCATTTAGTTTTTAGAAATGCCCACAGAAGGGAAATTAATATGGCTCAGGGACTTTGAGACAGACTTTTGATACAGAAGAGATGTATTTACAGTCGAGAGTCTTGGATGCAACACCTTAATGCATGTCATCACTGCTCATAATATCAGGTGGTCAGTCTTGGTAACCTGATGATTGCATGCCATCATTGCTCATAACATCAGGTGGTCAGTCTTGGTAGCCTGATGATTGCATGTCATCACTGATCATAATATCTGGTGGTCAGTCTTGGTAACCTGATGATTGCATGTCATCATTGCTCATAATATCTGGTGGTCAGTCTTGGTAGCCTGATGATTGCATGTCATCACTGATCATAATATCTGGTGGTCAGTCTTGGTAGCCTGATGATTGCATGTCATCACTGATCATAATATCAGGTGGTCAGTCTTGGTAACCTGATGATTGCATGTCATCATTGCTCATAATATCTGGTGGTCAGTCTTGGTAGCCTGATGATTGCATGTCATCACTGATCATAATATCTGGTGGTCAGTCTTGGTAACCTGATGATTGCATGTCATCATTGCTCATAATATCTGGTGGTCAGTCTTGGTAGCCTGATGATTGCATGTCATCACTGATCATAATATCTGGTGGTCAGTCTTGGTAACCTGATGATTGCATGTCATCATTGCTCATAATATCAGGTGGTCAGTCTTGGTAACCTGATGATTGCATGTCATCATTGCTCATAATATCAGGTGGTCAGTCTTGGTAACCTGATGATTGCATGTCATCATTGCTCATAATATCAGGTGGTCAGTCTTGGTAGCCTGATGATTGCATGTCATCACTGATCATAATATCAGGTGGTCAGTCTTGGTAACCTGATGATTGCATGTCATCACTGATCATAATATCAGGTGGTCAGTCTTGGTAACCTGATGATTGCATGTCATCACTGATCATAATATCAGGTGGTCAGTCTTGGTAACCTGATGATTGCATGCCATCATTGCTCTTAATATCAGGTGGTCAGTCTTGGTAACCTGATGATTGCATGTCATCACTGATCATAATATCAGATGGTCAGTCTTGGTAGCCTGATGATTGCATGTCATCACTGATCATAATATCAGATGGTCAGTCTTGGTAACCTGATGATTGCATGTCATCACTGATCATAATATCAGGTGGTCAGTCTTGGTAACCTGATGATTGCATGCCATCATTGCTCATAATATCAGGTGGTCAGTCTTGGTAACCTGATGATTGCATGTCATCACTGATCATAATATCAGATGGTCAGTCTTGGTAACCTGATGATTGCATGCCATCATTGCTCTTAATATCAGGTGGTCAGTCTTGGTAACCTGATGATTGCATGTCATCACTGATCATAATATCAGGTGGTCAGTCTTGGTAGCCTGATGATTGCATGTCATCATTGCTCATAATATCAGGTGGTCAGTCTTGGTAACCTGATGATTGCATGTCATCACTGATCATAATATCAGATGGTCAGTCTTGGTAACCTGATGATTGCATGCCATCATTGCTCTTAATATCAGGTGGTCAGTCTTGGTAACTAGATGATTGCATGTCATCACTGATCATAATATCAGATGGTCAGTCTTGGTAACCTGATGATTGCATGCCATCATTGCTCTTAATATCAGGTGGTCAGTCTTGGTAGCCTGATGATTGCATGTCATCACTGATCATAATATCAGATGGTCAGTCTTGGTAACCTGATGATTGCATGCCATCATTGCTCATAATATCAGGTGGTCAGTCTTGGTAACCTGATGATTGCATGTCATCATTGCTCATAATATCTGGTGGTCAGTCTTGGTAACCTGATGATTGCATGTCATCATTGCTCATAATATCTGGTGGTCAGTCTTGGTAACCTGATGATTGCATGTCATCATTGCTCATAATATCAGGTGGTCAGTCTTGGTAACCTGATGATTGCATGTCATCACTGATCATAATATCAGATGGTCAGTCTTGGTAACCTGATGATTGCATGCCATCATTGCTCATAATATCAGGTGGTCAGTCTTGGTAACCTGATGATTACATGACATCATTGCTCATAATATCAGGTGGTCAGTCTTGGTAACCTGATGATTGCATGACATCATTGCTCATAATATCAGGTGGTCAGTCTTGGTAACCTGATGATTGCATGTCATCATTGCTCATAATATCAGGTGGTCAGTCTTGTTAACCTGATGATTGCATGTCATCATTGCTCATAATATCAGGTGGTCAGCCTTGGTAGCTCGATGGTTGCATGTCATCATTGCTCATAATATCAGGTGGTCAGTCTTGGTAACCTGATGATTGCATGCCATCACTGCTCATAATATCAGGTGGTCAGTCATGGTAGCCTAATGATTGGATGTCATCATTGCTCATAATATCAGGTGCTCAGTCTTGGTAACCTGATGATTGCATGTCATCATTGCTCATAATATCAGGTGGTCAGCCTTGGTAGCTCGATGATTGCATGTCATCATTGCTCATAATATCAGGTGGTCAGTCTTGGTAACTAGATGATTGCATGTCATCACTGATCATAATATCAGATGGTCAGTCTTGGTAACCTGATGATTGCATGCCATCATTGCTCTTAATATCAGGTGGTCAGTCTTGGTAGCCTGATGATTGCATGTCATCACTGATCATAATATCAGATGGTCAGTCTTGGTAACCTGATGATTGCATGCCATCATTGCTCATAATATCAGGTGGTCAGTCTTGGTAACCTGATGCTTGCATGTCATCATTGCTCATAATATCTGGTGGTCAGTCTTGGTAACCTGATGATTGCATGTCATCATTGCTCATAATATCTGGTGGTCAGTCTTGGTAACCTGATGATTGCATGTCATCATTGCTCATAATATCAGGTGGTCAGTCTTGGTAACCTGATGATTGCATGTCATCACTGATCATAATATCAGATGGTCAGTCTTGGTAACCTGATGATTGCATGCCATCATTGCTCATAATATCAGGTGGTCAGTCTTGGTAACCTGATGATTACATGACATCATTGCTCATAATATCAGGTGGTCAGTCTTGGTAACCTGATGATTGCATGACATCATTGCTCATAATATCAGGTGGTCAGTCTTGGTAACCTGATGATTGCATGTCATCATTGCTCATAATATCAGGTGGTCAGTCTTGTTAACCTGATGATTGCATGTCATCATTGCTCATAATATCAGGTGGTCAGCCTTGGTAGCTCGATGGTTGCATGTCATCATTGCTCATAATATCAGGTGGTCAGTCTTGGTAACCTGATGATTGCATGCCATCACTGCTCATAATATCAGGTGGTCAGTCATGGTAGCCTAATGATTGGATGTCATCATTGCTCATAATATCAGGTGCTCAGTCTTGGTAACCTGATGATTGCATGTCATCATTGCTCATAATATCAGGTGGTCAGCCTTGGTAGCTCGATGATTGCATGTCATCATTGCTCATAATATCAGGTGGTCAGTCTTGGTAACCTGATTATTGCATGCCATCACTGCTCATAATATCAGGTGGTCAGTCTTGGTAGCCTAATGATTGGATGTCATCATTGCTCATAATATCAGGTGGTCAGTCTTGGTAACCTGATGATTGCATGCCATCATTGCTCATAATATCAGGTGGTCAGTCTTGGTAGCCTGATGATTGCATGTCATCATTGCTCATAATGTCAGGTGGTCAGTCTTGGTAACCTGATGATTGCATGTCATCATTGCTCATAATATCAGGTGGTCAGTCTTGGTAACCTGATGATTGCATGTCATCATTGCTCATAATGTCAGGTGGTCAGTCTTGGTAACCTGATGATTGCATGTCATCATTGCTCATAATATCAGGTGGTCAGTCTTGGTAACCTGATGATTGCATGTCATCATTGCTCATAATATCAGGTGGTCAGTCTTGGTAACCTGATTATTGCATGCCATCACTGCTCATAATATTAGTCACTCAATTTTCTTGATCAGACTGAACTATTTAGAGGCCCCAGTCATGTAACAGAGTGGAGACTTAGACAATGAACAAGACAATTGTGTCAACTCCATAGGGGGGTGTCTCGGCAGAATGTACTCTGGCAGTATACATTTTACTCTTGTGTTAGGAAACATTGTATATTCTCATGTCTCATGGGTTTCTCCATCACCGTCAGAATCCAAATGATTATACTTGATCACTTATACTTTAGCTTGCTGTAAGTGAGGCTCCATGCTACTTGTGTCATGAAACATTTCCTGTTCTTGTTTGTCAGCAATCTTTGTCATGGGTTTCTCCATCACCGTCAGCATCCGATCTGTACATGCTTCTCGGATTCTCCACAACCGCATGCTGGTCAACATCTTCAAAGCCCCGATGTCATACTTTGATACTACCCCTGCGGGACGTATTGTCAACAGATTCTCCCAGGACATTGAAACAGTGGACAACGAGTTGCCCCTGACATTTGAGATGTGGCTGGACACGGCCCTGCTGGTCTTCGGGACAATCATTGTGATCAGCTACAGCACACCCATCTTCCTGGCTGTCATAGTGCCACTGTTTATCCTCTACTTCTTTATACAGGTAATCCTTCAAATACATATTCAAGATGTAGCCTTGAGAATGCAAGGTTGGTAGGCTAGTGTCAATTCACATTCCTATAAGTGACATTCTGTTTGACAATAATGTACTGTATATGACCATAGATAAGCCGAATTCTACTATGGCTACGTGAAATGCTCGAATTTGATTGGTCAATCAATAAAATCAGACGCTATCAATTTTGGATTGACAATGCGACTGATTTCACGGCCCTTCACTGCGTACGTATACATCACTGCCGCACTACTTTAGCTTGGCCACCAACATGACTAATATCAACACAACAGACGTGATGTAAATGCTTACAAAACATTTATTAAAACTCGAAAAATACGATTATACGATTTCTCCTCCACAATTATTAGGGAACCTCACTATCATAATTATTACCTTCTAATATTAAAATATTCAAACTCAATTACAATACACAGCCCCAAACACAGCTACGCGTTCGGCTTCAAATGAAATTTAGAGACTATCAATTTGGTGTAACATTCATCTAATTTCCAAACACAGTATGTTTATCTCCTAACTCATTGATAAGCTGAGGTCCTAACTTGAGCCTTAAAATCAAAATGGTATGTTCCGTGCATAAGCCAAACCATCAACCTTAGTTCATATTTTCGTTGTGATCAGTCTTCAGGAATACTAGTAGACTGTCAACAATTTCACATAGAATTCACATTGGTACCTGTCCTTTTTAGAGATTCTACATACCAACATCTCGTCAAGTGAAGAGACTTGAGTCGAAGACGCGGTCCCCAATCTATAGTCACTTTGGGGAGACTGTGTCAGGAGCTAGTGTGATACGAGCATATGGGGTAACAGATAGATTCATTGACGAGTCCGAGAAGAGGGTCGACAACAACCAGAGGTTTGCTTTTGCTGGATTTTCAGCTAACAGGTGAGGAAGAAATCGACAGTAGTGGTAATTTGGTTTTCCTTGGAGTTATCTGGATTCAATTAACATTGATAATTTCAATAATATTATTGAACCAAACCACAACTATGCTTGAATCAGGTCATGGATGTCTTGAAAAGGAAGGGAATGAGTAAATTGTGTTTAGAGTTGATGTGAACCATATGTCAGTAATGCAGCTATTTACCATGTTTGTTAATCCAGTATTAGTATTGTACTGACAAACGTACAAATATATCCTGTTCTTAAGTAGCCTGTTGAAGACCACCTGCTGTGATCACTCAGAGAGTCGAGTTCAATTACATAAGTTGGTTATTGAGCCCTGTTGTAAAGCTAGCAATCTTCTGTTCTAAAATTTGAAGGGTAGCCTAGTGGTTAAAGCATTTGCCCGTCGAGCTGAAGACCCAGGTTCAATTCCTCACATGGGTACAATGTGTGATGCCCATTTCTGGTGTCCCCTGCCGTGATATTGCTGGAATGTTGCTAAAAGACAGCCATTCTATCATACACAATCAAACATGAGTGTGATTTAACAATGAATGTTTATAAGAGACAACTGTAAACTTAGGTGAAATTTCTTTTTGTCAGATGGTTGGGCATCCGTCTGGAGTTCCTAGGCAACTTAATCATCTTGGCAGCCTCAGTGTTTGCTGTTCTGGCCCGCGACAGCATCACTGGAGGGTTGGTCGGCCTCTCCATCTCATATGCCTTAGAGGTAAATGTCAATCAGGCCACCAGCCTAATAACCGTTAGCCTGTTTTGTTATGGCAAGCCATATTTGGGGATGTCATAAGGTCACTCTCTGTTAAATGGGCTGATTAACTTTCAACCCCAGAAATGTTAAAAGGTAAGTGTCAATCAGAAGACCTTTTAAGTAATGTTCACCTTCCAATATATTAAATGTAATTGGAGTTAAATATAGATCATAAGACCTATTAATTAGAGGATAAAGCTGCACTGTTTTCACTTTTGCAGTCCTTTATCGTTGATTAAAGACCACTAAATGTAGTTTAGAAACCGAATGTATTAGCGATTTCCAACATATTTGTTTCAAAAGGGTCAACAAGTTTATTGTATTCATATATGCGGTCAGTCAGTCACTTAATTTGGGGTCCTTAGACTGCCATTCAAGTACCGTTTTGATGAGCTCTCAGCCAATTAGAATCGACTATCACACAATCTCGTGCTAAAGCTTTTAACATCCAAAATATTTATAGTCCTTGGAGGTTTATGTTGATCAGGAGACCTCCTGATTATTGTTCAACTTCCAACATATTTAGAGGATGATCAGAGTATGGTCTTGTTTATGGCACAGATACCGAACGTTATAGTTCTTCTTCAAAGAATTGGAACAAAATTGTTATTATGACATTTTTCTCAGTAGATATATATGATTTTAGTACATAAAATTTTTATATTCTGTTGTTTCCAAATCTGATCTATATCGATGAGATCAAATATTATCAGATGTTATCTTTGTTAACATGCTTTTGACCAAAATTAACAGCCATGTATGCATTGCATGTAGCTTACTAAAAAATTTAGTGAGATATCTGTTAACCAGAAGAAATCATTTTCAGCCATTCTTCTCATGTCTGTTTTCAGATAACAGGAAATCTTAACTGGTTGGTTCGTATGACCTCTGATCTCGAGACACAAGTGGTTTCAGTTGAAAGACTCAAAGAGTACACAGAGATTGCATCAGAGGTGAGAAGTGCTTTGTATGCTGCAATACCTTCCTACAACTAACACTCTCATGCTAGCAAAACATTTGCAAATTGTTTGGAGAGAAAAACACCCTATCAGTGAATTCACTGATTCCCTCGCTCACCTCTGTTAGCTGAGCCTGAAAAAGTAAGGGAATTTTAGTTCAAGTTTTCAGGCATTGGATAGTTTTGGAAAACCAAAAAAGTAAAGAAGGCATTGAAATACATATTTATATATGAGTAACTTTGGGGGAAAAGTCATTGAAATCTGTCACACTAAAATATGAACCCGATTGAAACCCATTTCTATGTGCCTTAAGAGAACAAATTGCTGAAATGTGCAGCACTCACTCACTCACTCACTCACTCACTCACTCACTCACTCACTCACTCACTCACTCACTCACTCACTCACTCACTCACTCACTCACTCACTCACTCACTCACGGGGCGGTGGGGTAGCCTAATGGTTAAAGCGTTGGCTCGTCACGCCGAAGACCCGGGTTCGAATCCCCACATGGGTACAATGTGTGAAGCCCATTTCTGGTGTCCCCCGCCGTGATGTTGCTGGAATATTGCTAAAAGCGGCGTAAAACCAAACTCAGTCACTCACTCACTCACTCACTCACTCAACTCACTCACTCACATCGTTTGTGGCAGTCTTGTGGATGATTCCAGTGATTATAAACTTATCAACTTTTCCTCCCTGACCTACGTTCCACAGCTGAATTTGCCCATGCATCTGCAATCACTCTGTTTCAGGCTGCCTGGTCTCGGCGGGAACACCGTCCCAACCACGACTGGCCACAGTCTGGACTGGTCAAGTTTGTGGACTACTCGACACGCTATCGACAAGGTCTTGACCTGGTGCTGCGGGGCATCTCATGCACCATCAACCCAGGAGAGAAGGTGACTGATCCAAGCCTGTGTCAAGCAGTAAAACAAATAGCTGCAAGCCTGTGTCAAGCAGTAAAACAAATAGCTGACACATTATCCTGTGATCATTGTGTGTACACAATGTGTGTATCGTTTTGAATTTCCAAATGACTTACATAGTAATCTTTAAAAAGGAGTAATGTTCTATTGCCTGGCAACATTATACTTTGTTTTGCCAGAAATGCAGCTTATAGTTGATGCAGGCTGAGGATCCAGGCTGTCATGTTATTTTTTTGTGCATCCCAGACTGGTTGAAAGATACTCACAGACTGTGTTTGATCGTAATACCCTTGGAAGGGGAGATAACCACAGGCTGTGTTTGATCCTAACATCCTTGTACTCCAGGTCGGCATTGTGGGCAGGACAGGTGCCGGGAAGTCATCTCTGACCCTGTCACTGTTCCGACTGATCGAGGGGGCAGGAGGGCAGATAGTCATAGATGGTGTTGACATCAGTATGTTGGGACTACATGATCTCAGGAAGAGACTTACCATCTTACCACAGGTAACTGAACAGAATCATGCTGTGTACCAGCGCTGCTTATCATAGGCCTGACTGTAGGTAGACATCAGCACTCATGATCTTAGGAGAAAGGATATGTCTTGTCATATTGGTGAGGTACTCACATGAACTTCCTCCTAAGTTAAGTTTTCTAGATGTCATTCCAGGAACCCCTCCAAAGTCATTGGGGGGTGTGTGTGTGGTGTGTGAGTGTGTGTGTGTTTTAACCCTAAACAACCTGAAGTAAATGTCATTTTTATGTAAATGAAAAACATGTCTGTTGAGATGTGGCCCAGATGGATGCAACAGATGAGGTATCTGCTCACCATTATGAAATTTGACAAGTGTGTTACTGTGTTTATGAGTTACTGTGATATTAAGTTTTAATTTTTAGTCATATTAAACTTTTTGAATATAGGCTGAGTAACTTAACTACATATTTTGAGCTTTATACCCTATTTAAGAAAATAATACCAGACAAACATGGCAGATAAGCACCTTGTATTCTGTAGGCATGCACATATAATCTTTAGCTCGATGTTTCTCTTTGGGAAGTTGAATGTATCTATTTCTGATATTTTCTGCAAATGGTGGTATGAACTCTTGTCTGTAACATACCATGTCCCACCAGGACCCTGTGCTGTTTGCTGGGAGCCTCAGGATCAACTTGGACCCTCTTGACGAGCACAGTGACAGCCAGATTTGGACAGCCCTGGACCACGCCCACCTGAAGACATTTGTCCAATCTCTGCCGGACACACTGCAACATGAGTGTGGGGAAGGAGGGGAGAATCTCAGGTACATGTGTCTTTCGAAATCCACACTAGTATGTCTGCCTGAGACAACTAAATTGTTCTATGAACAAGTGAAAATCAATTATGGTAGTCTTCCCTTACCAACATGTGAAGGATATTATTCTGAACCAGTCGTAAATGCTTTAATTACTGAACATTGTAAACATGTTTGTCTCTTTCAAGCAAAATGATCTACAAACTGTGAGGACTGTGAAATGAGGTCCTTTGGAGTAGTCTAGCAACAGATTGAATTTCTAAGGCTGTATATAAGATGGATGGTTTCCTCACAACTCATTTCAAACGTTTCACAAAGCATGTTGAAACAGACAAAAATACCGGTAGTATAGGAGAAACACCATGTCGACTTTCCTGCAAACGGGACTTGTCAGAAGGGCAATGACCTGTCTGAGAGGCAAGCACTGCATGAGGTTTACACTCGCCTTCTGCATAAGTGACGTGTTAAGGAGAAGGGTGTATCTTGTCACACACAAAATAGTATCCTAACCAATATTTCACTAGAGTAAAACTACCCTTGTAACATCACTTACTATAGAAGGGTTTGATTGTTTTAGTTGTGTTTTAGAGTGTTTTAATTGTGTTACCTGTTTTATCTGGGTGTTACTGGTATTGTGTTTTACTGGTATGTATGCAGTGACAAAAACTGGTATCTTGTTGATCAGTTTCTTTGTGTTGATCAAATTAAATACAACCTGTGAGTGCTTCATCTTTTGCATTGCTTTGACAAGCAGAGATTCAGTGTAACACTATAAGCTAATTTCCCCTCGTTCTCTGCTAGTGTTGGTCAGCGGCAGCTGCTATGTCTGGCAAGAGCTCTCCTCAAGAAGACCAAGATCCTGATTCTGGACGAAGCTACAGCAGCCGTTGACATGGAAACGGATGACCTGATCCAGCAGACGATCAGGACAGAGTTCAAGGACTGTACTGTGATGACCATCGCCCACCGACTCAACACAGTCATGGACTATGACAGGTGAGGAAGCATTACTGGTTAAATCACAAGTAAAGAAGGTTCCAGTACAGTATGCTTTGGGTGCAGGTACAGATGTTATTTGCATCTATGAAAAGGGACAATACCATTCACATCCATTTATACCTGTAGATATATCTATGTTTGCAATGGGAAAACAAGGGCATCGATAGTCTAGTTGTCTCGCTGTGCACAGACATGCATGTTCATGCAGGTGGGTGAAGGTTTGAATACAATGACTGCTTATAACCCTTACTTTGATAGCGTGTACATGACAATGGGCTTCAGATGAATGTGTCAACAGCCTGTTTCACTGTCGGCTTCCTACATAAAGCTTCCATGCTATGATACAGGGGCAGACCCAGAGGGGGATGCGGGATATTACAGAATTAATACTTGCCCGTTGAAGATACTGCAGTGTAATATTTTTACGGCAATATTACACTAGTGTAATACCGCTAGACATATGATATCATAATGGTTACAGTTATGACGTCACAATGCTAATGCCTCTGTCGTAATGGTATTACACCTTGCTTGACTCGCGGAAAATTGATATAAGAGTCATCACACTGTTGGCAGTTTCTATCAATATATGTTGGAGAGTAATAACAGAATACTAAACTCGCTTCCGTGAAATACCATTTGTATTAAACTCGTGAAAGATTTAGCATCAAACTCGCTTTTGCTCGTTTGATACCAAATCATTAACTCGTTTAATACAAATGGTATTACACTTAAGGTGGTTTAGTATCCTCTATATACTACCATCAATCAGACTGGCATCCACTTCAAGCACTTGGAAAATATAAATGTTCATAGTTTATGTAAAAGATGCTATTTTATATCAAGTTGCCAAATCGGTACTTGAAGCTAAGGCTTATAGCATCTACATTTTTCTGTGCAGAGTTGCAACAATCCTATGGTCATCGGGCTTATCCCAGTGTCTGAATCTTGGTGTGTCTGCATCATACTCTTTCAGTGAGGAAGATGTATAAAGCCTGCATCACATCAGACTTTCCTGCAACATTAAGCGGACATGCAGTCATGTAATTCAAATCTTGTTCAATGTGGCTTTAAGCCCAACTCAATCACTGATAATCACTATCCTCATCATCATCATCATCATCATTGTAATTATCATTATTATTTCCCCAGGATTTTGGTACTGGATAATGGCAAGGTAGTGGATTTTGACTCCCCTCAGTCTCTCCTCCAGAAACCTGGCGGGGTTTTCTACAAGATGGCTGAGGATGCGGGACTGGCGTGATGCCGGTGCTACGGTACTGGTGATGCAGTGTACTTAAAACCATGAAGCATAGGGCAAATACAACCACAGTCACTTTGGACGAGTAGGGAACACATCACTAAAGTCTCATATTCATGTTCTTTGCTATAAATATTACCATGTGTATTGATGCTGCGACAAATCAGCTTTTTATTCAGTGGTGGTTACTGTGGTTTGAAACTGACCTGTCAGAATTGAGTATTTTAAAACACATACATCTGAGATGTCTCTATTTCCCATTGGGTTGGAAATATTTTAGCTTCATAAATCATTATGTGCATAAGCACAGGTGTCATCTCACACACATCAGTGTATTGGTTACGTCTCATGAATGGCAGTGTTGATATTATTCCAGTCTTATTGTAGCAGAAGTTTGGATGGGCATCATGGTAGAAATGATGTCTTCAGATTCAGATTCAGATTCATTTTTATTCAGTATTTCGGGCCTAAAGGCCTATAGTACAAAAACACTTGCTACAATTATATGCACGTGGTGGTTGTGGTGACATTTCTTGCATTGAAGACATGTTTTAAATAAATTGCAATAGATTTGATAATATCAATATTTTTAGAATTTAACAGACTGGACAATATTTGTTCATCTCTTACAGGTGTTGGTACAAATGATAAATACTTACTTCTTAAATCTAAATACTTGGTACACACAAATAATACATGAAATTCACTTTCAATATTACCTGTATTACAATTTTTACAGATGGATTCATTTACATCACTGAAAGCTCTATTGGTTTGCGTAAATAGTGAATTCTAAAATCATGATTCTAAAATGATGTCTTAACCTAAGGCAAGACAGCAGTTGTGATCAAGGATTTTAAAAATTAGTGATATAGAAATTACTATAATTAGCCTGTGTGTCACTGATCTTACAACACCTGTGTAAGAATTCATGCTCTTGCTGTCACTCAGAAAATTGACACCCATAAGACCAGTCTTGAGACATATGCTCTTATAATAATTTCCATTCATCACTCTGCTTGTTTTGATAATAATCATAATACGTTGTCAGTTATTAAAAACAAATTCTGTCCAGTACAAGGTTAGTGCAAAAGGTATAATAATATTTATGTTTTAGAGGAAACATTTTCGAATCTTTACACTGTCTCATGAAGTACTGTCTCCAAATGCTGAGTGTTACTCAACATGGATTGCAGGGATTGAGGATTGGGTATTCCCCCACCAGACAATAAGCCAAGTGTTGCCTTGTTGTCTGAATTATACATGAAATAGATCTACAAGTTGAATCACTGTTATATATTTTAACAATCTTTTTATTGTTTAGTGATGAGTAAAATTCATATGCATTTGGATAAAAATGCAAAATTGATATTTGCTTATGGGTTATATTTTTCATGGCTGTGAAAAAAGAAATCCGCCATATATCTATCATCCACCATGTTCCAATGTTTATTGTGATATGACACTGGTTTTATTGCCTTGCATTTTACATTTGGTAATTGTGTAAATTTACACAATATGTATATCCAAATGTGTCTGTTTCTTGTATACCCAAGGATCTTTAGAATTTCAATATATACAAATGTATCAGTTGCTCCGTGTATGATGATGTAGTGGTCTTGTCAGGTGGTCATCTCATTCATCTTTCCTCCACCTGGGTGGGGTAGCCTAGTGGTTAAAGTGTTTGCTTGCACATGGAAGACCCGGGTTCGATACCCCACATGGGTACAATGTGGGAAGCCCATTTCTGGTGTCCCCATCCATGATATTGCTGAAATATGACTAAATGAAGTGTAAAACTAAATCCACTCACTCACTCGCTCGCTCACTCTTCCTGCGTGACCCATGCGTAATTAGCAATTCCCTGTGTAGAGTTATGTCCCTTTGGCATACCATCCTATAATAATGAGTGTGAATCACAGAGTCCCCTGGCTTAAGATTTCGATTTGTCAGCACCATTCATATGTGAATCCTGTTATCTTAAGACATTCTGGTTGGCCTCCTGAATTAACCGACACACTTTCATGTGATGTAAATTCTGTTTCAAGCCGTAGTAAACACTTGTTGAGGCGGCCTCCATGTTACTGCCTGGTGCTAGTTGTAGATGAACCATAGGTACTGTAATCACTGCTAGGTCACTGAGTAACTGTAATATGCATCAGTAGTATGTTCATTTTTCAGTGGACACAGAATGTGAGTATAAAATGACTTGAACCAGATTAGATGGGACTGCCAAATGGCGTAATACAGTAGTGCCCTGCAGAATCCAAACACCTACATTTACAATGAAGCCTTGTCATTTAGATGTTGGGACCATTAGACAAAATGGGGTGCCTGTATAAGGGGATGTTTTTACTTGTCAAGTTTGTTTGCGGCTAACCAGAGCTTGTTTGACGGTTCACTGATTGCCCTAAGTACATAATTACATTTTGCTTCATGTTGAATTTTGTTAATATCACACATTTACATTAAACTATTATTATGTAATATTCTATAAATTGCAGCATTTGGTTTTAGTAGTTATTTAAGTAACAAAATTGCTATAATGCAACTGTAATGCAAATGAGATTTACAAAGTACTTAAAAACCCAGAAACCAACATATACAATCTCACTGAACTAGGAAATGTATATGCCAAAGTTTTCCTATATTTCACAACCATATTTGGTTGGCAAACACTGTATAAAGCCCTTTATGTTTAACAGTGTTTGACAATTTTGATGAAGTCCTAGAAATATGGCTTTTTTCATATTTTGGGGGCTATGTATACATAATTATATTTTATTAACCTAGATTGTCCCCAATGAACTCCTCAGTTAAATTTATGTTTCATCATTCTGCTGGAAATTGTGATATTAGAGGAAGAATAACTGTAAATTGTTAAGAAAGAATCTCAAATCTTGGAAAGATCTAGAAATGAACTCTTCTTGTATTATTTGTTATAAACATGTTGATGTTTGAAAATTATCTGATTTTCCCATGCCATAACTTCATATTCATAATCATTCTATTACATAATGTCATATTTTTCTTGTGTTGTATTTTTTAATCAGAATTGAAAACAATGTGTCCTTTTTTGAGAAGTATGTATGTCTGTTGTTAACCAGATAGTAAATGTAGCTGCTGTTTACTAATGAACTTTTTTACATTAGGGGAGCATTTTTACTTATATAGTCGAGAAAACTGAAACTGATTTTTAACTGATCTTTGTAGTTTTTATGGATATGAAATCTCTATTTTGATAAATGATTCTAATTTCATTAGCTGTATGCATTTACTGTGTGTATATGGATACCTTTTGGTGCCAGTATTTATTTTGATTTTAAGTCATTCTTTTTAGAAGGACATCTGAATAGTTTATCAATGTTGTGAGTTGTCTTCCCTTCTTGAATACTAATTTAAGATTCTTGGTCAAAATTGTCTTCACAGCAGAAAGTTTTGACTTTGGTTTGAGATAAAAGTTTTCTTCAAAGGGTGATTCAGGCCCAGATATCTGTTGTGTCCACAGGTTGATGACTTCAGGTCCATATCTATTTGGCCTTCGTAGGGTAATGATTTAAGGCCTAAGTTGAGCCACTGACTCTGATAAGAGTTGGTTTTACAGATACAGGTTGATGACATAAGGACCATTTTATTTGAACCCGTGAAGATCCGGGTTAGAATTGATCTTCAGTAACCCATGCTTGTCATAAGAGGTGACTAATGGATCGGGTGGTCAGGCTCACTGTCATTGTATACCAATTGCGTAGATCGATCATGATGATGTTGATCAGTGGATTGTCTGGTCCAGACTATTATTAGACTATGATTATTTATAGACCGGCACCATATAGCAAGAATATTGCTGGGTGCAGCATGAAACTAAACTCACTCACTCACTCATTTTATTTCAATTGTTAATGATGAAACTCAAGTTCCTTTGAGTTCCCAATTACATAGGAAGGTAAGCATGGAAGATGGCTCTTTGCTTTGATAGTTAAAACTACAAACACGGAGAGTGTGCATTTATTGCTTTATCATTATGTGCAGACATTAATGTTAAGATATATATACCCACAGAATATTTTGCAATCTATGTTTTATCTTCCACAACAGATTGTATAGTGTGATCTTGCAATATATGAATAATATGTATATTTGTTAACATTATTGAGTTACAAATAAACTGTTAAACTTTTACTCAAATGTTTTAAGTGTTTTTCTTTAAATTGAAAGATGTTTTAGTTCACCTGACAGAAAGACAAGATGGTATTTTCTCAGAAGCCTCTGGATCGGTGCGTTGAGTTGGGTTTTATGTTGCATCGGCATATTTCAGCCATATAAAGCGACGAGACCAGGTAGGTATTTAAACACATGTTAAGTACAAAGTTTAAATGACTTCAAAAACACATCTATTTGTTACATTATTACTTACAAGCAGAAAATGCCATAGCATCAAAGACCCGTGAATATCTGGGTTAGAATTGAGTCTTCAGTAACCCATGCTTGTCCTAAGAGGCGACTAACCGATGGGGCGGTCAGGCTCGCTGGCTTGATTGACACATGTCATCGGTTCCCCATTGCGCAGATCGATGCTCATGCTGTTGATCACTGGATTGTCTGGTCCAGACTCAATTATTTCCAGACCGCCGCCATATAGCTGGAATATTGCTGAGAGCTGCGTAAAACTAAACTCACTCAATCACTCATAGCATCAAATTCAAAAAACAAGCAATTCTTCATTCACATTACATAGTTACAATTTATGATACAGATCAATCTTTCTCAAGTGGTTTACAATCAGATGACTGCTGATGCGGAATTCACTGAATCAGTGAAACTGAAGCTTTAGCAGGAGGTGGAGCCATCCCAATCTTTCCATGTTATTTCCTTGTGGGTAAAAACAGTCATCAAAGTATGTCGTGTATATTCCTCAACTACTAGGTTTGTTACCCAACAGGTTAGAAACAACGTTCACATTGTGTGTCCACCAAAACAAACATCGCTCATTGCAACAGCATATTGTTCATGTAATCCAGTTTATATTTAACATTTATTGTTATTTATCGAAATCATGTCACTCTTGAAATGACATCATAGCTGAGGATTGTATTGTCAATCAATAATGGTGGTTTACTATGACATCAGTCGCGATCAATGCATTTCAAGACACGAGATAAGGAATGGTTACGAAATACAGGTATTGTTTAAAGATTCAGAAAATCCATATTCTTGCATCTTGTTCACGATAAAGTCCAGTCTCTTTATGTTTGTGTAAACTAAATCCTACCTGGGTTGTCTAAGAAGATACCAACGATGAGGTAACGTTAACGGCTCTTCCAAGAGTACGGATAATGGCTTGGGAAACCGTGGTCTGTTTGGCCAAACTGGATTATCAGAATAATAACGCATTGTTTGTTTTGATCCTTATCACCTGACGAGTAGAGCCCAAGGTGTTAGAGCATAAGCAAACATCCTCTGTCATGACCATGGATAGCGCATTTCGTTGGACTTAACCTGCAGGATAACCTGCAATGTCTGACACATGACACCTACATTCTCAGCGTTTACATCGCTGTACCCGAGCATCTGGCGGTACTTTGGCAGAATCTAGAACAAGTATAGGTTTTGGAAATAATGCCAGAACGATTAAGGATTGAAATTATTTGAATGAGCCGGCATTAGTTACAGCGTCGGTTATGATCTTCCACAGGGTAATCGTATCCCGAAGAAATGATTTGGCATAGGACTGGGTTGTACATGTGATCGTTTGTAGCGTCGATATATTTCTAACTTTATGATCGCTAATATTATAGACTTCACTTGGTGTGAGATCGTTGAGATATTCACGAGAAAAACTATTTCTCATTTCGTCAAATGTAATGTTGAGCTACGTCTTATTCTTTTTCAAAGCAATTTGTTTCGTAGTAATTATCGCATTACTAGTCCCACAAACTGTCCCAAGATTATTATCCCAATTCCTAAATGTTCATCACCTTGTACTTAATTAACAAGAGTACAGCTATTTAGTAATTTGGTCTGACATTGAAGCGGACATTGCGACTCTTTGGTCTTATTGAGGTTCGATTCCACTTGCCATTTAAAATGGGCCAGTTTAGAATTCTTGGCTAATCGTTACAGACACAATTTGTTGCTTAGATTTCATCAATGATGACATATATTATTGATGTATCGTCTGGAAAAAGCGGAAAAGTCTCCTCCATGCCTTAGACAAAGTCGTTTACATAATATGACCCTTGGGGTTCTGCACTAATTATTATTCTGACCCGCTACCATTAATGACAAGTGTTCAAGCAGAACAGTGGACGCGTCCGTGCATGTTCTGAATTGGAACACATAGGCCATATTTAGGTCGTAACGTATACCCTGAAGATTATCGAGGATGAGTATACCGGGGTTAGATGAAACTATAGCGACACAGTATACCGGGGTTATGATAATCTGTATACACAGTATACTGGGTTAGAAACTGAGACAATATCTTAGATGAGAAACTTAACGGACACAGTATACCGGGGTTGCATGATAAACTGTAGCGACACAGTATATTGGGGTTAGATGAAAAACTTTAGCGACACAGTATATTGGGGTTAGATGAGAAACTTAAGCAACACAGTATATCGGGGTTAGGTGAGACACTGTTCGTATACCGGGGTCAGATGAGAAACGGATTAAGTTATATCACATTTGAGCAGGCTGCACGTGCTCACATGTTTTAAGCAAATGTGGACGACTCAAACGCATCTTCGTCCGGTGTTTTCTTACCGTTGCAAATACCTGTTGCAACAAAAGAACAAAAGTAAGCATTTAAGAGTTTTGCAATAAACGTACTGTTTGTTTGATGGCTATATTTTGTATTGGAACAAGTGGTCAGCGGGATTTACAAATATGCCGAGGACACAATGACATGCAAAGGGATCCACGCGAATGTTTTAACATTAAATTCTAACTCACAGGATTCAGATGGCAACAAATCGGGTGTTTACTATTTGTAGCTGCGATTTGATTCAATGTTTGCGTTAATATTTATGACATCCCCTGAATGATAATGATCTGGACTAGGTAAAGTAAAGTCGGTTCAAGCAGAGACAATATCGTTATATGGTGTCTGGTTCAAGTGATAATTGTAAAAGGTTGTCTGATAAATACCCGACAACAAGACTTGAAGTCGCATCTTTATATAGATCTTATTGATGTATTCTTTATCTATACATGCAGGGTTTTAGTATTGGTTGATGTATCGGTTGATGTATTTATTCAACAGTGATATATTCATGTTTCATTTTTAATAAATTTTACCATGAATTCCTGTTTCATTAGTTGCTATCCATTTTTGACCAAACACCTCAACATGTCTGCTGTGTCTACATACGGTTAGGCGAGAGACGCGACTCTGTTATATAACGTAAGCAAGCTTCAAGCACTTGGCGCTATGAGCTCGTGACTCCCATGCAGGTCAGTCAGATGTTGTCATACCGTTGGATACCGAATTCAACAAGCTCCTACGACAAAGCTGCATACACAGGGGCTGCTCAGCGGATCCTATTCCGAAATTTGTAAACATATTCAATGAAGTTTTGCTACCGTTCTCATATCAAAATTTCCAGTTATACCCCAAAAATGTGTTGTCAAATATATTGATTCATGACAGCTGTCAGTATTTAAATCCTTAAAAATAGACTCGTAACTATATGGCTGAAATATTGCCGTTAAATTTTAACCCACTCACTCACTTAACATAGAGCGTCATTCTAGTAAAACCAAAAGACTCACTTAAGTAGTTATCTTTTTCGGATAAGCAGAGACGACATTGTCTCTGTTTGAGACGTATACTGGTAGATTATATCCCTATGCTTGTTTCCATCCATTTCATCATTTTAGCCGTGTAGGAACCTACACATGTGCGGGAACTCAGGTGTGGAGAAGAACGTGATAAAAAAAACTCACGTATTGCACCACATCATGTAAAACAGTGCTGACAATGTGATAGAGATAAACTATCTTCCAGAATTCAGGTCATGTCTACAACACAGTGAAATCCTACCAAAACATTTTTTTATATAATATCTTGCCTTCTGCAGTTGTCTCCCCTTCGTCTGACCATGTGAATGTCCATGTGTCCTATGTTGTACAGACCAAGTAGTGAGATAGCCAGCCAGTCTGTCTGTGGGGATCACTCAACAGGATGGGGGGATTCTGTCATGGACAGCCTCTGTGGGTATGTTCAGTTCTCTTTATTGTAATATGTGCCCCATCTCAATATATACCATGTCTGTTGTGATTTTGAAAATTCATAATTGATTTCAATATCTAACTTAAGATCATACTTCGATCCCAGAACTAATGAAATGTTTCACCTTTTTGCAACTGTTTGAGCTCACATGGTGCAACTTATAAGCTTTAGGTTCCTCCCAGTATAGACATATATGTGATCAAACATTGGGTTTTTTTCCATACAAATGCATGTGACAGGCATGATTATGTCATATTTTTAAATTGGTTATCTCTGGGGGTGGCCTGTCAGTTTGTAAAAGCAGGGATATTTAATATGTGTGTATGTTTTAGCATTGTTAATGTGTTTAATAACATCATTAATGTGCATGTTTATTAGCAGTGTTTATGTGAATGTTTGTCATCAGTGTTAACATGTTGGTTCATTAGCAGTGTTAATGTGTGCACTTATTATCAGTGTTTATCTGTGGAAAGTGTTTTGTGTCTTTGTACAATAGAGGTGTTTACTTTTAAGTTAGCCTGTTATCTCAGTGTTGGCTATATGGATAAACAGGGTTGTCCTTGAAAGTGTTGTACAGTAGACTGTACATATTATAGCTGCATGATTATGTTGTGCTTATGAATGTGATCTACGGCACAATAATTTGCGGAGGAGAGTTGCATCTCTTATTTGTACCAGGATCTGCTGACTGTTACTTAGTATCCAGGATCATTATGATTACTTTGTTTGATTTTATTTAGCTGATTACATCCATATTCAAGTTTTACCATGATAGCCAGTACGAAGGCAATTTTGAAAGATCTTTTAGATTGTTATTGAGAGAGAACATGAAAATCATAAGTCACCATACAATTGTCAAAAGTCCATTGTCTTTTGAAATAAAATTTATCAACACTTGTCGATGAAAGTTTAATTCTTTAGACAAGGCTCTGAGTTTTGAACTTTAGCAGCCAGGTACCTGTGTTGATATATTTCATTTCATCAGATACATTTAGGGTGATGTCTGTATGTACTTCTGGTAACACATGATGACATGCAGATGGAATTCGATCAGGCTTGGTTTACCTGGTAAATGTATTGCTGGTCACAAGATGGTGTATGGTGCTGAATAAGTAGTCTCTAGGAAATTAGTTTGTAGAGTGGCCAGGTAGTATTCTAGTGTTGTCAGTGTACATATGTCTATATTCCTATCTGGATTTGTCATGGATTCTAAACTCAATGCCTCTATCATGCAAACTGCACATAAACATTGGTTTATTGTTTATTTGAATTTCTTGAATTTAGAGAGATTGTTGCAATGCATTCAATGTGTAAATAATGTAAAACTATTTGATATCAAAGTTTCATTGTCCTATATATTGGTGGCATAATCAGCAAAAAGATCCGTATATGATTCATGTTGACTATGGCATACATATAGTGTCTTGTGATCACATAGGTATATAGATCAAGATAAAAATTTGGGTACATCTGAGACTTGACCCCATATTCAAGACAAAAAGGAAAATCAGAGCATACTTTGAGCATATACCTGTGAAGATTTGGGTTAGAATTGATCTTCAACAACCCAATCGTAAGAGGCCACTAAGGGGATTGGGTAGTCAGGCTCACGGACTTGGTTGACACATGTCATCGGTTTCCAATTGCGCAGATTTATGCAAATGCTGCTGATCACTGGATTGTCTGGTCCAGACTCGATTATTTACAGACCGCCTCCATATAGCTGGAATATTGCTGAGTGCAGCGTAAAACTAAACTCACTCATTTTGAGCAGGCACCTTGAACATGGATTGTGTAGAGCTGATAGTGAAGGTTAACATAGGAATCAGGTATTCAGTGTTTTCATTATGAAATGGGATAATAAAAAAAATTATTTGTTACTTGGTGATTAAAAGTCTTCATTTATTTCCCAAGGGCATAAGGAAAGAACCTTGAGTATTTCATTGATTATTAATGCTCAAACAGTAACTTGTTATAAATCTTTTCTGATGGTTTTTAATAAAACATAATAGTACTTAAAATATACATATTCCTACAGTCAAATCATTATTAATAGAAAAAATTCATTGCAGTGTTCACAATAGTATGAAACCATAATATTTTGCTCCAAACCATAACAATAAAATCTTCTGTTAGTATCAATATACATTTAATATATATGCCAAGACCAATGTGTAAAGACAATTGTTTCTTGTGTTTTATAGATCGTTGTACAGGAAATAGCAGCATATCTTTGTCTAGAAACTGTGGCAGACTATATTGTATTTTTACAGTCAAATACATATATTATTATAGAAAATGTTATATTCACAGCCAGTGACAACCACTTTATGTAATTAATGTTTATAAGAAGCTCCCCTTTTTCAATTTTCTACTAACTTTACTTTTTACTGTATGCTAGGATACATACTTACTTGCAGAAGTGACCACTAGAAGTGAATGATTGTTGCCTTAAACAACATTCAGTTATGTTCCAGCTATATCCAAGCAACATGATTATGTGGATAAGGCAAACAACAGTAACATGTCACTAACCTCCTGCTGATGTACCTTGCAGTCAGGTTATGATAACACTTAGTGATTCAGGTCAAAAACATTGTAATATATAACTGCCCTTGATATCATGCATATGTATTTCATCTTATGGGTATGAGGTCACAGGTTGATCCACATCAAACATTGTAATATATAACTGCCCTTGGTGTTATGTATCTTGCTTTGTTGGTGTAAGGTCAGTCAGATGACGCGTTGATCCAGGACACACATTGTATTATATAGCTGCCCCTCATTTCATACCAATATACCTCACCACTCTCCCTGTATGGTGACATCCACTTCACACTTTATGACTGGTCTTTCTTCAGTACAGTTACTCTTGTCTCAGTAATGGTCAGGTAAACACGGTGTAAATTCTTCCCACAAGTCAATTCCAAAAAGTAAATACCGCATAATGTGTAACTAGTCGTAGCAGAATTCATTAACAAATGAAATCTGTTGACTCTTCTTTCAAAATCAACAGATTTCAAGTAATTTTTCTGACTTAACCTGGTGGTTTATATATAAATTCAATTTAATTTTACGTAATACCTGGTAGTTTAATTATTTCTACTTGTTCCCAGGAAGGGGGATGTGTGGTGGGGTGGGGTAGCCTTGTGGTTAAAGCATTCACTTTTCACGCCAAAGACCAAGGTTTAATTCCTTCCCACAGGTGCATTATGTGGGAAGTCCATTTCTGGTGTCCCCTGCTGTGATATTGCTGGAATAGTGCTAAATGTGGTATAAAAATATACTTACTCACTCCACTTGTTCCTAATGTATCTTCAGAATGGGTCAATTGTAACAATATTACTGTGAGACCAAATTTATGGATTGATGTCTGACATATCAGAGGTCCAGCCATGGTTGTAGTGCAAAGCAAACTGTTCTCTGATTAAGGTTTACAATGTGTGTCACAGTAAACACAGGAACCTAAGGTCAACAGTCTTTATGACTATTGCTGATTCAGCATTTACTTAAAATGGATCCTGGGTCAGTTGGGAAGAGTGTAGCGCTAAACACTTATCTAAAAATAAATAATGCATTTCTTTCAATAATAGTATCAGCCCTCTGGGAAGCTACCATATAATTTATTTTTTTTAAGTTAAGTATTTAGATTACAATATTAAATGAAAAAGTTTGAATGAATTAATGCAATATTGCATTAAATCGAATCACGCCCCCTCTACCGGCTGAAAATTATTTCAAGCGAACCACATAGAGTTATTGATGTACGGAGCAATTGTTTACATTTCATATATGGCAAGTGTTCTCTGTTTGGAAGCTGTTCGCCTCGAAGTTTCAATTATCGATTTCAGGCAGGTCTTGAGGGATTATTGCATCAATAGCAGCTAAAGTGCATATGCCCCAATATAGATAATATATGCCAAAATATTGTCGAAAATGTGTGAAATTGTGCCTTCAAGGAAAATGTATGGAATATACATACAAGTATTATGTACTAGTATATATGTGGCCTGTTTGGAGACACGCATGGGGACATGACTACGCCTTTAAATCATGAGCCTTTTATGTAGATAAGTCAGTGTTAAGTAGTAAACATAATGTTTGATCACACTCTTCTTAAAGCCGTGACCTGCATCATCTGGAAGCATTGGTTGATGGCTGAGATTCTCACATACACTAATGTCCATATAATCACATCAAGCAACGCAAATCAGGCCTTGGTTTGCAAACATGAACAACTTACTCAAAACCAAGTCTAATGGATGTTACATAATGTTAATGATTTAAAACAGTTCCAGGCTTACCACGTAATTAGGAAGAGGTAAGCAAATTTGTACAATCTACGTGACAGCGACAGGTGTTACCAGAGCGTCATCTTGATCACAGGAGCATGCTGCCACAACTGGATAAGTACTCCCTATTTTATAGAAGATGGGAGTCGTTAAGTCTAAGTTGTATGTGTTATTTTTGTGTGTGAGTGAGTGGGCATATATGGTTTTTACACCGCTTTTAGCACTGGACACTGTAAATCCCCAGGTCTTGATTGTACCCATGTGGGTAATCAAACCCGTACTTCAGAGTGACAAGCGAAGGCTTTAACCACATTGTGGACCACCTCCCATTTTGAAATTTGTGAATTTGTTTCCTCAAACCTTTCCAAGTATGTTCTCCACATGAGAACTTTGAAACTGAAAGGTTTGTCAGGTTTGTGGTTGTGCAAGTGAATGAGTGAGTGAGTGTCTTTGGTTGTTAAAAATATGTACAACTACACAAACCATCAGCATGTGTAAATAATATGGGTAAGACTTGTGTCCATATTTCCCAACAGTTTAAATGTATATAATTTGAAATATTTGTCAGTATAGAACATATACACCTAAGTGGAATCTTGAGTTGTGACATGCTGGATCCAAGACAGTGGATATCAAAGAATCTGAGACAATATCCTTGAAAACATCTGGAAGTGAAAACCAACTGGAATTTTTAGTTCTTTTAATTACTGACACGATCCACATGTGACCATTTCTGCCTAAATAACCAAGATCAGTAGATGTTGAGAACACATGTGACCTGATTAAACGTTGTTCTGTTCCAGGATACAAATCTAACATGGTACAACACTTGGCCGCAGTTTACCAGCTGCTTCCAAGACACGCTCCTAGTGTGGTTGCCATGTGGCTGGTTGTGGCTGCTGTCACCATTTTATGTGTACTACCTCACATTGCAAAGTGATGATGTCATCAAATTAAGCCATTTATTCCTTGCGAAGTTGGTAAGTTTTGTCACACAGTTCATGCAATTGGGTGATTGCCTATCTTCTGATATTCCTGTCATAAGAGCACAACTATTGAGTTCATGTATTGTTTCTGAAATAACAATGAAATAATTTATGTGTTAGGTATGGCTCCATATATTATTGAGTATTTGCCATTTTGATAAGGTAAAGAGATAAAGAGATTATGCAAAGCTCCATAATTTGTAATGTTTACAGAATTTCAATGTTAAGCTGTAATGTGATTTTTACACTGTTTTCAGTTTGGTACTAAGTGATTTTCATTCTATTCAGGTCATAAATGATTGTTTCTATTGAAGTCATAACTGGCTAAGTCATTGTTTCAGGCATGGTACCATGTGATATTCACACTATGCAGATCATAACAGGCTTGGTACCATGTGATATCTCACACTATGCAGATCATAACAGGCATGGTACCATGTGATATTCACACTATGCAGATCATAACAGGCTTGGTACCATGTGATATTCACACTATGCAGGTCATAACAGGCATGGTACCATGTGATATTCACACTATGCAGATCATAACAGGTTTGGTACCATGTGATATTCACACTATGTAGATCATAACAGGCATGGTACCATGTGATATTCACACTATGTAGATCATAACAGGCATGGTACCATGTGATATTCACACTATGCAGATCATAACAGGCATGGTACCATGTGATATTCACACTATGCAGATCATAACAGGCATGGTACCATGTGATATTCACACTGCAGATCATAACAGGCATGGTACCATGTGATATTCACACTATGCAGATCATAACAGGCATCATCAGTACTTATCAATATTCATAATATAAGTGCAGAGTTAGGCAATTGTTCTGGCATGGTACCATGTGATATTCTACACTATGCAGATCATAACAGGCATGGTACTTATCAATATTCATAATATAAGTGCAGAGTTAGGCAATTGTTCTGGCATGGTACCATGTGATATTCACACTATGCAGATCATAACAGGCATGGTACTTATCAATATTCATAATATAAGTGCAGAGTTAGGCAATTGTTCTGGCATTGTACCATGTGATATTCACACTATGCAGATCATAACAGGCATGGTACTTATCAATATTCATAAATATAAGTGCAGAGTTAGGCAATTGTTCTGGCAATACTGTTTTCCTGTATACTGCAGTAAATTACAAACTGAATATCTCCCTCTTCTCCATTTGTATTGCATTACACAAATAATGGGTTTATCACGCCCATCATTTGGTAGAACCACATCAAGAAAAGCGATTCTTTTCACTGTTTTATGTGTTTTATCATGTTTGTGGTTTTCTTGTAGTTCACAACTTGTCTGTTGATGGTGACCACCCTTGTCAACATGATACAAGTTCTCAGTCGTCTCCATGACAACCAGTCTCCTTCATATTTTACTGCTGACATACTGTCCCCGATCATCCTCATCTTCACATTTGTAAGTAGAATACACAACTGGAAAAAATTAGGCACCCCTGCAATTATTTTGTCAAGTCACTTTAACAAAGTTAACTTCTTGTGAGTGAGTTGGTTTCAATGCTGTTTTGAACAGTTACATATATAACCACAGCATGGCTGCTCAATATGGGAGGTTGAAGCCCAAAGTGATGCAGGTCTCATAAGTTTATAAGTTTGGTGAAACCCAGGAGAACCTATATAGTGTTGCCATACCTTGAAACTATATAAATCAGGGCAAACTGGGATTCAAACTCACAATCACAGATGTTTGGCATGCCAAAGGGATGCAACTCTGCATAGCTAATAGCAGCACCTTCGATGACTGGGCCACCATTGTTCCTTCTTGTCAGCTGGACATCAGTTCGTCTGGTCCAGAGTTATTTAGTTGTAGCTGGAAAACACAACTCACCAATGAAGTGTGATATAATCTTGGGGTGATAACTTTTTGGAATCCACTGGTCATTCAGATAAACACTGCCAATGTTATTGTACTTTGCTGTTGACATTGCTGTGCTGTTGTCTGCAGCTGTTGTCCGGTGGCCTGTGTGTGCTGGAGCGAAAGAAAGGATTCATCACATCGGGCGTGCAGTTCTTCCTGTGGCTGTTCCTGGTCCTCTCCGGGATCATCCCTTTCTACCACATCATCATACAAAAGGCAGGGACTGAGACATTTTACAAGGATTAACCTGTTATATGTTGCTGACTTTTATTTTCACCACCTAATTCAGGGATGATGAGCTAGATGGAATTTGTTTTATGATGGATTTTTGTGTACATAAATGTGGGTCTATTTACCTGATAAAAACTGCAAAAGGATGTTTGTTTAGGTTTGCTCGAAGCAAATTATGTATGATAACTTCAATTTTTCTGTTGTTTTTTCAATATGGTATATTTTCTCTCAAAATAATGAGTGAAGTAATATTGAAAGTGTCCTTGCCATATTTCTTTGCCACATTGGGGGGGGTGGGGTAGCCTAGTGGTTAAAGCGTTGGCCCGTCACGCCGAAGACCCGGGTTCGAATCCCCAGATGGGTACAATGTGTGAAGCCCATTTCTGGTGTCCCCGCCGTGATGTTGCTGGAATATTGCTAAAAGCGGCGTAAAACCAAACTCAGTCAGTCAGTCTTTGCAACATTGCAGACTTGGTCATTTTTTATGACAATAGCCGATTAATATTGTCATTGTTTCAGACATATTAGCAATACACCTTGCAGTACCTATGTTCTATTGTACCTGTATTTGGGTTGTATGTACTGTAACTGTGTATTGTGAACCACCCTTTCCATCATCATTTCAGACATGTTCAACAGATATCCTGAAGTGCTCCATGTTCTACTGCTACTATTTACTCCTTATAGTACAACTAGTTCTACACTCATTTGCAGAGAAAAGGGGGAAAACCTACATAGCAACAGTAAGATACTAGACAGTCTTAAAAAACAATTCTTTGAGTTCATGCTGTGTTAGCTTATGCCTATGGAACTTCGAACAAAATTGATAGAGTAAATTTAATACATGTTAATATCTGCACATGTTCAAAGACATGAATTTTCATATAAAGATTCCGATGAGAAAGCTGGTTGTTCGGTACCAAGAAATCATCACATGCACCATGTGTCTAGTTCAGAACGTTGTCACAAATGCTTGGTGTTAAATGTGGCAATTGTTTATTAAGGGGTTGTTTCATTTCAGTATTTCTTCACTTAGTATTTATAACTTAAGTCTTCATTACATGTTGTATGTTAGCATGTAAAGCCTTGGTCTTGCATTAACCAACAATTCTGCCATTACAGTGTAGGATGGTATAAATTAATTGTTTATTTTACTGAATATGAAGTAATTAATGAGTACCAGATATTCATCTTCACACCCGAATGAATTTAAGCAACTTTAATGGAAATTGTACTTTCACTATCATTTCTTCAGTTTCCTTATCTCTTGTAGGTACAATATATTAAATAGTCATTGCCTGGAAACCAACGTATATCTGATCTGAGGATTAAGTAACTTCTTTACAACAGACAGTTATACTGGACTATTGAAAGACCTCATGTCATTAGAGTTTACTTCTTGTCTTCCAGTCTCCAGAGGTAGATGCCTCTTTCTTATCAAGGGTTCTATATGAGTGGACAGCAAGGTGGGTGTCATCTTCTGCTGCATATATTGTCCTTCTGTTGCTAAAATGGCATAAAACTATACTCATTCAAACAGTTTTATGTGTTTCTTTATAAGGCTCAATTTATATTTATATTAATGGTACTGAGGCCATCAGAACATAAGAGGAAAACATAATGGAGTTGGTTTAACTTTCACCTAAATTCATGCACTTACTCAATCATCAGGGACAGTGGGGTAACATAGTGGATAAAGCATTCGCTTATCACACCAAAGGCCCAGGTTTGATTCCCAACATGGGATATGTGTGAAGGCCATTTCTGGTGTCCCCCACCGTGATATTGCTGTAGTATTGCTAAAAGTGGTGTACAACCATTCTTACACACAACTCAATCACCAATTGGTATATGAAGGAAAGGTATGGCAAGAAATTGTATTGTTTTTGTTACAGACTTGTTATGAACGGCTACAAGACCCCTGTAAAGGAGAATGATGTGTATGACCTTCATCCAGATGATACCTGTAGAAAACTAATGGAACCTTTCCTTCCCAACTGGCATCAAGTGAATGAAGATTTTAAAGCAACAAAAGGTGAGCCATAGGAAGTTATATGCACACATAGCCACCTTCCCATCATCTACCAACAGATTAAAATGATGTTACTTGTTACCAAGCCTGGTACTTGGTAATGAGATAAAACAAGGGCTGATCGGCTAAGTCATAATGTGTGTCAGCTGGGTACCCAGTTTAAATGCATCTCATTGGGCTAGCAACATAAAGCCAGGATAAATAGTGAGTACAAGCAGCTACACACATGCATGTGAAATTAGTCTTGATGGTAAGTTCTTTATTAAACCCTTTCACCGCTCCACATCTCTGGTGTCTGTGGAGTTGACGGTAGTCGGTGAAAGGAACAGGTGAAAAATCAGGTGTTTAATGGAATGTGCATTTTTCTGAACATTCAAAATGTCTTGAGATTAGTCAAGGTCAGCATTTAGTTCTTTTCGTAAGATAAAATTATGTCCTTGTCATGGAAATATCTAACATTATCTAACTTTTGTTCACATGTTGATTAATGACTCTCATAGCACTTGCAATTATTCCAAACATCAAAGTAACATATGAGCTGTTGTTGTATGAGTAATTTTAAATCATGCTGCCTCTTGAATATCGCAGAAAGATTACTGACATTAGATGATATCCTACCATGGACTTATTCCGAATTTCCATGGGAAAGTTTTTTGGTAGATGCTCAGAAAATATCAACAGTCAAGGTCATATGGTAGAAACATCTCACTCAAAAGTGGGTTTATAAAAAGTATTCTTAATAAAGGATATCATAAACCATGTATTACCCTCTTTTGGATGATTCCTGCTTTGGTCAAAGGTGAAGATCATATCATTCAGAACACTGGTCTCCTTAACCACATTGGCCATTGGCCAATTCAAAAAAGTGTAAGAGGCTAGCTAAAAGGTAAAACAGTCCACATTTTATCCCGTTATGATACTGTTGTGTTTTAGTCACCATAAAGACACCATACAAATAACATCATCACTTTTCTACAGTCTAGAGTTATTACAATTTCTATAATTTGTCCTTATCCTGATTCATGATTATTGCTTATCTCCCTTCTCCTTCGATGGTCAAGTGGAAACCTTGAATCCCATTCAAATTCACTGAAGCCTCCATACAATCACTGACCCTGAGTTACCTCCCTTGTTCCCACCAAAACCGGTCCCACGTGACCTGAGACTAGCTCTTATCACTCTCTCCTTCATCGCCCTCTGTCCATTTTTCCCTTTTAATCTGAATGTATTTGTGGGGCCTGCTGGTTACATTAAAATGTGTTAGGTCAACTCCTGGAACAATCTTGTAGTATGTGTGATTATTTCCAGCATGGCAGTGAATTCAACCCAACAAACTTAAAGTATATTCAGATGCATATTTTGTTACATATTTCACATTAATTTCATGTTTAACAGTATTCTGTATTACAGGAAAACTGAGAAGCAAACAGACAACACCTATGTCCGTTTCACCAACCATCACTCATTAGATGAGACAACTCCACTCCTCTCACACAATATCGACTCTAAGAAGGCAGGCAAAGAGGAAACTGTATCCACACCATCAAAGAAGACCAACAAATATCCATCTCTTTTGCGGGCCCTGGTGAAGACATTTGGCATCCCAGTGCTAATCAGCCATTTCCCCAAACTAGTTTATGATTTACTTCTTGTGTTTAAGCCACAGATCCTGGGGTAAGTTGACCGAGACACATCCTCGATAATCTCCAGGGTATACGTTACGATCACTCCCCACTATACCCTGGATGCATCCACGGCTTGGCCGGATAATTATATTACCTCCCTTTGCTGGCTCCGCATTCTCACAGTAGCCAATCAGCTAAGCCGCCGTTACATCCGAGCTTGCCAGTGTCAACAAAGATAGCGTCGCAGACGCTGCGAAGTTTTGTTAGCAGTGCGACTCAGATTTGGGGGGGAAACATACAGACAAATTGACACTTCTGAAATCTTAAAAGAATATATGCAAGAACTCCTTCTACCTCTTTCAGAGTACCTCTGCAACAATATATTATTATGTTGCCAAGTTTAAACCGTTAGATGATTTAAAAAGCGAAAGTGAGTTGTGATTGGTACGCTCAACTTCCCAGCGTAGACACCTGACTGGATAGAAAGGCAGCAAAAGGAGGTAATAAAATCATCGGGCCAAGCCGTGGATGCATCCAGGGTATAGTGGAGAGTGATCGTAATGTATACCCTGGAGATTATCGAGGATGACCGAGACATAGCTATGTAGGAATTATGAGTGTTCACACATTATATGGACCATATGGGTAATACTGTTTAGTGTTAAACCACTAAAAGTAACTCTTGAAAATTGTGTAAATATATACACTATTTTAATTGTAAGGTTAACGTAAAATGAAAATCAAACCTTTTTTTAATTTGTAATCATGCTGCAATGTCATAAAAGTTGTTTGTAAAGTTTGATCCATAGTTTTTAGGAAGTGCTTGCATATTTCATCTCTTAGTTACAAAGTCATAGTACGTGTTTCCATGTCTTCTGTCTCCTAGACACAAAAACATCCATGTTACAGAATGGGTAGTCTGTGACTGTCTCTTGGACACACTCAGGTCCATGTCACAGAACTTGTCTTTTAATTCTGTCTCTTAGACACCCAGAGAGATCCATAATCACAAGTGTTATCTGTGACTTCTGTCTCTTACATACAAACGGGCGGTGGGGTAGCCCAGTGGTTAAAGCGTTTGCTTTCGCTAATGCGTGAAACCCCGGGTTCAGATCCCACAAGTCAGTCAGTCAGTCAGTCAAGTCAAGTCAGTCTTACATACAAAATTATATATCCATGTCACCAGGAATGTCATTTGCACACTGTTACACACACACACACACACACACACACACACACACACACACACACACACACACACACACACACACACACTCTCTCATCTCTCTCTCTCTCTCTCTCTCTCTCTCTCTCTCTCTCTCTCTCTCTCTCTCTCTCTCTCTCTCTCTCTCTCTCTCTCTCTCTCTCTCTCTCTCTCTCTCTCTCACACATGCATGGACGCATGCACGCACACACATACACACAGATCCATGTCACATAACGTGTTACCTGTGAGTTCTGTCTCCTTCAGAGAGTTGGTAAGCTTCATTGAAGACTCCAGTATCCCGGCATGGAAGGGATATGCCCTGGCTGTCGCCCTGTTTGCCTCGTCTGAGGTCCAGTCCCTCATCATACAGAGAGTCACATATGACGCTTTTATTTATGGAATGAAGATACGGGCAGTTCTAATATCGGTCATCTTCAGGAAGGTATGTCAAGATCAATGATCTGTTTGTACACTATACTGAAACAATAAAAAAACAACAAATTTGAGCCATGACAGTATTGTAGTGGATAGTTCCACTAAGATGGATCCAATAGCACTGATAGGTGAATAATTTAGTAGGATAATAGAGAAAACTGAATATATATATATCTGTTTATCAAACTGAAACCAGTTATATCAATATTTATCATTGTACTTTTTTATTCTTGATGAATTAGGACCCATGAAGATCCAGGTTAGAATGGATCTTCAGAAACCCATGCTTGTCGTAAGAGGCAACTAATGGGATGGGGTGGTCAGGCTCGTTGACTTGGTTGACACGCCATCATATAGCTGGAATATTGCCGAGTGCAGCCACACCGACCAAACCAAACCTTGATGAATCAGCTGTGAGTCATGTTGATTACAGTTCTAACTGGCCAGGTGCAGCTGTGTTCCCACTAAACCTTCCCACAATGACAGTCATGATACCATGTACTTACTTATGAATGTCTTTTTCTCTAATTTAGAGCAGAATAGGTTCCTAGAGAACATGATAACATGGTTACAATGTATGACTTGGTATGAATTATTTCTCATACTGTCAACCATGTCTGACCCAGCTATTTAAAATCTGTCTGATAAAGCTGGAATATTACCCATCAACATAAAATCACATACTCCCAAAATTCTTTCAGTCTTTAACAATGAACAACCAGGCCAAAAAGGACTCAACAGTTGGAGAGATTGTCAACCTGATGTCGGTAGACGCCAACAACATCAACATCCTGATGACGTACCTGTTTTCCCTGTGGTCAAGCCCCCTCCAGATCATCCTGGCTCTCTTCTTCCTCTACCAGACGGTCGGCTATGCCATGTTTGCCGGGCTTGGCATTATTCTTCTCATGATGCCTTTCAATGGTTTTATCTTGGCCAAAGTGAACAGTCTGCAGGAAAGCATGATGGGCAGCAAGGACAAACGACTACGGGTGATCAGTGAGGTGCTCAACGGGATCAAAGTGAGTGAGAGCAAATGGATCACATGGAATATGGCCTTCCAATAGTGAAATCATACTTATGACAAAATGAAAATCTTCAGTTTGGTCATTGTCATTGGGCAAATTGCATACAATATTTCCTTGACTTTCAATTTTACACTGGGTACACACTGGTTTTGTGTTGCTGCTTTTCCATTTTGTGTCTCAAACACAGAATTATTAGTGAAGTTAATTCTTAAATATTTCACATTCAGGCACTGATTTGTAACTTCATCTACAGCAATGCCAGACCTGAACATTTACATATTTCACCTGGGCCTAGATTTTCGAAGCTCTCTTAGCGCTAAGATAGTCGTAAGTGCCATACATTAACATTAACTTAAAACTATCTTAGCGCTAAGAGAGCTTCGAAAATCTAGGCCCTGGTTTTTACCCCCGAGTAAGACAAGCATTTATTTCTCACACCAACTGAAGGAGGGGGGGGGGGGTAGCTTAGTGGGTAAGCATTGGTTTGTCATACCAAATACCCGGGTTCAATTCCCCACATCGGCACTATGTGTGAATCCCATTTCCGATGTCCCCGACCGTGTTATTGCTGGAATATTGCTAAAAGCGGCTTAAAACTAAACTCACTCACTCACTCACTCTTGTAAACACCAAATGAACACTGAATATTGTGAAGCACATTCTTCAACACTGACAGAAACAGTATGATGACAATCAGTATTCATTTTATGAAACACCCAGGCGGAATTTTACTGTTGTTTTTCAGAATGGCAATTGAGATGATTGAAAAATATATTTCAAAACTTGCTTCCCTTCAGCTTGATGTCATTTCAGGTTCTGAAACTGTATGCATGGGAGGAGTCTTTTAGAGGAAAGATTGAGAAAATACGTAACATGGAGATTCACTACTTGTGGAAAATTGCCCTGTACTTCTCTGCTGTTACCTTTTCATGGACAGCATCACCATACTTTGTGAGTATTCACTGGTTGTAGTAGTAGTAGCTTCAATTCCTTCAAGTCACGATATGGCTGCAATATTGCTGATGTGATGTTAAATAGTAACTCACTCACTCAATTCCTTCAAAGTGACAGCATATCCCTATGTATCATATAAGAGAAGTTCAGCTTTTTTAGGGAAACCTCTCAAACAGTATCAATCTTTGTTTTCGAAAATAGAAAAGTAACTCACAAGCAGACAAATAAAACAAATTCCTTGGAAGAAATTTTGTGGAACATACTGAAAAGAATGAGCTTAGCACTTTCACCATTATTGTCAAAGTAAGTTATATTGCTGCAAAGACATCCTCTCTAATGATAAAACTGGAAAAAAAGATATTGTCAAATGTTTTAATAAGTTACTGTTGAACCAACTACCGGCGTCATCTATTTATCTTTCCTCTTCTAGGTTGCCTTGGCGACACTAGTCGCATATGTGTTCATCTCACCATCTCACTACCTGGATGCCAAAACTGCATTTGTGGCAATAACCTACTTCAATGTCTTCAGGGTGGCCATAAATCTGGTTCCCATGGTTGCTACAGATATTGTTCGAGTAAGTTGAAAACGTTTATAGGATATAACTTATATAACACTTTAACTTGTCACTTATGATAACAGATTCACGGGAGTTCAGTTAATCCCCATCTTTGGTTTTGTGAGCACCAAACCCTTCCACTTTTATCCTTGAGGTTGTGTATCCATAAGCAGGTGCTGTGGGGTGGCCTAGTGGTTAAAGCGTTTGCTCGTCACGCTGAACACCAGAGTTAGATTCCCCACATGGATACATGTGTGAAGCCCATTTCTAGTGTCCCCCACTATGATATTGCTGGAATATTGCTTAAAGCAGGGAGACTATATAATGGGGTGTTGTAGATCATCCCTGCTAAAAGCAGGGAGACTATATAACGGGGTGTTGTAGATTATCCCTGCTAAAAGCAAGGGAGACTATATAACGGGGTGTTGTAGATTATCCCTGCTAAAAGCAGGGAGACTATATAATGGGGTGTTGTAGATTATCCCTGCTAAAAGCGACGTTAAACCATACTCACTCACTTAGTGGGACGTGTGATTGGTCCTGCACCTTTTAGAAGCCATTAGACATGTGACTGGTTGTGCACCATTGAGAAGTCAAGTGAGACATGTGACTGGTTGTGCACCCTATGAGAAGCCAGTGTGTTGTAGACTGGTTGTGCAAAAGCTTGAGAGACTATATAGCAGGGTGTTGTGGTTGTGCACCCTTAAAGCCAGTACCCTGCTAAAGGCAGGGATGTGACTGGTTGTGCACCCTTGAGAAGCCAGTGTTATCCGTGTGACTGGTTGTGCACCCTTTAAGAAGCTATGAGACATGTGACTGGTTGTGCACCCTTGAGAAGACAGTGTGACTGTAGATTACTGGTTGTGCAGCCTTGAGAAGCCAGTGAGACTATATGACTGGTTGTGCACCCTTGTAGATTATCTCTGAGACATGTGAGGTTGTGCAGACTATAATAGCCAGTGTTGTAGATTATCCTGGTTGTGTACCCCTTGAGAAGCCAGTGTAGACATGTCTCTGGTAAAAGCAGGGAGAAGCTATATAATGGGGTGTTGACTGATTGTGCACCCTAAAAGCAGTGAGACATATAACACCCTTTGAGAAGCCAGTGTGATGTGTGACTGGTTGTGCAGCCTTGAGAAGCCAGTGAGACTGGACATGATTATGCACCCTAAGAAGCCAGTGAGACATGTGACTGGTTGAAAAGCCATACTCACTGTGACTGGTCATGCACTTAGTGGGCGAGACATGTGACTGGTCATGCAGCACCTTTGAGAAGCCATTAGACATGTGACTGGTTGTGCACCCTTGAGAAGCCAGTGAGACATGTGACTGGTTGTGCACCCTTGAGAAGCCAGTGAGACATGTGACTGGTTGTGCACCCTTGAGAAGCCAGTGAGACATGTGACTGGTTGTGAGCCAGTGAGACATGTGACTGGTTGTGCACCCTTGAGAAGCCAGTGAGACGTGTGACTGGTTGTGCACCCTTGAGAAGCCAGTGAGACATGTGACTGGTTGTGCACCCTTGAGAAGCCATCTGACTGGTTGTGCACCCTTGAGACATGTGACTGGTTGTGCACCCTTGAGACACCAGTGTGACATGTGACTGGTTGTGCATCTCTGAGAAGTCCATTGGGATTCACTAGAACAGTGTAGATATGCAATTTGTCCAACATCCAGCTGACAAACAGATGGTATAACTGGAATACTGTTCTCAGTGGTGTTAACCCAGTCCATGGCGCCGACAGCTGCTGTACAGTATTTTTATCCTTTATGTTTATGAAAGAACTGTTAACCTGTCGTAATAATTGAGGTTCTTTTCAGGCTAAAGTATCCCTTGAGCGGATTAGCAAGTTTCTGAGGCATGATGACCTAGATGAAACAAGTATTTCACACAGTCAGCACTTTGGTGAGTTTAGCTGTATGGACGCCATCAAGTTTCACCATACAAGAATAGCTGAAATGTATCAAATTAGCGTGTTAGTTATTGGCCACAGACATGACATTTTGTTATTGACTTTTTCCTTTGTTACTACATGGTATCTATACATTGTAGGGGTGTCTGTACACAATGTGTTGCCTTTCAGAAGCTATCGCAACATGAATCCAGAATTTGTATATTTAGTATGTCTGATATACCCCTGTTAAAGTAGTGTGTATATTCATTTAGAAAAACTCTTCTTGGACCTGTATGCTATTGTAAAGCAGAAATGTTGTGTATATCATACAAGCTAGGTGTCAATCTAATAAAATATAATATAGAGCACAGTTCCCATCAAGTCATTTTTCTGTAAGGACATTTGTTCAATCTTTTACAGATCATGCAGTTACTATGGAGAATGCTTCTTTTACCTGGGAACCTGAGCTGGATCCATGGCTGCAAAAGTAAACCATCCATGTGATTGTTATTACATCCAGGTTAATGTAGACTTGTAACTTTTAGACATTTACAGAAATATATAGTTTTGATATGCGAACAGAGGTTGTAGATTAAGAACCAGAATGTTTACACTTGAATGTAAATTGAAAAACCAGAGGCTTTATTTTGTCTCATTTTCAAAGAATCAACCTCAACATCCCTGAAGGCAGCTTGGTGGCAGTGGTGGGTCAGGTGGGGGCGGGGAAGTCATCCCTGATGTCCGCCATGCTGGGGGAGATGGAGAAGGTGGAGGGATTCGTCAACATGAAGGTATGTTATGCCTAGAGTCAGGGTTTTTTATATTCAGTTTATTGCGGTGGAAGGTTTGATTAATGTTCATTGAATATTTCCAACCATATTAGGGGTGATAAGTTTTTCTGCACATGTTACCAGGGAAGTATAGCCTATGTTCCGCAACAAGCCTGGATCCAGAACGAAACCCTGCAGAACAACATCCTGTTTGGGAAGCCAATGGATAAAGAGCTATATGACAAAGTGGTCAGTGCCTGTGCTTTAAACAAAGATCTGGAAATATTATCAGGAGGAGACCAAACAGAAATAGGAGAGAAGGTAAATACATTACACTAAAGTATTTCATCCATTGTCTTTCCTGACACAACGAAGTGTGTATATATTCTGAATATTTTCAGAAAGCAATTAACCTACTCATAGTTCTTTGCTTAAATAATTCATAATTTACATTTTCTGGAGAAAAATGGACATTCTACTTGTTCCATATCTTGATATCAGGGGATCAACTTGATTCTGCCTATTCAGAGCTGTCTATTGTGTCGTGAGTTTTCTATTTGTTCGCTATCTTGACATCAGGGCATCAACCTGAGTCGGATCAACTTGATTCTGCCTATTCAGAGCTGTCTATTGTGTCGTGAGTTTTCTATTTGTTCGCTATCTTGACATCAGGGCATCAACCTGAGTGGGATCAACTTGATTCTGCCTATTCAGAGCTGTCTATTGTGTCGTGTGTTTTCTATTTGTTCGCTATCTTGACATCAGGGCATCAACCTGAGTGGGATCAACTTGATTCTGCCTATTCAGAGCTGTCTATTGTGTCGTGTGTTTTCTATTTGTTCCCTATCTTGACATCAGGGCATCAACCTGAGTGGAGGACAGAAGCAGAGAGTGTCACTAGCCAGAGCTGTCTACAATGATGCTGATATCTACCTCCTGGATGATCCTCTCAGTGCTGTCGACAGCCATGTTGGCAAACACATCTTTCAGCACCTTGTAGGACATGATGGGTTGTTGAAATCAAAGGTACCGGTACTACAGCATAAGATGGACCCGTCTGTTTACTCATGAAATTATGGTACATTATACATATTTACTGTTTTGGCTTGTTTAAGTCTAGACATACTAAACAAACACAGCACTCAACAAGCATCATTTAGATGTTACACATTCTGATCATTGGATCACTCTATTGGAACCAAATATAGAAATATATGAAATGCAGAGAGCAGCAATATTGTTCCAATATTGTTCCTCTAAATGTACATAAGTATTACCCAGTTCAATGGTATAAGCATTCAAATTACATTCCTAGCTCCAAGTGGAGTAGGTAACTAAACTACACAACGCTTATGTCCATTAAATGCCCTGTGTATAAACGATTGTTGTTTTTAATGTTGCAGACACGAATCCTGGTTACCCATGGCGTGCACTGGCTGCCACAAGTGGACACAATAATTGTTCTGACCAAAGGCCAAATCTCTGAGATCGGAACATATGAGGAACTCATGACTCACAATGGTGCCTTTGCCCAGTTCCTGACTACCTATCTCACTCAGCACAATGATGAAGACAGTGAAGGGGAGGATGAGGAAGATGAAGGCAAGTATTCAGATTTGTGGGGAGAAATGTTACACTCGGTTGTCACCTTATGGAGATTCAAGGGCACCATCACATGCTAGTCATGGAAACCAACATACATAGACGAAGATGGTCACAGTAGCTGAGCATAGATACTGTGCATGTATGAATCGTTCACCTGTGATGTCAATGTCACAGGCTATTGTCCAGTTTTATTATGATAAGAGTAAATTAGCATATGAGCTGAGTGGCGATAGTTCAATCAAGCCACTCGAAGGTCAACGTTAGAAATTAGGATGCTTTTAAGACCAGTCCAGATGACTTGTTCAAACCTTATTTCAGTTGTCCTCAGAGTTTGTTGCTACTTCTGCTTGAAGAAGAAGAAAATGTTTACTATGTTCACACTTTCTCACGGTTTTACTCAGTTCCATATATTATCCCCCCCTCTTTCCCCGCGCGTTTAGCGCGAAGCGGGGGATATAGTATTAGGCTCCGTACGTCCGTACGAATTAAAATATCTTAAGAACCATTGACTGGATTCTTTTCATACTTGTTACCTAGGTTCATCACAGTATAAGAAAGGTACCAGTCAGGTTTGGTGACCTTGACCTTCATTTCAAGGTCACCAGGGGACTTAATGTTTTACCCTTGTCAGCAAGAACCCAAGAACCATTGACTGGATTTTCTTGATATTTGACACCAAGCTTCATATAGGGAATGCGCAGGGCCCAGTCGATTTTGGTGACCTTCACGTAATTTTCAAGGTCACAGTGACACTTTGAAGATTTCAGTATGTTAAGATAGTCAGCAAGATATCTCAAGAATGGTTCACTGGATTGTCTTCATAGATTTTCAAGACTTCTCTTAAATGTTTTTTGATAAGCAATTTCTCTATTACTATTTTCTTGTTTTTGTTGACATTTAAGTTCATCTTAAACTAAGGCCTTCACTTTCATTACTCTTTAAGTTTGATTTGATAATTTGCAGCGGGGGATTATGTCACCTTAGTGACAACTGCTTGTTTATAATCTGAACTACCAGTCTTGAATCAAATAGTGAGTAAACAAGGGTTCATGCTGTCATTCACAACATTCCAGCAAAGATACAGCAAGCTGCATGACTGTGCATGATTATGTAGATCCTTATCTCAGTCAGAAAACAATACATGTTAACATAAACATTAATTTACCAATGCTCACTGACTTACTAAGACAGATAGATGGGAGTTAGTCTACTGATCCGGACACTATGGACATCATCTGTTGAGAACATCTGAAAGATACCTGTTTCCTTTCATGACAGGGGCACAGAGCGTCTGTGTATGTGGAGTAAACTTGGGTGTTCACATCCCAGATTGAATATGTTATGACTCTTGGTTTGCAGTACTATACCCTAGTGTGGGCGGACTAAATGCAGTATCCTATTAGCCTGAGACTACATTCTGCTGTGGGCTAGTGAAAGTCCTGATGTCACTCCTGCAAGTCTTTGTAAAATTTAAAATTGAACATACGAATGATACTATTCATATGATTGGAAGGAGAATATAACAAGTGACATATGTATTTCAGCCCAGGCAATCAGGAAGGATATGTTGGAGCGACTCACATCTGTGACATCTGAGACTGAGACATCAGGGGATGAGATGATGATGGGTCACATCATGAGCAGAATCAGGAGGTAGGTCAGTGAACCATTACCTGCCCCAAACAGGAACCATCACTGGTATCCATAAAAGGGCTGAATGGAAGCTGATGTTTCATTCCTCAATGTGCATTTTAATTCAATGCAATCTTAGTTAGGAAAAGATCACTAACAGAGTTCTTTAGTTCTGAAAAATAGCTTCTTAGACTACCTTTCCCTGGTGTCTAAAATATTAATGTTGCTTATCTCAACATGTGCAAGCACCTGCTAAAGATCAAACACTCACTGTTGATCCCAGGCAGTCATCAATGCTCAGTGATGGACAGTCAGCTGACCCTTGCTCTCCAGGTGTCACTGAGACGAAGAAAGAAGTATGGTGATAAGGTTGATGCTCCCAAAGTAGGTCACCTCATTGAGGAGGAGGAGGTCGAAGTTGGCACGGTAGGTAGAGTACATGCCCCACATTCACTGCAACAGAGATACTATCCCACTGATTTTTCACATTTATATCTACAATTTATGTAGCTAATATGTGAAAGTGTGAAATATCTGTAAACTAAGTTCGACCTAACTATAGTCTCAGTGGTAGAGAGATAGGAAACATAGAAAAAGGACTTTACTGAGGAGAGCTTAGTGCAGAAATAAGCAATGCAGGTTTTTTCTAAATCCAAAGCGACTTATTTGGAGCAGACCATGATTTTATGCATATTAGTGTGCGATGATAATGTATTGCAAAGGACACTTTTTAAATACCCATTTCAAAAATAAATTTATCTTCATTATAAACGATAGCTGACGTAAACATTAATAACTTTAATACTGAAACTATTTAGGATGTAGCTACCATGAAGTCTCACTATCACTACAAAAAGAAACAGTTAGGAGGGGTCGTCTCAAACAGTGTGTCAGGACTGGTGTCACAGACGGTGGTTGGGGTCGGGCTGGGCGATAGAGATATCAGCTGAGATAAGATAATCCTTTAGGGGAAATAGACTGGGGAAGCAAACGGCATGTCACGACAATTTACAAATACTATCCAGTCCTGTCGATCATCGGGTGGTCATGCCACCTATATATTTTAAGACATTTAATACGAAGGCTGATGTAAGCTTTTCTATGGGTATCATTCTCTTTTACATATCTCCACATAAACTTTGTGAAAAAAAGACACGTAAGATGTCAATCAATAGATAAGACATATTCAACACACATGAGAAAGCATAAAATATCTTTGAGATGACCCCTTGTGCCCGTAGGCAGCACATGCATTTCATGCCAGGTGAGTCGACGGTCTGTCGTCATACCTGGCTGAGCGACCTAATTGATGTATTGTTTTCAGCAGCTATTGGTATTTTTTCAAAGTTTTGCCCAATTTTACGAGTAAACATGCTTTTCTGGATATCCTATTGTGCATTCCACTGAACGCCCAGTTAGGCAGATGTGGGTTCTTTAGACATATGCTATTGCAATTCTGTAAATTTTAGGGATACAGAGTTACAGCCTAAAAGTTTTTTTCTATTTCCGACAGTACTTTTGTCCTAGATAATGTTCAGGGGCCGATACAGCTTTTTGAGAAAGGTGGGGGATGAACACACTTGAGAGAGGGGGTGGGTGCACACTCTTCACGGGTCATTTCATAAACTTTCAGGACAAAAGGGGTGCTACCCCTGCAAACCCCACCACCACCACCACCAACCGCCCATCCCCCAATCCGCCTATGGCGTTCTTTGCATAAGGACAGTCATAAATCCCATACTTCATTTGCTGATAACAGCCATTGTGATGCTCACTCAGTAGAACAACATCCAGTCCTTTTGTCATCGACCCCAAACATGTAATATTCTGCAAATGTAGGGGAGACCGGGGACCATTGGGACACCCCACAAAACCACTATTTATTGGTGTGTAATCACATGATCATTTAACCAAAAGGAAGTGATGTCTTATGAATGACATGTTAGGCAGATATCAATTCAATGTAGTCATTCTATTATAATCAAGTCTTCATCAAAATTAATGAATTCGAATTCAATGTTCAAAGGAGTCCTTGCATCTTAAGCTTTGTTAATGAGAGAAGCATTCTCAGTTGTCAGCAATCCAACTGTCAACAATTCAATAAAGGTCTAAATAAATAGGAGATAGATAACAAAATTTGGAGATAGACAGTGTGTGTTTATGGATTTGGAAGCTTCGGTTTTGAGCATTCAGATGTAAAAATGTGTTTCCAACAATGAAATTCTCATTAAAATCTGCAAAGCTGAAAACACATGTTGTTGACATTGTAATATATGAAAAAGTTTTGTAAATTTTCTAAAGCACTCGCTTCTAATATGAACTCTTAAAATGTTGGGCGTTGGGGTAGCCTGGTGGTTAAAGCGTTCGCTCGTCACACCGAAGGCCCGGGTTCGATTCCCCACATGGGTACAATTTGTGAAGCCCATTTCTGGTGTCCCCACCATGATATTGCTGGAATATTGCTAAAAACGGCGTAAAACCATACCCAGTCAGTCAGTCAGTCTTAAAGTGTTAAATTGACATGAGGCCACTCTGGGTTACTCTGACTAAAACCGTGGAAAGAGACGACATCATGCTACAATGGTTGTCATTACAGGCTTAGTTATATATGAAATTCAGTTGGCCAGTAGAATGTGGTAGAAATTACTTAGTCCCTGGGCAACTATCAATCAGACTTGATAGTTTTGTTAATGTGGTGTCCATTTTGACATGCTAAATGGCATATATTTTTTGGAGTGAAAGAAAAAAAGATGATGAGCAGTCGTATGCAGTCAATTTATCAACCAGGCAGACTACAGCACACATTCCAGATGAAATAATATTATACTAGCCTTATCATAAACCTTATATTATTGACTGAAAATTTATGTTCATTAGCTTCCCCAGATTCAAACACAGCAGACAACACCAACTACCAAGGATCACACTTAATTTTTAACACTCGTGTGTGTGTGTGTGTATGAAGGTATAAAGCACCTGATTAACTTATGAATAACTTTATCCTAAATATATGTGAACAATTTACATTATCTTGTCTCACACATAAATGTCGTTTTCTGATTGGCTGAGTGCTCTTCTATCATATCAATGTACCCCACTTACAAGCGAGTAACATTTGCTATGTACCCGCTGGGAATGCCAAACTCATTTGGTACTTCGTAGTAGTAATTCTTTATCTCGAATAACATTGAATCACGTATGATGTACGGGAATTATCCATGTTTTGCGAATGCAAATCGATGGACAGGAGATAACTCTAAATTTGATTTTTTGTCGTCTGGTACACCATGCTATGATCCGATACCCGTGCTTCAAACAATTCAAAATTAACCCTAAGGTGTTCGGTAAGATAAATACGTTGTTCATTGGTCCCTCGCGGCCCATGGGTTGATGTAGCCCTTTGGGCTCAGGGAACATAAACAAACATCAAGGGTACATCAACCCATGCCCCCCTCGTGACCAGTGAACAACTTATAATGTCCCTATGACACAACACTCCTCATTATAGCCTGAGTAGGCACTGCCATGGTTACAGTACTTGTAGATATTTAGTTGACTGATAGTGTTAGCCACAGAAAAATTACAGTGTAAAAGCTTTACAGTTTCACTGACCATCTCATTCTTGACACTTAAGTTTAACCTTTTTCTTCCAAAGATTTATAATTAGTGATATGACATACTTCTAATTTGTGTCCTCAAAATCTCTCAGCTACAGTGCCTTCTCCTAGCAGACGGCCATCTTCACCTTGATCTGTACTAGCAGCTCCTCTGGTGGAGGAAATGTGGAACATAACTAAGGGGAATAACTCTGGTCATCACTGTAGCTAACCCTTGTTTATGTTTGATGGTCATGGAATCAAGTTCAAATCTCATTTTGTTCATTTTTCTATTTTATTTTAACCTGTATATATGATATATTTTTTTTCTCTTCTGAAATTCCAGATAAATCAAAGAAAGTGAAAAATTAAGGCTTTGCTAGTTAGTGGGGGTGCATTTTTGTCAACATGATGCAATTCTACCAATGCAGTTTGCACCTGTGTTATTCCACCTGTGCTATTTCACTGAAATTGTAAATATGTGACAGGCATACCAACTGTCGCCAAGCTAAGATAATGATGATCTCCTGTGTTTGATTGCAGATTAAATTCCAAGTGTTCCTGAGCTACTTAAAGGCGCTTGGTCTCTGGAACATGGTATTGGCCTTGTCCATGTTCGTGTTGTACGAGGCCTTCCAGGTATCGGGCCAGATCTGGCTGAGTCAGTGGACAGACGATGTCACCCTTGGCAACACCAGCCTGCTACCCAACAGCACGGAGAGGAGGCAGTACAATGACTACTACATGGGAATATATGGCCTGTTTGGTGCATTACAGGGTGGGTATAGCCTCAGAGTTTGATAGATGACAAAGATACATTTGAACTTTAGGGTACAGTCAAAGATAGAACTTTAGGGATTTGATTTGATTTGTTTTCATTTTGTTAGCTTTTGGATATGTAAATGTAATATTTCTTTCAGTATTAAACAGAAATAACATTCTAAATTTAAAATTTGTTTCATCTATCGATATCCAATCCATGATAATGATAAGACTGATACACTGAAGGTTATTGCAACCAGTTCTGATGAGTGGCCATGTTGGAATTGATTTGTATTTGAAAACAGAGACTGATAAACTGATGCAAGTTCATTGCTAAAGGTTTATAAATTATGATGAGTCCATGTTCAACAGCAATGTTCAGCACATTTCACATTTTTTAAACATTTAAACAATATTGCGCTGAATAAGGTGATAATCTAGTATGTAAGATAACAAATACTGACTTATGTTCTCATATTAGCATAAAATTAGGTGCGTTATGTCGAGCACAACAAAGATGTGTTCTTTGCAATTAAAGATTTTATAAAAAATTACTGATTCAACATTTTTATCAATATGGAAATGATCTATGTGGAACATATCTGGTAATAAATTCTAAAAGTTTGCTGAAAACACTTTGCATTATGTAAACTATTTGTGTATATTAGGGGTAGCCTAGAGATTAAAGCGTTCACTCGTCACGACGACGACCTGGGTTCGATTCCCCACATGGGTACAATATGTGTGAGGCCGGCCATTTCTGGTGTCCCTCAGTGTGATATTGCTGGAATATTGATAAAACTAAAACTAAACTCACTCACCTACTCATGTATAACAATCATAAATGTATGCATGCAGTGTACATCCACATACAAATAATTACATTGATTGTATTTGAGTGAAGGCGAAAATGTATCCTTCTCTCAAACAATTTTTATAAATGTTGCTGTGAACATCAGAATTGAAGAATTGTTTAAAATCATGGGCTATAATATATCTATGATGAGCAATATCATGAGATGAACAGCTTTGAGAAATTGCAAGGTGCATGACTGTGAAAATAGATTTGCTTCTGTTACCCAAATAAGATATCTCAACTCAAATAGTAGTCAAAAACATTGTGTAGGGGAAAATGGGAACATGTTATACTCCATCAGTGTGGTAGTGTAGCCTGATGGTGAAAGCATCGCCTTCACACACTGAAGACCCTCGTCCAATTCACTACATGGGTACAATATGTGAAGCCCATTTCTGGTCCCCCCATCCCCACCCCCCAACTATGGTTGGAAAATAAGCATGCTCACTCACTATACCTCTGTTTATTCACAGCTCTCTTCGTCCTTGGCTATGCTTTCCTAATTCACATCCGATCTGTGTATGCCTCCCGCATCCTACATCACAAGATGCTCACCAATGTTCTTCGAGTACCTATGTCCTTCTTTGACACTACCCCGATTGGCCGCATCTTGAACAGGTTCTCCCAGGACTGCGATGTCATGGACAACCAGCTGCCCATCACCATGGAGATCTGGACCGATTTAGTTGCCCGCTTTATTGCAACAGTCATCATCATCAGTTACAGCACTCCCATATTCCTTGCACCGATTGTTCCTCTCTTCATCCTGTATGTGTTTATCCAGGTGGGTTACGGGTGGTGAGTAGCCTAATGGCTGAAGACCTGGGTTCAATTCCCCACATGGGTACAATGTGTGAAGCCCATTCTGGTGTCCCCTGTCGTGATATTGCTTGAATATTGCTAAACGCATCATAAAACCATACTCACTCACTCCCTCCAGGCGGGTTACATTCCTGGGCCTAGATTTTCGAAGCTCTCTTAGCGCTAAGATAGTCATAAGTTAATGTTAATGTATGACACTTACGACTATCTTAGCTCTAAGAGAGCTTCGAAAATCTAGGCCCAGGGGGAAATCTGTGGCAGAATTGAACCTCAAAACCTTTTCCTTTCCATGGGAAATCTTTTGCAGATTGGGACACAGAATATTTGACTGGGAAATATCTGGGTCATTATGGGACTACAGGACTGTGACTTGTTTGGAGGGCAATCTGGGGTAGAACTGAACTAATGAACCCTTTGGGTCCGCGAAGGTCCGGGTTAAAATATTGATCTTCAGTAACCCATGCTTGTCGTAAGAGGCGACTAACGGGATCAGGTGGTCAGGCTCGCTGACTTGGTTGACACATGTCATCAGTTCCCACTTGCTCAGATCGATGCTTGTGCTGTTGATCACTGGATTGTCTGGTCCAGACTCGATTATTTCCAAACCGCCTCCATATAGCTGGAATATTGCAGAGTGCGGCGTAAAACTAAACTCACTCACTCACTAATGAACCCTTTGCTTGTCCTGAGAAGCCCCTATTACCATGCTTCTCTGAATTAATTCGGACATATGAAGTAGAAAATGTCTATTGAAATATTGTTTCTAAGGAAAGTGAAGTCCATTTCTGGTGTCTCCTGCCATGATGTTGCTGGAATATTGCTGAAAAGCGGCCTAAAAACATACTCACTCACTCACTCTAAGGAGAAATAAGATTTATTCAGCAAACTGTTTTCATATTTGAACTTCTTGGATCATTAATATAGAAACATTTCCAAGTATAGTATGAGATCTAAAAAATGTCTGAATGGTATACTGAAACATTGCAGAGATTCTACGTGACAACATCCAGACAGTTGAAGCGACTGGAGTTGAAGACACGATCCCCAATCTTCAGTCAGTTCAGCGAGACGTTGTCTGGAGTGAGCGTCATCAGGGCATACAAGGCCCAGGACAGATTTATCCTGGAGTCTGAGGCAAAGGTGGACATGAACAACAGATTTGTCTACAGCGGCATTGCAGCCAGCAGGTCAGACACTGTAGTCAAGCCCATGAGAACTAGATGTACCAGTTTGAACTGAGGACACGTTATCTATGTGGTTAATGACTCGCACTTCATTTGTTACTTTGTATATATACAAATACGTGATAACCTCTGACTCTGAATACTGATAATGCAAATATGATTTTTTTTATGTCTGCATCATGAAGACCCTTGTTAGGTTAGATGCGTCTCCTTTCGTCATTACGTCCGATTCACATGCATGGATGCTATTCTTTGAAAACCTTGAGGCAAAAAATTCAAAGTGCCAGACGCCAGGGTTTTTTCTCACATGGCAAACTTGATAATGAGTTCTGAAGGATTGAAACAAATGAAAAAAAAATTATGTCTCTTTTTCTATAGAACCAATAATATTTCTGCAATGCTTCTTTACTGTTAACTAAAATCTTCAAACCTCCTGACCAGGTGGGTCAGTGTCCGTATGGAATTCTTGGGGTCAATTATCGTCCTGCTGGCGGCTGTGCTGTCAGTGGCCACTCGGGACACAGTGACCGGAGGAGTTGTTGGACTCTCGCTGTCGTATGCCACAGAGGTCAGTTGCAGTTATATTACAACCTCAAGGCACCCTAATTATTTCTTAGTGGGTTCAGGGCAGAGGGGTAACTTAGTGGTTAAAGCATCTGCTGATTACGCCAAAGACCCATGTTCAATTCCCCCCACATGGGTACAATGTGTGATGCCCATTTCTGGTGTGCCAGATGCTTTTCATTGTGTTGGGGCTGTGTGGTAGCCTAGTAGGGAAAGTGTTCGTTCGTCACGCGACCCGAGTTCGATTCCCCACATTTCTGGTGTCCCCCGCCATGATATTGCTGGAATATTGCTAAAAGTGGCTTAAAACCTTGCTTGCTCACTCACTCACTCACTCACTCACTCACTCACTCACTCACTCCTCACTCACTCACTCACTCACTCACTCACATTTAGTACATTTCACTGCTTAGATCTCTGCAATGGTTGGTTGACTCGAAGCTGTTGAGACATCTGGAGCAAGTCATACCTGGTTATCTATTTTATGGAGTCCATTTTCCATCCTTTCATTAACATATCAGTTAATATTAAGTAAGTGCTATGTTTTGGGTGGCCCTTATTATCATCATTAATTATATTGTCATCAACATTATCATTAATGATCTGTAATCCATTTTATGTGTTTTTACATACTTGCTGTCAGACTTCATATTAGCCCTTGTTTGTGGTTATCTGGGTTTTTTTATGTCGTTTAGATTCTAGGAGTCTTAACATTCCTGACACGGCTGACATCCGAGGTGGAGACGATGATAGTGTCAGTAGAGAGGATACAGGAGTACACCCAGCTCAAGGAGGAGGTAAAGTACTTCATGATAGATATGTTGGACATTTGAACATTGTGTTACCAAGTTATTATCCCCTGCAAAATGCATTGAGGGGGATAATAACTTGGTAAAACAATTAAAATGGACTCTGTCCATGCATCCGTGCGTCCTTCCGTGCACTTTTGTCTTTTCCGGAGCATAACTCTAACACCGTTCAATATTTCTTCACCAAACTTGGCACATACATAGATCTGGTAGTCTACTGGTTTTTTTTACTAGTTTTGGATTTCTGAATGAAACATGTTTTTGCATTTCCATGGCAACAAGTTTGACTTTGACTGAAATTGGTGGAAGTGCTCTTTTCCAGAGCAGAACTTAAAAACTATTCACTGTTTCATCACGAAATTTCATACATAGGTAGGTCTAGTGGTGAATTGGTGCCTTTTGCTAGTTTTGGATTCTGAATCAAATGGTTTTCTTTGTGTTTCCATGGCAACAATTTTGGCTTCAACTGAATTTGGTGGTAGTGCTCCTTTCTGGAGCAGAACTTTGAAACCTTTCAGTACTCTCCTCCCACTTAGCTATATACACGCCATATACACGCCAAAACATTTGACATAATCATAACTCGTAGACATATTCATGAAGAGTATTTTTCCATTGCGGGGGATATTGATGACTTTGTCTTCTTATTATACTTACATCACGTGTCATGTGACATCACCCTCATGGTCAGGTGTATGGATCGTTTGCTTTGACATCAGAAGGCTGGTGGTTTTATCTAAACGATGGCATGGTACTTAATGAAGCGTTGATATATATCTTTAAAACAATATTTTAGTTTAATTTTACTCACCAAACCACAAGAATAAGCTACAACCATTGTGCTAAACCCAATGTTAGAGTCAGGGTACATGATCTGAGAATCAGTCCAAATCTTACATGTATGATGGTATGTTTTGCCAGGCTGCTGCACGTATTGAAGAAACAAGTCCCCCACACAGCTGGCCTCACGTTGGCGCCGTGACCTTCAACAACTACAGCACTCGTTATCGACCCGGGTTGGACCTCATCCTCAAGGACATCAGTTTCTCTGTCAATCCTGGAGAGAAGGTCAGAAGCAAGCTTACTAACATTGTGTAAACATACTTTCAGGGCTGATAAAGTTTTTACAAAACTGGATACATGAAATTTATATGACCATTAGACAAGGTGTTTCATGATGACAGTAATGGACATGTAATCTACACGGTTTTATCACACAGGATCAGTAGATCAAAGTACCACAATTTATCTATTTCTGATTGACAATTTTGATATGCAGGATTTCTTATAATAGTTAAACCCTCTAGGATTCAGGGGCAAAAGTTGGGCCAGAATCCTCATATTTGTATATTTTTTAACTGGTCACCATTCAGAAAAATCAAGTTTGCAAGATAACCACAGTGTTGATATCACAAACTTGTGTAATCCAGACTGAGGGAAGGGAGATACTACAGTGTTGATATCACAAACTTGTGTAATCCAGACTGACGGAAGGGAGATAACCACAGTGTTGATATCACCAACTTGTGTAATCCAGACTGAGGGAAGGGAGATAACCACAGTGTTGATATCACCAACTTGTGTAATCCAGACTGAGGAGAGGGAGATAACCACAGACAGTGTTTTTATAACATCCTTGTGTATTTCTGATTGTGGTTGTGGTTGGGGAGATAATTACAGACTGTTTGATCCTAACATCCTTGTGTTTATCTGATTGCGGTAGGGGAGATAATCAGTCAGTCTTTAATCCTTATATCCTTGTGTAGTGCAGACTGTGGTAGGGGAGATAACCACAGGCTGTGTTTGATCCTAACATCCTTGTACTCCAGGTGGGCATTGTGGGCAGGACAGGTGCTGGGAAGTCATCTCTCACCCTGTCACTGTTCCGACTGATCGAGGCGGCAGGAGGGGAGATCGTCATAGATGGAGTTAGCATTAACTCTCTTGGACTTCATGATCTCAGAGGCAAACTCACCATACTCCCTCAGGTAAGAATGGACATTTTACTCCAATGAAACTTTAGTCCTTTAGGAGTATTTGCCATTTCTGAATCCAGAACAAGACTTTTCCTGAAGCCACTGCTGGAAATATAATGTGAGTTTTAGTGCCACATTTGATTTTTCTCTATTTAATCAGTAATTTCTTTTCTAATTTCAGGACCCAGTGATATTCACAGGGAGTCTACGCTCCAACCTTGACCCCTTCAGTGAGTATAGCGATAAGGAGTTGTGGACAGTCCTGGAGCAGGCTCACCTGAAGCAGTTCATACTGACGTTCCCAGACACCATTCACCATGAGTGTGGGGAGGAAGGGAGAGAACTTCAGGTCAGATTACATGCATCTCTGTATACCACTGCACCATCATGGTAATAAATACTGGGTCTTCACACCATGCTTTGTGGTTGTTGACAAACTGTGCTAGATCTGAGGAATGTCAGTGGAATATCACAGTGGTGCAGACATTTGATAAGAAATGTAATATGATGCAGTCTGTGGATTGTTGCCACACAATGCCCAGTAGATTTTTGCCACACAATGCCCAATAGATTGTTGCCCCACAATGCCCAATAGATTGTTGCCACACAATTCCCAATAGATTGTTGCCACACAATGCCCAAAAATGATGCGGTCTGTGGATTGTTACCACACAATGCCCAATAGATTGTTGCCCCACAATGCCCAATAGATTGTTGCCACACAATGCCCAATAGATTGTTGCCACACAATGCCCAACAGATTGTTGCCCCACAATGCCCAATAGATTGTTGCCCCACAATGCCCAATAGATTGTTGCCACACAATTCCCAATAGATTGTTGCCACACAATGCCCAATAGATTGTTGCCACACAATGCCCAATAGATTGTTGCCCCACAATGCCCAATGGATTGTTGCCCCACAATGCCCAATAGATTGTTGCCCCACAATGCCCAATAGATTGTTGCCCCACAATGCCCAATAGATTGTTGCCCCACAATGCCCAATAGATTGTTGCCCCACAATGCCCAATAGATTGTTGCCACACAATGCCCAATAGATTGTTGCCACACAATGCCCAATAGATTGTTGCCACACAATGCCCAATAGATTGTTGCCCCACAATGCCCAATAGATTGTTGTCACACAATGCCCAATAGATTGTTGCCCCACAATGCCCAATAGATTGTTTACATACAATGCCCAATAGATTGTTGCCCCACAATGCCCAATAGATTGTTTACACACAATGCCCACTAGATTGTTGCCCCGCAATGCCCAATAGATTGTTGCCCCACAATTCCCAATAGATTGTTTACACACAATGCCCAATAGATTGTTGCCACACAATGCCCAAAGATGCAAACCATGGTTTGTTGTCATAAAATTCCCAATGATGTGGTCTGTTGATTAATGCTACAAAGTGAGAGGGAAGGAAAAGGACAGAAGCTCTCGCTACTACACCAGTCATGTAGTACATGCCCATTAAGGTGTATCAGACTCCATAGTGTTGGTTTGTACAGTCTACTCCAAACATCCACAAACACAAGGCACAACTGTTACCCATCATACTACACAGTATGCAATATAATATATGCAGCAATCATAAATAGACAGATATATCCATACCTTTAACTGTAAAACTTATCATCCTTTTGCTGAGAATGTATGGATGTCCATTGGTTTCTTCCAGGAATGGAAGTGGTTGTCACAACCTGCTTTGACTCTAAATAAGATGTTTATTTTCATGAAAGTGGTCTTCATCTCATGTTGATGCCAGTGAAGAGGCAGAGCACTCTCTTACATGAGTTTATTCACCATCATCACTATCATGTTTTCAGTGTTGGACAGAGACAGCTAGTATGTCTGGCCAGAACTCTACTGAGGAACACCAAGATCCTGGTTCTGGATGAAGCTACAGCAGCCGTTGACATGGAAACGGATGACCTGATCCAGCAGACCATCAGGTCAGAGTTCAAGGACTGTACTGTGTTGACCATCGCCCACAGACTCAACACAGTCATGGACTATGACAGGTGAGTATATTTTCGTTTGTATTTCTCTTGCCATAGTATTAAATCAACATAAGGTCATCTTTAAGGATGTCCTTGGGATTGTGGTTTTGATTTAACAGTTTGTTTCATATGTGAACATTATGGTTGAGTAACACATGAAAAAAATATATCATTTCACTAGAAAAGACATCTTATTGACACAGTGGATATGTAGGGTACCGGTAGATATATGCACTTATACCACATGTTTGCCGCTGGTGCCAAATGTGACTCATGCAGATTATGATACTTTAACATGCAGATATATTCAAATATTTGGGTATCAAACAAAAACAAAAACTTACCCTGTGCATCTTTACAGGATTCTGGTGCTGGAACAAGGCCGTGTTGCAGAGTACGACACTCCAGAGAATCTGCTGCAACAACCAAACAGTATCTTCTTCAAGATGGCCAAGGATGCTGGACTCGCACAGTGATGTACATCAGATATAACTACTGCAACCAAGGATGCTGGACTCACACAGTGATGTACCGGTACATCAGATATAACTACTGCCACCAAGGATGCTGGACTCACACAGTGATGTACATCAGATATAACTACTGAAACCAAGGATGCAGGACAAACAGAGTGATAGGAATCACACATCGATGACTCCCACCAAGGATGCAGGATTCATACAGGGATGTACATGACACACTGCCAAGTACAAAGGACAACCACTGTGATACACATCAGGAATGATGAATCCCACCAAAGATGCAGGATGAACACATGGAGTGTGTTTCATGCAGAATTGTCACCATTGACTGTTGACACCATGCAGAAATCTGCCATTGCATAGTTTATCATATGCATAATATATGTTTTTCAAAATTCTAGAAGTTGGTTACTACAATAGTATCAGAGGAAGTAGTGGTGTTTGGTTATAGGAATTACAGGGAATGTACTATACAAGACCTTCTCATGACCTGCAGTGCATCCTTTCTCTCCAGGGTCCTTTTGCTCAGAACTATCATAGTTGCAATCAATCTTATATGCCTACATTCAGTTCACAATCACCATACAATTGTTGTATCCCTATTGCACAAGCCAGTCTTAGCGAAATCGTAAGATGGAAAGTTAAGACTGAAATTGTCAACGGTAGAGGTAAGACAATCTTATCTACTTAAGATTAGTCCGGACCATTTGTAAATTAAATTTGGAAGTCAGTGGCAATTGTAGTTGCAGGCTATGATCGCAATCTTCAGGATTTAAATAATTATAGCACTAAGATTCCTTTGTGGTTGTGGTCCCATGGCACCGCTTCCATCAACATGCACTATCTGCTGGACCAATTCTGGTTGTTCTTGTATTATTCTCCCTTGAATTTCACAAACGTTGAGGTAACAGGTAAGGGGGCGAATCGTAATGCATAGAGACAAAGCCACCACCAATTGTAAGGGACGTAATAGTACTGTCCATTAATAGATTTGTAATAACTTTCTTTTGTGGGTCATTCTTTTTTTGACTGTCTTGCAAACTCTGTCGTAGTCAATGGGACTGGCCACCATGTTGATATCACCAATGCCATACTGAGATTGGTTTGTATTAAGCATTTTGAGAGGTTCATTAAACTGAGTAGCAAAACAAATTAAGTTGATAATTTGAAATTGTGTGAACCATTGGAATGTAGTCAGAGATTAGTGATGGTGAGCTTTGCATATGTAGAGATTGACATGAATGGTGACACTTGCAGACAGTTTTTGTGAAGAGGGCATGGACTGCACCTTGCACTAGGATACATTGGCCTTGCTCTTCTGGGTTTTGAGCATCAAGACTCATTAGTCCCTGGTATCAATGTGCAAGCTTTATTGTGTGAAAATATATCAGGAATCAGGTCTATGAGCATCCCATACTAGTCTTGGGCTCCCTTTAGTATCTCATTAAATATTTATGTTGTGATGCTTGTATGAAAACTTTCTGAAAATGAACTTACAGTGTATGACTTATGTATTTGTTGTGGTTAGACACACTACTAAGAACTTCCAATGGAAAAGTATCTTCAAGGATGCTAAAGGTAATGTAGGTTTCAAGATGATTCATACTGATGATGCAAAAAGGGCAATTTTTTGGAATTATGTTGTGACAATAATGAACATGTGGAGAGAATGCTGAATGGTATGTGAAATGTGCTGCAAGCTTGTCAGCTGGGTAACAGAGTATTACAAGGTCAGTCTTGACAGATCTACTGCTGGTGCTATATATAGACTCTATGTTATAACTCAATCTCTTTATTTATCTATATATTCAGTGTGTTTGGGATAAAAAATAAATATCACGATGAGACCAGACCATGTTTTTGTTTTATTGATATTCCATGACTTTATGTCAAGGAGTTTAAATATAATTTATGTTGCTTGGCAACACGAAGGAGCATTTACGATGACAGTATGTAGTACCATGTATTGTATTTTTTATATAATTGTCTTTTGATAACTCTTGAATTCAAGGCGGATAACAAAAATATATTGTCCCTATGAAAATGGAAGCATACTGTAGACAATCAGGTAAGATGTCAGTCTAATAACTGGCCTATGGTGGAATATGGACATTCAGTTGATATGCCAATCTAACTACTGTAAAAAAGGGGAAAAGGCATAATTGTGAGAAACCTTGAATTGTGTAATTCTTCAAATTTGATGTTTCCTCTTTCCACTTACACACTGATTGGCTAGCCAGGAATCTTTTGAAAAGTTCAGATTTTTTCAGGAGATAAGGAAAATACCACATTGTTTCAGATTCTGAACTTTGGGTTTAGCAATAACAACATGACATGTATTGACTGTTGTAGTGCATGTGATAAAAATACATATTATTGTGTCTTTCTCCCTTAAGCTACACAATTAGATCCCCTGGCCATTTACATAATTTGTAAAAAGAAAACTGTCTTCAGTAGTAGAAATAATGGTTTGCATGTTTGGCAATATGTACGCAATATGCCAGCTCATATGGTAATATATGGAAGTACAAAACTTAACTGTCTGATTAACGTTAGAATGAGGTAATGGACATTTATCCCTGGTGAATGCCTTTATAAGCATAGTGATATTTGTAATGTTGTTAAATGACAAACTAACGTGCATTTTCCATGTGCATACTTATGTAAATTGTCTTAGTCATTTTAAGTACACACGACATCTTAACAATCGGCTTTGTGTATCAAGATAACAATATATATCTAAAGCGGATTATTGTAGTTTATAACTGTATGTAAAAATACGTTTTCCTTTGTCTCATGTATTTTGCTGTTGTCCCTTGTGCTTTCATTGTGTTCCTCATTTGAAGAGTAAAATATAACCCATTGTCCGACTTTGATCCGTAATCTGCTTAGACCCCTGAGTACCACGCCCACCGTGAGGTCCCCTACACGTACTGTTTGACAATAGGCTATTTATGTATCATGCAGTTCATTGTTTATGGCAACTGGGTTGCTGTCGTGTGACATAAACCGGCCCTTCTCACCCTACAGTGTCATCAGGAAGTTGGGCTGGCTTGCCCTTTCACACACAGCACAACATACCACTTCTCCATACCACTTCTGCATGGCACTTCAACTTGGTTCTGTATCTAATCAAAAGTGGAATGCAGTAACCCCTATAGCAGAATAAACATTTGTCTGACTCTTACCTGTAATACAGGTAACGGAGGCAATCAGTGTCTATATTGTTGTTTATTACGCTCTGATAACAGTTTTTGTCGAGCAAATACTCGAAATACCTATTGATTATACTGCTCAATCTTGGGAGCATAGTAAGATATGTCGTTTCATTTCAATACATATTCAGCACTTGTATGTACCAGCAGATTACCTGTTGCTACAGTTACCATAGTAACATCACATACTAAACACGTCAGTCGCAAATGAATGTCTAAAACAAGGCCAGTTTAGAAGTTGGTCTTAAGTGTTTGTATTGAAAATTGTTTATTTGTTCGTAGGCAGGTATGAAAGGTATGTACCTGTAAGCTGGAACTTCTTGTGCCACACTTAATACCGACACTAAGAGTTTGTGTCATTTCATTCAGACTTTCTTAGACCTGGTTTGGATTGTAGGCACTGATTGCCCTTCTTCCAAATTTGTAGATATTTGCATTACATTTCGCAACCTGAGTGAGTGAGTGAATTGGTGACATCACGACGAGACTTTACAAGTTGAATCCATGTTTGGAATCGAATCTGAGCCTTGGGCGTGAAGCAAGAATGGCAAAAACATAGCCTGTATTGCTAATCAGCTCAATAGCAAATTATTCCAGGAATATATAAGAATATGTGACGTAATTATTCTCTCTAATTTATTCTAAAATACAAGTATACAGAAACTGCCAGCAACCAAACTTCAGACCAGTATTGTTCCGACAGTATCTGACCGGTAGAATAGAGCAAGGACTTTCAACAGTAGTCCTGTCAATCATACGTCGACACACTCATGGCCCTTGCAGTCTGTTTTACTGGTGTTGTATTGCACCAATCGGTCGTTGCTTGGTTCATGTATCATACAGGCATTACACGTCGTCAAACATTCACAAGTCATTGTTCAGTCTGAAATTGGCAACGACATGAACGTACAGAGCTGCACAATCCCAAAGCCTATTTCTGATCTTGTAGCATGTTGGATTTATGGGTGCGTTTTTGTGATGTATCAACTTTATACATTGTACTCTGTCACTGATTTGTACTCATTTAATTAATTGTTCCGCTTCTTTATAATATTGTTTGTATTTTTAAACATAGTTTTCTATGTTCAAAGTCGTCTTATTTCCCATACATTAAATACAGTCTGTTATTTCAACCAGGGAATAATACCGACTCTCCGATTATACGCTCAGCGTGTCCTTTATGATCAAATGAGGCCAAACACACAAAAATATAAACTGTCAGATGAGTATGATGGTGGGGGTTGCTGTTCAGTTGATGAATATGTTTCCTGGTGAGCTGTGTTTCAGTATTTATCAACCAACGTCCACCGTGCTGCCGCTGGTACTTTGCAGACTGTGGCGTCAAACAACTCACTCACTTTACTTCCCAGGAAGCTGGAAATCGTCTGTACGGTTATACACAGGCCCCGGTAATACCGTAGTGCTTTGAGAATGCTTTACTGTGTGAATTTAGCACGTTATAAATATGCACATTTGATATTTTCATCAGCAACCATCAGGGATATTGTTGACTGGCGTTAAACAAATTTCACTACCACCTAGTATCAATTTCGTTACGACCCTGAGGAGGCATTTAGTTTACAATTGGGCTTGAACAAAGCTGAAAAAGGTCAAACATTTGACTACATGTTTATTCGACAAGTACCCGTTTTTCGTCACAAGGATATATGAAATTATGGGTCGCGGCCTCTAGATGCTGTTGGCACTGTCGTAATATTTATGATATATATAGACGTAGACGTAATGGTAGTTATAAAAATGCCATGCTAGTTATAAGAAGTTCAGCTACACCGTGTGTTCGAAGACGGGACATTGAGTATGGTGTGGACTAGAGATTCATGCTCGACCTAGAACCTCAGTAATCCGGACCAGTTGATGTACAGGGAAGGGATACCGTGCTAACACATGCTCTTTGAGAATACTTGTTGAAATGTGATAGGTGAAAAATGATGTTTCCGTCGTCCGACTAGATCCACATTTCTTTCCCAGAGGGTTGATACTGTACTGTAACATTTGATTGTGAACAATATATATATAAATTGTCAAAATGAACTTAAACCCTAGCAACACTGCTAATAATGTTCGTTTATATATGCGTTTGTTGTGGCGCATCATAATAGCACAACGATATTTACGTGTTCTCTGTACCTCGAAGAGGTGAATATCGTAAAGAACGTCAGTGATGACAGCACCCAGTCTTGACTCTCATCAGAAACAAATCCTGTTTGGTGTAAAGGCACAAGTAGCTGTGAGAATTATACCAATGAATCACTGAAAACCGGTGATGACACCAGGTGTTTACGAAAAGGGTAAGCATCCCCTGCCCTACCGGTAGCACCCACCACTGACAAGATTTGTCTAAAATGAAACTATGTTTTGTCTGATGTCGCACAGACGTATTCCTACAACGTCGGTCTGTTGCTGGACAACAAACAAGATCAAGTGATCGATAGACCGAAAAATCCAGTAAGATAATTTTTGAATAAATATCTGCGACGTAGAATTACAGAGACTTTGATGCTTATAAGTAAAGAAAAACGTTTGGGAAATAGATGTGTTTTACAACACATTGGGGGCCATCTCGTACCAAACATTTCTTTTGTAGTTGACTCAGCATAATTTAACATGGTACTGGACTTATAATGAATCTTGGGGACTAGTCCACTAGCAGAAACGTCCATCTAGTTGAATTATATACAGAATGTCAACGCAAACGAATACCCAGTCCTTACTGTAAAAGGAAAAATATCTGTGAAAATGATACGAATGTATCGCTGAAAGCTAGGGATGATACACGGCTACACGGTTTTCGTGAGAAGGGTAAGCATCAACTGCACTACCGGTGGCACCCGCTATTCACAAAATACAATAAACAAACATATTAACACTTACCGGATCCTGCATGGTTAACGGGAGACAACACTTTCAACACTGTCATGATATAGGATGTAACAACATGAAATATACATATACACATTCGAACGTAGAAATGAAAGTGTTCCTGAAAGTGACCCTAACTGTCTCCCCTCAGTAGCGTGTCAGTCTACTGGTTTTGCTATGACCATGACAATCATAGCAGTCCGTCCTGTCCGCTCTTTGCCATCAGACGCTTCACAGTCTCTTTGTCTAGTTCCACTCTACCCATTTTCCTGACAAATTTAGAAGTCGGCTCTGCATTTGGTCCAGAATCCTTTGACGAAAGAGGTGATAGTGGATCACGTTGAATGCCATTAATGTCATTCCCCGAACAACGAACGTCATTTTCATAACCGTTGTGAGATTCGCCCTCGTGTCCATCTGGTTTAGCAGCTAGAGAAGGTTTGGGTAACTGTGTGCCTGGCAGTATACCCCCTGACTTTACAACACAGTCACCGGTCTCGCCCTTCATACTCTGACCCGGACTACGAGAACCCATCTCAACCTTGGGAGACAGATACCCATCTAATTGTTTGGCAACATGAAGATGTTTCTTTCCCGGATTTGGACCATCAACCTCCTGACTCCTTCCACGATTACGCGAAGAACTTTTAGACGTTTCTCGAATTCTACCCTGCTGCCTGTGAATGTTAGGAGGCGCTGTCTCGTGTGTAGGAGACGTTGGGACCAATGTGGGTGTCCGTCTACTCTTCCTCAAGGCTGTGAGTTCATCGCGCACTTCCAGCTTCATCAAGTTCATCTTAACCATTCTGCTGTGTTCCTGTTTGTCGAGACTTCCTAGCCTCTGCTCCTTCTGTCCTTCAGACCACTTTGTTAGACGTTCAATACGTCCACCCTCGCATTTGCTCATCCACACACCCTGGAGGAACCTCCCGCCTGAACTCGATGGTCCAGATGGTGGATTTGTACGTTTAGATTCCATAGCTGCCTTCAATGCAAATTCACCACCGGTACAGTTGTTAATATTTGTGGACTGTTCGAAAATTAGTTTGGAATTAGAGTGCAAATCCTTCGAATATAATTTTCTTGTTTACACGAACAAATCATACTGCAACCAACAGATTATGTATCCGAATATCCATTCAAGCATCCTTCTAGTTGATCGTGAGGTACAAATGTTGTAAGCGAATATATTTGGCGTCAAATATAAATCCACACAAGAATGTCAAACCGCCAAGTACCACGCACAAAGAACAATACAATGTTCCCCTAACGACGTCCAAACGTGAATGAAGTCACAGCAAGATCTACGGTAACAAAAACAACTTCAAAACAAAGGTCATATATAACGCCAGCAGTGAGACACTCTCATGGGGTGGCACGATAATCCAGCCAGAGGCTCCTAAATTTGAAAGCTTTAAAAATCAAACAGCAGTGTGGGTCAGATGTCCCCCACAACCCAGGAGGGGAATGTCAACAAGAGACACACGGAGAGGGTAAGTAGATCCCCTGATGTCTGTGACGGACCGGGCCGGGTGGAAAGCAGCTAAGAGGGATTAAATAAACTATCACATCTGATAGGTTCGGAATAAATGAACCCCATGATCTTTGGATTGAAGTAAAAGCGATATGTTTGGGGGATTGAGCTAGGATAAGGCTTGGTAAACACGGTTGATCAATAATACGGTGTTGGTGAAAATACAATGTGAGTGTGGAAAATAAGAAAATATTTGTGTCGGGGTATTGGAAGTGACTTGTTGACGCTCCTTGATTAAAGATACTGCTGTGAAGGGTCTGCATTGTTATCGCGTGTAGCGACACGGCTTTTTATTGGTTTCCGATAATAAATATGACTGATTAAGTGTGATCAAAACATGTACTTGGGCGCCCTGATGATCAGAGTTAAGTTGTAATCTGTGTTTGGTTCTGCCTGTTAATTATTATAAGAGCGGGCGGACAGGGAGTGAAGACAGTATCGTGGTTTCAGTCGGTGATTGGTGAATTTACAGAGTTACATACTGTTTCAGTTATGCTGTCATATTTCAACAATGCGCTAAGCAGGCATGAAGTCTCGTACTCACTCACTCACTCACTCACTCACTCACTCACTCACTCACTCACTCACTCACTCACTCACTCACTCACTCACTCACTCACTCACTCACTCACTCACTCACTCACTCACTCACTCACTCACTCACTCACTCACTCACTCACTGATGCTCGCACCATTGTCTTATGAAGCGGGGCACAAACGGACCCCCAAGGCTATAAATATTGTGATAGAACGGTACTAGAATGGTAAACTATCTTCATGGGACGTCGGGTAATCTTCAATTGACCCTTTTTCTTTTTATAAATCAGGTTTAAGATTTAGAAAGAATTTCCATTGGCTATTTCTAGTGTTCCCCCGCCGTGATATTGCTGGAATATTGCTAAAAGTGGCATAAAACCACTCACTCACTCATTATCATTTTCGTACATACAAATATTGTTATAAGGGATAAATTCACCCCAGTGTTCATGGTCGGATAAGGTTTTAACGAAGGAGAACAGTGAAGTAGGGACATGTGATCAAAGTCAAGTCAAACTTAGGCCCTCATGGCTTACACCTCCCCTAACAACATGGAACAGCAATACCAGTAGGTAACTGTTGTGTGGTCATCTTTCGCACTTACGAAAATACGCATGCATAGTATTTCTAATTTGCATTTACGTTTTGATGAGACTGGAAAAGCACTATCCTGGTATTCTCTTTGTTACCAGTTCAGACTGCTGCCTGAATCATAAAGTAAGGAAATTAATTAACACAATACGTACACTTAAATAACACCAACCGTCAATCGAGAGATCCACAAAACCAAGGAAGACAACTCGTGTGCGGACAACACAGTCTTGATATTAATGTTTCCAATGATATTGTTGGAGCTGTACAATTACATTTATGAATGACTGCCTACAAGTAATGGACAATGAAACCATAATTACAGGATTTATTTTATACTAAAGCTTGTGTCCAAGGCCAGGTATGATTGTACACTCAGCCATTCGGCTCCGTCCACTGCTGTAGATCACAGGCCTTCAGTGAAGTGTTAGCGCAGATCCAAGTTACTGTGAGGACAATGCTTTTCTTTGCAAATAGGGTTTTGACAAACGGTATATTGAGGTTTGACAATCGCACTCTAATGCCTACAGTACGTTAGTCTATGACAAACATAGGGTAGGTTGTACATAAGTAGGGATTTGCTGGAACAAATATTATATTACCTTTGCTTTACTCTCCGTATGAACTCGGTTGACACGTCCAGGGTGCCTCAAGTAGCAATAACAGCCTTAATGTAAGACCATCGTAATTCTCCTGTCCGCGGACGGTAAGCGGAAAGGCTTAGCCATGTTTTGCTTATGTTTACTTGGTTAAATATATTTAACTGACGTGAGAAATGAAACCCTTCTAACATCTTGGGTCTAATATTTCAAAGAACCCATCTGCGTCAAGACAACGTTATAAATATGACTGACACCATACGTTGCTTGTTAATAACATGTACTCGAGTAGTCAATTATGATATATTTATTTAAAGATTGAAGCTGTAATTGTTGAAGCGGATTACGACAATACTTCATTGCGTGATGCACGAAGCATCGATCATCTCGTATCTTGCATCTTTAATCTCGCTCCCACTAGGATGGTGATTCGGAAAATCAGTATGCCAGAGTTGCAAATACTTTATTACACATTATTTCGCTATTTATTGAGCTTCACGTTAGAAACATACACTTATCATGATCCCCATCTTAGAAAACCACAACTGTCGAATGACGTCAACATTTTTCAGCGATGATGTCCTTCCAGTGTGACGTCATTCCTATCTTACGTCATAATAAGATTGGAATGAAGTGAACAATGCCAATGGTGTGAATTCACACACGTTAAGTAATTTTTGCATAGGTACAGATACGATGTGTAATAACTTGTAACACCAACGACAGAAACAATTCCTTCATCTCATACAAATCGTATGTACAATGGTGGAAATATCACTTGTCGTACAATGTTTTACATTATTTGGTTATTTCTAGCCCTATTGTCTGAATAAAGACACTGAAACTAGTGGTTGAAACTACGAACATTGACGAGGGTGTAATGGTGGAATTTCAGCCAGATTACGGCTGAGAACGAGTAACTGATGGGTATCATCTGAGTGTAGTGTAAGAGAGGAATCTTGCTGTCCGATAACTATTGGTAAATGTCTTACTACACTCAACCACGGCGGCTTCCGCAAACATGGAAGTCGGGCAAGTGGTAGTCCCTAGACTTTGTCTACCCCTCTGACAAGTGTTAATCGGCACGGCTTCCACGACCGAAAGCTATCTTTGACCACACAATGGCATTTAAAAAAGTGGTCAAATGTAAGGCGTTATATTTGGGATTACACTTTCTCAGTAAAGTATAGATTCTAGAACTTTCGTTAGGTTGAGTCCCATCCGGGACTGTGACTTTGTGTGCTGGCGATTAGGTAGAGGAAACAGCCCTTCTCAGAATCACAAAACTTCACCCGTTCATGTCAAGTGGCATGTTAAACAGAGTGGCTTCCACACCGTCGTTTGTCCTACAGAACGGTCCGAAACCGCTGGATATATAATCGGACGACCTATCATACGTCTATTAGATTTTGATTGCCATCCTTTGAACACAAAGCCGGTCTTCATGGACGACAATATTAGGCCACATTGTGCACGTGGTATTGGATACTTTTTTACGTCAAGAGGCGGTAGCAAATCTACCTTTGCCCATCAGGAGTCCAAATCTCATTTTTGGGATATTATGGGTCGCAAAGTACGCCTGAAAGATCCTCCAGTACCAAATCATAATGTATAGGAACAAGCCCTCCACCGATAATGGAAAGCAATATCTCAACGTCAAATTTAACTGATACAGTGTCAGGTATATCATCGCAGTTAGCGGAGGTTACACCAGATGTTGACATTAGTAGTATACACAATGGGGCTACGGGGCCAGGTCCCCAAAGGGCTCAATTTGAGCCCTTTGGAAGTCCCTAATCCCGTAGCCCCATTGTGTATACTACTACTGAGGTGCATGCAAAATTTGATGAAAAGCGGTCGAATAGTTTCTGAAATATTGACTTTTAAGTGAGCATGGGGTCGGTCGGGAAAAGGCAAAATTTCCAACTTTTTGTCGTAATTAAGTCTTAATTAATCTAATTAAGTCATCCAGAGTGTTCTCAATGCCGTTTTGCTATAGCGTAACCATCTGCCGAGATGCATGCAAAATTTCACGAAAATCGGTCAAGTAGTTTAGGAAATAATCACTTTTTAGTGAGCATGGGGTCGGTCTTGCTAAAGGCTAACAATCCAACTTGTCGTACTTGTTATATATTATCGAGGCGAGAGGTGTTTTTAGCCGAATGAAACGCAGGTCTCGGAAGTCATCACCTCGCTACCGTCTCGGGGGTTGCTTTGAGCGAGCGCCATGGACGAGTATATGTGTGTGTGTCTCTCGGCTCAGCTATGATGATGCACGGCAGGCTGACTAGCGAGGCTACAGATGCCTGAAAGTGAATGAAACGCATCTCTCGGTAGTTTCCTCCCGGGTCGTCGTCTCGGTATCACGAGCTAGCGGTGTGGGCGAGTCGCAGTGTGTGGCTCGGCTCGGTTTGTACAGCCGACTGGCTGGCTGGAAACGTAATGTTGATTTCCACTAAATCATACCGCATCTCTCGGCAGTTCCCCGGGTCGACTCGCTGCCGTCTCAGTAGCATTGAGCAGTGTGTAATGTCTCGGCTCGACTATTAACCTACAGCTCACTGAGATGGCTGGCTACGTTATGTTGATGTCCGTGAAACAGTTTATTGTGAATAATCTCCTATGATTTGTTTGGTTGTCGTAATGAAGGCTTGTCGGGCCTGTTGCTTCCCTTGTTCTATGAATTATTTTTCTCGTCTTCCCTGATGATGGCGTTTTTACGAGATTTGGTCCGAATCTCTTGTTTCATTCTGTGTGATTTCTGAAAGCACCAAATGAAACTCTTCCTCGGAGATTTTAGAGATGGTGAGTGCGGTGGAAATATGATCGTCTATCGTGTTTAACTTCTCTTCGGCTAGAATTCTGATTTCGTCGTGTTTCAATGCTTTAAGTTGCAGTCTGCGAGATATGAACTTAAGGGTCAATCTCATCAACCCTACCACTCCAGCTGTTATTTCGATGCCTAGCACCACGGGTGCGGCCACGATGGTGGATAAAAACCCGATACC